GGACAACGCCAGTCTCAGTCACGGCAGGGCCAGTAGGAACGACGCCAGTCTCGGTGGCAACCGGAGCGGTAGTGCCAGGGAGCTCACTGCCGGAAGTCTCCGCAGGGGGGAGAGGGTAGGCAGGAGAGGTCTCACCGCTAGCAGGTCCAGTAGGAACAGGGACGGTCTCAGTACCGGCGGGAACGGTAGGGACTGGGACAGTCTCAGTACCAGCAGGCACGGTGGGAACAGGGACAGTGGCAGACTCGACGGGGCCAGTAGGAACAGGGACAGTGGCAGACTCGACAGGGCCGGTAGTGCCAGGCAGCTCGCTGCCGGAAGTCTCCGCAGGGGGCAGAGGGTAGGCAGGAGAGGTCTCGCCGCTAGCGGGTCCGGTAGGGACGGGGACGGTCTCGGTACCGGCGGGAACGGTAGGGACAGGGACAGTCTCGGTACCGGCAGGCACGGTAGGAACAGGGACAGTCGCGGACTCGACAGGACCGGTAGTGCCAGGCAGCTCGCTGCCAGAGGTCTCCGCAGGGGGCAGAGGGTAGGCAGGAGAGGTCTCGCCGCTAGCGGGTCCGGTAGGGACGGGGACAGACTCAGTGCCGGCGGGAACGGTAGGGACAGGGACCGTCTCGCTACCGGCAGGCACGGTAGGAACAGGGACAGTCGCGGACTCGACAGGACCGGTAGTGCCAGGCAGCTCGCCACCAGAAGTCTGGGCGGGAGCAGTAGGAACGGCAGGAGTGCTCTCTACGGGAGTGCTCTCAGGAGCGCCCGGCTGAGTCTCCTCGCAATCATCGGTGGTCTGGGGGCTGCTGGGGGTGACGGCGGGAGCAGTAGGAGAGGCAACCGCAGTCGTCTGGGCCGGGGGAACGGGGTAAGCGTTCGTGGGCGTTCCGGCAGGAGGAACGGGGTAAGCGTTCGAGGAAGACCCAGCCGGAGGAACGGGATAGGCGTTGGTGGGCTGGCTGGCCGGAGGAACCGGGTAGGCGTTGGAAGGCTGGCCGGCCGGAGGAGTAGGGTAGGCGGGCTGAGAGGTGGGAGCAGCACCGCCGTCAGTGTGGGTGGCCGTGTAAGTGACGCAAGAGCAGGCAGAGCTGAAAGCATTGTAGTCAGGGCAGTTGCTGTAGTCGGTGGGAATGGCCGCGTTGGCCGTGGTGGTGCCGGCGAGCCAGCTGAAGCAGGCGGGAGTAGCCTCGGCGCTGAAGCGAGGGTCGATCAGGTTGCGGAAGCAGTTGTCCTGCTCGCAGTTGGGATAATGCGTAGCATTGGCCGCGCCGATGGCGAAGGCGCCAACAACCAAGGCACCCCTCTTCATGATGAACACAATAACAATTAAAACTCTTCAAAACAGTCTTGCTGAGGGTATAAACGAATGAACCTCTCAAGCAAAAGACGTTGAGAAAGGAAGTGCGTAGAGCGAAGGAATGTGTTGGGATAGGGAAAGAAGGAGGGTACCAGATCTGGGGGCACCTTGAGGACGGACAGCAGCCTTATATCTCTGCAGGCTTCCTCCATTCGAAACAATCGAAGGGGGGGTGAACAGGCATGGCCATGGTTCTAGCACGGAATACGAAAGCAACCCTGCACGGATGGTCCAGGGATTCAGGCCGAAGACGCTGGGTCGAATGTCCCCGTGCTGTGTGCATGATTTGAGAGGAGGAGATTCCGGGATCCATCTCCTTTGAGGTGCATCCGCAGCCGCCACCACCAGGGCGGTACACATCTCCACCAACCAGGCACATCAGCATGGGGTGGTACCGGTACGAGCAGCGCGGCACCTGCATACTGTACTGTACAAGAACTGCTGCATGCGTTGTTGGAGGAGCCCGCGAGGTGGAACCGCTGGTGCCAGAGTTGCATGGCAGGGGTGGCAGTACTTCGGCCTTCGTATACCGTACGGCTCTCCAGGCTTGAGAGGTCAGCGTCAAAGGCGTGCTTCCCCACTGGGCGTGCCCCTGACTAGGCCTCTAGCGCAAGAGTGTTTCCGCCAACGCAAGTGCAGGGAAGAGGGTCTGGCAGCGCCTCGCGGGCCATCGACAACCACCATCTCACTCTGAGTGGACGTCTCTTGACCAATCCTTTCCGCCTGTCGGCCGGTTCCTGCTTCTTGCTCGCAGAGGTGTCTCTCGTTGTCGCTTGAACTTTCGCTTGCCTATTCGCTTGCTTCGCTTGCTTCTGCTTGCTCTCGCCATTTGCCTCTGAGTCTCCCGCAATCTCGATCATCACTTGGGCCGCCAGCTTGAATCGTCTATTTCCCCGTCTCTACCCCATCGCTCGCTCTCGGCCAGTCTTTGGAGGCATGCAGCCATCCATCGCAATTTCTGCGTTGTCAAAGGCCCCTGTCCAATCAATACGGGGAAAGGCGGTCATTGTGCTCTGCCAACACACATGGCAGAATAATGTTCTGGTAATAAGGAGTTCTCCGTGCTAGCATCCCAGGACAGTATTAGTCGTGATAGAAAGTCCTGGAAATTGAGTGATGTTCGTAATACCTGTCTGGACTCCGTATTCAGGGACAAAATGTAGCTTCCTTTTTTCCTTATTTTCCGGCCCTCCCATGTCCCACAACTTCAACCCCACGGACAGCCCCTCTGTAGACCTGTGCAACCAGGAATTGCACAAATTCTGTACTGTGTCGTATAGGCTCCGCAACTTGCAAAGAGGGATGCAATCAGGCACTGGACAGAGTTGCTATCATTAGCAACAAACTCATACTCGGAGTCACCATGTGCTAATATCACGACCTGGATACTAGTTGCCTCAAGGCAGGTATTTTCGAATGCTGCCCCCAATCAACAAGCTACCGGAAATGATCAGCAAGGCGGCAAGCCTGAATATCTCTCTATCCGGACTTCTTGGCGAGATTCGATGTCAGTCGTATCGGTGATCCGAAATTAGAACCCATCCGACCCTGTCCGCGCGCCATTCGGCGGTTCTGGCATCGTTATGTAACGGATTGCGCCTATGATTGAGCATGTTGACACTTATGCCCTGCATAGAGGCAAGACCTGCAGTTCCATGGAGAAGATCGATAACGAGCACCTAAGCGCCCGTTATCTGAGCTACCCGTGAGAACACTGTCGACGCGTGTCTTGTCGAGAGCGCCAAGCCGATGGGCCTTAAGAGATCGACGTTGGCGAAGCACACGGCTAGTAGGTTTTTTTCAGCTTCGATCTTTAAGATCCCGAGGAATGGCGGCCGCCAGCTTGAGGTGAGCATGGATGGCTGCGTTGCTTGTGGTGTCATCGTTTTGCTAAAGCCAATTGCTGTTTGTGGGACTGTTTCTCGGATGTAAGCATATCGGTTATCAAGAATTTCTGGTACCTGAGTTTGAGAAAGACAATACCGCTCCTTTGCTGAAGATTGAAATGAACGATGCCGTAGTAGTGTCCCATATTCTTCTTGCCATCGTCACCCATTGTTGCTATTCTTGTTTCTCCCGTCGTGTCTTGTCTCCTGCTACTCCGCTCGCAGTCGGGATCACTGTGACGTTGCAAGCGCCCTAAACACCAGGCTACCGTGGCGCAAGCAGTTGCCCTCAAGCGGCGGATTGTGTGCGCGAAATGGTTGGCTGTGGTGCGCCCGTGAGGCGTGGCTGTTTGTGCAGCGACTGTGCATATGCGGCGGGCACTTGTCTTGCGGCAAGCCGGACTGCCTGGACCACTCAAATCAGCAGGGATGCTGGTTGCTGGGCTGTGCTGTGCTGATCTGTTTGGCACCGGCAGGGATGGGCGAGTGAGTCGCAAGAGGGATCATGCTGGCTGAAGAAGAGAGGAAAACGGATGTATGATGATGATGATGATGGTGGTGATGAAGGAGAATACTGTACGGAATCAAGGAACATGAACGAGAATGCTGAAGCGAGGAGAGACGTAATGCTTCGTAATCCATAGCCAATAGATCCTTCCCTTTCTCAATTTTGTGCACTTGGGAAGCTGCGATGCACTTTGAGCGGTTGGACTGGGTTATTCGGAAAGAACGACGCAGATCCGACTCCTGTCAATCTACCTCGACCACTCACGCTCACCCACGCTTTTGCAAGGTACCGAGGTACAAACTCCTCATTCTGTAATCTTGTGCCCAGTGATTTCGTGATTCCGTGATCTCGTCTCGTGCCTCTTTTGTTCTTTTTCCGTTTCCCTCGAAAGAACACCTACTTTCGCCCAAGACGATCACGATCCAGTCATTTTAATCACTTCGGGGCTCGATTTTCATGCGCCCTGTCGATCTCCAGCCTCGCCCACATATCGCTATGATACCTGTCACGCAAGACACTCGTTTCTGCTCGCTCTGAGGTGAAGACGAGCCGGACGGCGTTTCAGTGGGCCGAGGCAGCGTCAGCGTCATAGAACAGACGCCGGCAGCGTTTCGACAATTGAGCCATTTTCGACCAGAAAGCAGTGGATGGTGGGTGTCGCGATCTTCTTGGACGGCCGTGAGAGCACTGCGTGGATCTGTCAAAGTGCGGTGGTGAGTGTTTTGTGTCGCTGTCATTGTGGGCACTGGCTGGAGTCGGTGGTGCTGCGGCTGAGTGACAACGCAGCATTCCTCCAATCTCTCTCGTTTGCCCTCTTTCGCTCATCATGCTTTCTTGCTCCGGAATACGAAGTTGGGCAGCTCCATTGGCTTCGTACCTTAGCAGCAACCGGCACTGCAGCCACCAGCCGACCTGCAGCCACCAACCGACCTGCAGCCATCCAGTCAGATTGCTGCAACCGCCTCTGAACAGCTGGACTAGAGCTGCTGAGCTTCGCCATCCTGCAGCTGCTTTGTGAGCCTCTGGATGCCGTCACTCCCACTGCGATGCAGTGCACCTCTGGAAGTTCAACAAAGAGGAGTCACCAAGTCATCATCCACAGCGCAAGACCCGTATTCCGTTGCCAGTCAAAGAAAGGGACGCTTGGCAGCAGTTTCTCTGCGCCGTGCTTCATCCTCATACCTGTACTGTGCGTTTACAGACAGGCAGACCACGACTGCGAAAGCCAAACACTCGGAAGTGTAATTATAGCATCATGGCTTGGTACGTGCCGTCGATTGCTATCACAATTCACCTGGAAGAAGCTGTCGAATTGAAACCGCCATATTAAGCTTATCTCATGCTCAATGTTTGAAATTTTTGCAGCAAACAAAGACGTGTGGCATTGAACGAGTGGGGTCCGCCGAACCGTGGTGCCGTCCTACCAGCTTCGAATGTGTCTGCCGCAACCTCGGCTTCTATTTTCTTCGCCACGTCCTTCCTTGGGAAACATGATCAATCTGTCGCTGGCTCTCTTCGGGATGCACCGTCAGCCGTCCCTTACAATGTTTGAAGGCCGTTCAGGCTCCTCTTCATCGGGTCCAGTTTGGTCCACCTGTGTTTGGCCCGATCGTTTGGCCAAGTCCATGTGGGAAAGGTGGCGAATGGAGCACGAAGCGGCCGTCTCGGCCTTGGATGCCCGCAGTTTAATGCTGCTAGCATGAGCAACTGGGTGTTTGTCCGGATCAGCTCGGCTGCTCGTATAGTGACATCCATTCAGGCTGCACACTGTGCGTGCGAGACGGAGAAGAACGTGGAATGTTCTCCCTTGGATGACCAAGGGAGATTTGACGGTGGCTTCTCATCTCCAACCTCCGGTTGAATGAGTTGCTAGCTTGGCGGTGGGTGTTGTTGGGTTGCTGATGGGACTCTAGATCGATCTGTTGTTGGCCCTAGCTGTGCCGGTCCGGCGAGCTCCCTCTCCCAAACTCGCGGCCAACAAAGCACTCGGGTTATTTTATGAGCATCGCCGCAATGACCTGAACCCTTTGCAACCTGGGGTAGTCGAGGCTCTTTTGGCAGCGCCCCGCTTGTGATTCTAACCCTCTCGAGCAGGCCCTTTTAGGTGGGCACATGCACTGCTTGATGCTTGAACTTGATAGCCTTTGCTTTCAGCGACTCAGGCCAGTGTTTCTCTCGCTGTAACGCCATTGCAAGCGAGTGTGAAAGTCTCGCAGGATCAACATCTGCTCTGATGTGGAGGCTCTCCGATACTAAAGTCTGCGGACCAGGCTGAGGGCGACACTATGTATTATCACCCACCTCATGAGGAGAAGACACCCAACAAAAGGGTTGGGCAAGGTGTCAACGCAGCCCTGAGCCTGGACATGCTTGTCAAAGAAGGACGTGTACCTCCGAAACCCTTCTCATTCGAGTGTAAGACGTTCTAATTGGTGCCTATGACCTCTTAAATGCGGCCAGTGTGTTCGCACCAGCCTTTCACAATCATGTGGCGTGATGTGATGGTCGAGCTTCTCCCCAAGAAGACTATTTCCTCCAATGCGTCGTTGGTAGGCCTTTGGTATGGCGATTCATGATCAAAGAGCTAAGGGACGCAGGCAACAAGGCTTGACACATTGTATTGTTCAACGGGCTATCTGCTCAACGGCACAAGACTCACCTGAACGATCTTATGCCGAAAAATCATCTCATCCACAGTCCACTATTAACGGCAACTCGAAGGAGCTAACGACACTTGGCGACGGTTGTTAACAGCCCAGTTGAAGGAAGCAAACCTCTTTAAACACATGAAACTTTTGTCGCCGAGGCCTCTGACAGGCTTTGCCAGTCTCCTGTCTCCTTGACTCGTCGGCTACGAGGAATACAACTTGTCATACTCCCTGTCAGCATTGTCTCATAGCTGACATCGCAAAAAACTTCCCAATCCACTAATATGAACGCTTCGCAAAAAGAGAAAGCAACACTCACTTGTAGCTTCTTGCTTCCGTCGTCTCCACCCCCATCTCAAAGCGTCGCCGCTCGTCAAAGGAGACACTGAGAATTTGAACCTGAGACATGAGGCAAGCTCTGCCTCCACAGCAACGTCAACTTGTTGCCGAGCTAATGGCCTCTTCTGCATGAGAGTCGGCTGATGTTCTGGCTTGTTCAGACTTTGGAGGCCTCGGTGCTTTTCACCATGGATTTCCACCATGCGGTCTCCTTGGTGTTAATGTCGATGTTGTTCATAATTGGTATAGCCTCACTCTTTTTCACAAGCCAATCTTCCTTGACAGAGTAACGAATCTCTGCGCGAAGAACATCACGAGAGTCCGCGAATGCAGTGTCGAGGAACCCCTGGAGATCAGTTACGGGGGGTATTTCTGGCGCATCAATTACCATCGGAGGCTTCTCCAAGCTGCGCGGCCAGTCTCGCTGTCTGGGCACCTCGACGAAGAACATCGCGACATCTGAAGAAACGCCAGGTGGTAAGCTTAGACGGATGCCTGTATATGGTTCGTTGTACCTCGTCTTCGGCGCAACGCGCAAAGCCTCACGAACCCAAGGGAGGATTCGTCGATAATGGTCGTCTTTATCCTCGCCCTCGCGCTTCCGGAGATTTTCGGCAGCTTGCGAGGCAGCTGTGTTGTGCGGGTCGTCTGCGGACGGCATGGGCAGGAAAAGCGCCACGTCCACAGCAGCGATCTGTATGAATATCTGTTTGACTTCTTCTTCGTTCATTTGCGTCCTCCCACGATCCCAGAATCTCCTGATAGCCCACACCTCCGCGTAGGCAAGAGTGCGTTGGAACCTGCTGGCAAGCCGCCTGACTTCGATGTCGGCCAAGGGCGGACGCGGCATTGTGTACCCATGCTGGGCGAGCTCCCTGACGTACACTGTGCATCTGGTGCCAATATCAGGCAGAAACTCTCGGACATATGCCAAGTTGACGATCATCAGATAGGCTGTCGGTCGTCTGTTGCCGTTCATGCCATAGTCGGCCATGTCGCTGGTGGTTGGAATCCATTCTGAGCCGGGAAATGGGAGCAGACGTGCTTGAAAGTACATCTTGCTGCAGTTGCATGCCATGAGCTGCTTCCAGGCTAGTTCCTCGTCGAGCCATTGGTGGCCGATGAGTGTCTTTGAGTAATCCAAGTCTTCGATTCGATTGTTGCAAAGAGCTTGGAGGTCGAGCACTCCGGGGTTAATCTTCCGCTTATCGTTGAGAAAAACGTACCAATCTTTCTCCCAGCCCCGGACGTGAGGGAACAAAAACTGGAAAGAGACTTGTTCATCAAGGTTTCTCTTGTCAAATGCGGACTTGAGTCTCTCGGCGATGAATCTGAGCCCAGCTGGCTGAGTGCCGAGTCTGTCCCAGAACTTGTCTGGATAGGACACTGCGACTTTGCGGACATCGATCACGGTTTCGAGACGCACGACGTCAAAGGCCGTATTGAAGATGAGGGTCCATGCTGGCTTTGAGATATCCATGCCTCTAAAGTGAAGTAGATCTTGGTTGAGGAATCGCGAGCAGGACGCACCAGCAGGATCACCCGACGGATCGGGGAATATCTTCATGATATCCGTTCTCTCATTTGTGCGGAAGCACTCGGCATTCATTGGCTTCTCAGTCTGACCCATTGGAAGGGTGAGGATGGCAAAGTCTTGGATATCATCGCCGTTTCTGACTTGGAGCCGGATGATGAGGGTGGATGGAATGCGAGGACCCCATGCCGTCTGGACCTCCACACGAAGACCTGGGGCGACGCTTCTCCCTACGCGTGCAGTGTGAAGTTTGGAAAAGCCGGGAAGCATGATGTTGTTCATCTTCATCAAAACACTGTTCCAAGCAGAGACCCTGTTCGAGAACTCGCTGAATTCGTCGTCCATGTCGAGGACGATGGAATGAAGGCCGTCTTGAGCGGCAGACGCTTGATTTGCGGAGGGTGGTGGAGTCTCAGGAGCGTTGGATGCCATGTTTGCCTTCGAACTTCTTGAAGAATGTCGTTGACGATGGATGACCAGGCATGAGAGTGGTGGTTGATTGAAGCGCGGACACTTGTGATGGGATGCGTAAAGAGTGAGGAGGAAGAGATTATTTAGAGCCCAGTTTATGAAAGGAAAATAAGCTGTTTTTGAAAGGCATGGACGTGTTTGTCACCTGGCGGCTGTTGCCAGGAGGCAGAAGTTAATGCTGTGTTGAAGCGCGTGCTGGCTGTCACAAGGCTGCCAGCTGGCGGCCTAACAATCCAAGCTCAGGAATTTACGGCACACTGATTGCCGGAAAGTAAAATACCATGTGTTCAAACACTTTTCTGTGATTCCCTCCATGTGTGCCATGTTCTTTGCCGTGATTTCACCTGTTGCACTCTCGTGGCAGCTCGAATGGCATCTCTGATGACACTGTTTGGCGTTGGCGTCTCTCATTGCATCCCTTCTTTTGGATACATGTATAAGGGCATCAGCGAGTAGCACAGTAATAGGTGCGAAGGCAGCCCTATTGAGGCAGACATTTATAGACATCATGTCTTGTCGTTGAGGATTCTTCCTAGGTTATACTAAGAGAATGAGACTGGGAGGGCGATGTTGCTATCACGAAGACTTCACCTCCGGATGCAGACATACTAGTACTTTCCCTGCGAATAAGTTATTACCTATCCACTACCAAGGCATCAGCGAATCTGTCCAGTGAAATTGGATGGTGGCAATTGAGTCTATCGTTCTGAAGCTTTCTGCGATGCGTAGGACTAGACTCAAGGGCTAGATCTGCCCAGAAAAGGTGAATCGATGCGCCACAACTGAGACGTTAAGTGTGGGCACACAGCTCAGCCTAGCGAGGTATCTTTCACTCATTTGGAATACAGCGACAATGTCAGGCATCATGTGGTAATATGCCATCATTCTCGAGCTGGTAGATACCTAGGATCTGCTAGAGAGTAAACACGTCTGGCAATCGTATGTCTTGAGGGAGGACAGGTAGTAGTGTTGTAGACTTGTTAGTAGAATCTAACTATGGAGTATGGCAATCCGTATACCGTGAGGCCTTCTCTCCTAAGCAGCCCAAATCATTCTGAGATCAGGGTCATGGTCCCCTGTTTGTTTGTCTCCCTCATCGTTGTCACTGTGAAGGTGGATGTCACTGGACGGTCGTCTTCCCGATTACATAATCGCCATGGTAGAATTCTCTTCTGCCGAGCAATGACGTGCATGTCCGAAATTAGCGTCAATTATAGGGTAGCCAAAGCAACTGCTGGGAACGACGGTACAACGTTTGAAGACTCGGTAGAGACCGAGTCAATAAAATAGCGAGAAAGTCTGTGAGATTATATATCTAGTGATCATCGTGATCTTCGTTCTTCGTTATTTGGTGGTCATCGGTACATATTAGAAGGCTTGTATACTATGCTCTGTGGCCGAGCCCAAAAATCAATGTTCAACCCCATCAGATAAAGTTGCCTTGAGGGAACCCTCCTGTTCACCACAAATCAGAAGCCGAAGAGGGTATCTCGCTACATCATTTGCCATCTACTCACATGTGTCTTACGGGCTTTCGAGGCCGGTATATGATCCGTTGCACATGACCGCGGACGTAGGACGAACGATTGTCCTAACTCCGCCTACCTAGACTTGGCAAGACAAAGTGCACAATCTGGTCACTGAGGCCGACGCCTTTGAAGCTCGAATCACTAAGAAAAGAACGCTTCAAGAACATTTTCCAACAGGTTTCTGTAGATTTCTACCCAGACAACGTCAATTCATTCGCTAGCAAGAATCCAACATCCAACTCTGTCTATGGCTTCGCAGTGGCACGTCACTACTGTGCACCGATAATTCGCCATCCGGATGCTTAGTAACGCTTCGGCTGCGATTAGCGGGGCCGATCCATGGCCCCACGTTGGCAAGGCTGGACAGTTGAATGGCTCCGAGCGTTGCTCACCAGCCACAGGCACAAGCGGCAAGATGGCAGCCACTATAGAGGATATTGCTTCGGATAGAGTCACGATATAAGAGCAACAAATGTCGCTTCAATAGTTCCATGGGAGCATGATGCACATTTATGTAACTCCTCAACGAATGCTGATCGTTTTGTCTTTTCAATTTCTGGCATCTCGACGTCTCGGAGTCCCCGACTGTCAGACTCTTCCCCTGGCAAGCTGTGGCTGATGCGCCAGTGTCAAGCCACTCCAGACTCGTTATCACGTCCAATCATTCCAGCCACCCAATCGAATTATCCGAACCTTCCCGAAGACCCCCTGCAACAATTTTTTTCAAGCCCCTAGACTAGCGCCGGTCCGGCAAGAGAACAGCAGCAACAAAAAGACCTCAAAACAATTTCATCACCGCCCTCCCCAGACGAAAACTTCAATCCTTCTCCACGTTGAATCTCTCTCGATTCTGCTAAGCCTTTCTTCTTCGTTTCTTCTCCCCACTCAGTGTTTCTTCGCTGCTTCAATCCCATCAGTCACAATGGCCGCTGCTCAGGTTTCTCTGTCCGAGCCCAAGAAGCTCGAGGGCTTCGCTCTCTACTCCCGCTTCGCCCTCGCCGGCGCTGTCTGCTGCTCCGTCACCCACGGTGGCCTGACTCCCGTCGATGTGTATGTTGACCCTGCTCCAGCTGTTTCTCCCATTCTTCCCCAATCGCAGCCAGGTCGCGCCCCATCACCATCCTGATGGTGACCGCTTACTACCGCCTTTGGCATGTGACAATGCGAGAATCTCCAAGGCTGACCGGTTATCTTCCCACGATACAGCGTCAAGACCCGTATCCAGCTCGACCCCGTTACCTACAACCGCGGTCTCATCGGCGGCTTCCGCCAGGTCATCCAGAATGAGGGCGCTGGCGCTCTTCTGACTGGTGCCGGCCCTACCTTCGCCGGTTACTTCCTGCAGGGTGCCTTCAAGTTCGGCGGTTACGAGTTCTTCAAGTCCCAGTTCATCAACGGCCTGGGCATTGAGACTGCCTCCAACAACCGGACTGCCATCTACCTGGCCTCCTCTGCCGCCGCCGAGTTCTTCGCCGACATTGCCCTGTGCCCTCTCGAGGCTACCCGTATCCGTCTCGTCTCTGAGCCCACCTACGCCAACGGTCTCATTGGCGGTTTCTCCAAGATGCTCAAGAACGAGGGTATCGGTGCTTTCTACGCCGGCTTCGGACCCATTCTGTTCAAGCAGTAAGTACCCGAACTGAAATCGGACTCATCTGGGCCTCGCGCTGACATTAGCATCCAGGATCCCCTACACCATGGCCAAGTTCGTCGTCTTCGAGAAGGTCTCTGAGGCTGTCTTCCGCACCTTCCCCAAGGAGTCTCTCTCCGACGGCATGCAGACCACTGCCAACCTGGGCTCTGGTCTGATTGCTGGTTTCGCCGCCGCTCTCGTTTCTCAGCCCGCCGACACCATGCTCTCCAAGATCAACAAGACCAAGGGCCTCCCCGGTGAGGGCACCACCAGCCGCCTGATCAAGATCGCCCGTGAGCTTGGTTTCCGTGGCTCTTACACCGGTATCGGTGCCCGTCTCTTCATGGTCGGAACCCTGACTGCCGGCCAGTTCGCCATCTATGGTAAGTGGTCACTAGATAATTTCTGCCCCTCTCGAGGAAAGGTCGAATGAAAGCTGACATTACCCCGCACAGGTGATCTCAAGAAGGCTCTGGGCGCCGTCGGCGGTGTCGAGATCGCCAAATAAATGCACCTCTAACGATTTGACGACGAAAGAAACAAAATGGAGTTTGAGAAGGACGCGTGAAGACAAAAGTTGGACTTTGTTTTCGAAGAACGGGCAGCTATATGGGTATTGCCCAAGGGCTGGGCTTTCTTAAACATATAGATGGGGGAAAGATTCTTGATTTGGACGGGGATCCCGAGGGTCCTCGTTCGATGGTTTGGCCGGGTTGAAGGATGCGACCCCAGATACAGGCGCTGGTATACATCTCTTGGTTGCCTAGAGTAGAGTATAGAGTCGGCGGACCACTGGCATCCCTGCTAAGGGTTGTATAATAGTCAATCTTCTTGCGTTATCTAATAGACTTGGTTAAAGCCATGCAATGTCTGCTGCTGCTGATTCGTGATGTCACAACAAGCAAAGGAATGCCATTGCAAGTTGACTGGCAACAACTGTTTGGAATTTATCACAAGGCACGGATCCTGTCCGGAAATAGGTAGGTACCTATCTTAGCAGATCGTGTGTTCATGTTGGCTTGTTTTGGCGCATAGGTACGGAGATTAAGGCCGTTATTATAGCACATTTCTCGCCGAAGAATGGACTCCGAGGCAACTGGAAGGAAGTGACGCCCAGGGGCACATCGATTTCGGTGTCCGTACTGAGTTTCAAAAGGATCCCAGTCCGATATATATTCTCGTCTATATAGTTGCCTTTGTCAGATCTGAATTTGTGAATACCTGAACTCATCAGCTCATTGGTAGCTGGTTTCGTGGTCGACAATCTTCAAGGTACCTTTGTACTACCTCGATTGATAAGCATGAGGCACTTGCCTCTTTGCCAACTGGCAAGCAGCACCTTCCTCACTTTACTTGACCGTGATTCACCGCCGGATGACTAAGTTCATTTTGCATCATTTCTGGTCCCTTGCCCTCTGCGTGCCTCCAAGTGTGAATCTCGTCTCCCCAACTTCTCATCTCTCATCTCTTCAATTCATCTCCTGCAGCAAGCCGCGGGCCAACGTACCCAATAGCCTGACCTAATATTCGTCGCCCAAGAATTATCCAGGATTGTTCAGCATCGTCGGTCACACTTTCACAAAGCCATGCGGCGCAGACGGCGGAGGCGAGGCATCAGGATTCCTGCTGGTTGTTTCGTCAACCAAGAGCATCGAAAAACCACATTGTTCAAAGGGCTGACAAACGAGATGAAATGGATGGAGCAAATCGTCAGCGAATGCCAAGAAACAGCGTTCAATGCCCACATTCTACCCATGCCGGGCTCAGAATGGGTCCCTCATGAAACGGACATGGAAGTGTTTGGCACCACAGCAACCTGTGAGCCAAGAGCTTACATCATGGCGCTTGACCTCAAGGATATCCGCCATCTTCTACCCAACATCGGATCTGCTGTCGAAGTCGAGCTCAGTGTCGATCAAATCTATCACACCGCACCCAAATTCTGTCTCGAGGGTGATGCGCTTGACGCCTTGGCTGCCGTCATCGAGAAAGATATAGACGTTTGCGAATTACAAGCCTATGATGCTGTGGAAGGCGCCTATGAAACTGCATTCAAAATCATCTGCGACGAGGGTTACGACATTGACAGTATCCGCAGCCGGGAAGTCATGAAATCTCTTACGGTCGAGCAGTACCGAGAACTAGCCAAAAGCTACCTGTACCAATACAACGCCAACGTTTCTGATGAAGCCATCCCAGGAATGCCCTCCGCAGACACTGAAACACGCCGAATGTACGACGCGGACAAGTTTGCATTAGAGCTGCGCGCGGCACCGGGTGAACTGCCAGCTGACCATAGGCAGCGCATTAAGGACTGGATCCAGCAGCACAAGGTTACCAGTCGGACCCCAACAGACCCGTCCGCCTTTGTTGGCCGCCGGATCAAGCTTCCACCTGGAGTGACGGCTGATGTTGCCTTGTTCAATCTCGAGGTACCGCTTCAGCCATACTGGCCAGTTGACTACCAGAGCCCGCCAGTGACATTGAGCGTTCCCCAGCGAACCTGGCCGTCCGACTTGAGCGATTATTTCGATAACATCACCAAGGGATCGCCACAAGCTGTTTGTGCTTACATTAGTTACGAAGTCGGTACAGAGACTTTTCTGATGGAACACTGGACCATTGAAAAGATGAGCAGGCTCCCAAAGGAGTCATTGGGAAACGACTGGTGGGACTTCTCGACTCGCTTTCACAACATCCCGGCTCCAGAATGCATTGATCTGCTGAAATGGTATCCAGCTCTTCAAAACCGATTAGGCACTGACATGTTGGAGAACGGATACGCAAGAGTCGTCGAAACCATGGCCAGATCGCGAGCAGGAAAATTCATCATCAATGCACCAGCAGGGCCAAACAGGTCAAACTTTGCGTTGTCAATTGTTCAGGCGATCATGTCAGAAGCTCCCGATCCTCCAGCCAATGTGTTATCTAGGCTAAATGCAGAGTATCGTCGACATGTACCGTATGATTACTGGGAGGTCCAGTTTGAAAAAGACTTGTACAACCAGTTGCAGATGGCCATGTGGAATAACATGTCAGCTGAAGAAAGATCACTCAGCCGCAAGAAAGTGGATGAGTTTGTACCCGTTACCGGGAGAGTGGCTTGGATCGCACCTCATGATGACCAAGTTGACGAGGCTGTGGAGCGATTGATTGCCCAGAATCCAGGCAAAACCATTCTCCGAATCTACTGCCACGACGCTGAGGTGAAGAATCTCATAGAGCCAGAGGCCGAGCCAGAAGACACCGTTGTTGCCAGTGGAAAGACTACTTCAGAAACCCAAATGATTGAAGCGTACAACAGTTGCCTACTTGAGGAATACCGAAAGCACAACCCAGCCTCGAACAAGCACTCCTGGTCTGAGCAATGCCTAAGCAGGGGACACTTTGACAGGTCAGGCTGTTGGTCAGAAATGAACCCCACGGAGCGCAGCCAGTATCTGAGCGATGCCGAGGAAGCGCTCAATTACCTGCTGGACCGAGCCGACGCCATTTGCGCCACGCCTTCCGCCTTTTACAAGATATACAAGCGCGTGGGATACAGCGGGTTTGAGCCGTCCTTTATCATCGTGGACAATGCCAACCAGCTGACGGAACCCTCGTCTCTGCTGCCTATCGCCATCTTCCCAGACGTTCCGACAATGTTTGTCGGCGACCTTGAACAAGATGGGCCGGAGGTCATGGCTTCAGAAGAGAGCTTGAGAACATCGACGGCCACCAAACGGCGCACCCGTAGCCTTCTTCAGAGGGTAGAGGATGCCGGGTATTTGGACTATCAGTTCTTTCCCAATAGGTAGTCTAGTGTTTCTCTTCGTTGTACATTTCCTCTCTCTTCTACACCTCAAAATCGTCGAGATTTCTCTCGGTTCCTCCTTCTTGACGAGGAGGAGGCGTATATTCGTCCATGATACCGAGTCTTGAGCCATACAGGGAAGATGCTGCCTGGTGGGACGCAACAACTGTACACAGAAGTGGAGGAATGCAACTCACAGTTGAACGGGAGTGTATATAATCCATTGAGCTCATAATGAGAATCATAGAAATTTCTTGAGAGAAGTGCAATGCCGTGATGCGCGAGGTTGAGTAATTACACCGCTTGAGAGCTCCACTGAGGTACCTGGTAGTGCGTTTATGCGCACACATGTCCGCACACACCCGGCGCTAGTATTTTCTGGTGTTTTAGCTTATCCGGCTTCGATCTTCTTATCTTATCGATTGCCATTGCCGTACCAAAATTTCTTCGACATCTTCCGCCAAAAGAAGGAAACCAATCCCCATACAAGACCGCTTCCACTGCCATTTCGCCCAGCCGCAAAAATGGTGAAACGAAAGGTTGCGGCGCTCGAGAAGATCGATGCGGACTTGTATGTCATGATCTCTTTGAATGTTGCCCTTGCAATCTCTCGTCGTGCTAACAATTCTTCACAGCGCGAGTCTTCAGTACAAAATCCGTCGGGATCCAAAGTAAGCCCTTCTTCTTGGACAGCAATCCATTTGCCATCTCTCCCAAAGTACTTGCCACTCACCAGCCATATTTTTAACCCAATAGATCCTACAAGGACGACTTCCTGAAACAGTGGGAGCAGTATGAAGCGCAGCGCGAAATCTTCTTCACCTCGCCGACGACGGCGGCGGCCGACACGGTGGAGTCCTTCCACAACATGATCGACCTCATCGCGCACGTCGCCGACTGCTACCCCGAGGAGACGCGGACGTTCCAGGACGACCTCAAGGCAATTGTTGCGCAGCACCACGAGACGCTGCACCCGGAGCTGAGGGACAAGGTCGTGGGCAGCCTGGTGCTGCTGCGGCGCAAGGAGGTGATTGACTCGACCAGCCTGCTGACGACGCTGTTCCCGATCCTCGTGTCCTCGCGCAGCAAGTCAATGCGGGAGATGCTCTTCCAGAAGATCCTCAGCGACATGCGCAACTCGAATTCAAAGTCGACCAATCACCCGCTCAACAGGACGATCCAGGCTGTCTTGTACAACCTCGTCACGGCGGATCGCTCCTCGCCGAGGGCTATCTGGGCGATTAAGCTGACGCGCGAGCTGTGGAAGCGGCAGGTCTGGACGGATGCGAAGCCGGTCGATGTCATGAAGGAGGCTTGTCTCGCGGACAACGAAAAGGTCATTGTCGGGGCCACGCGGTTCTTCCTGGGCGGCGACAAGGAGCGCGAGGAGCTCGAGGACGAGAGCAGCGACGAGGAGATTGACCTGGCCAAGGTGAAGCATCAGATCACCATCAACAAGAAGTCAAGGAAACAGAAGGAGGCGTACAGAAAGGCAGTCGACAAAGTCAAGAAGCAGGAGAAAAAGAAGTCAAAACCTCACCCGCTCAACTTTTCGGCGCTACACTTGCTACACGATCCGCAGCTGTTTGCCGAGCAGCTGTTTGAGAAGCACCTGCAAGGGACGAAGAACAAGCTCTCACTGGATACAAAGCTGCTGGTCTTGCAGCTCGTCACCCGACTAGTCGGTCTACACAAGCTCACCATTGTGCCGCTGTACTCGTGGTTCATCAAATACCTTACGCCCAAGCAACAGTCCGTCACGTCCATCCTCGCGTCTCTGGCGCAGGGCGTGCACAACCTGGTGCCTCCCGATGCCTTGGAGCCCCTTATTCAAAAGATTGCCAACGAGTTCGTCTCCGAAGCCTCAGCCTCTGAAGTGGCTGCAGTGGGTCTCAATGCCATTCGCGAGATCTGTTCCCGACAGTCACTGGCCATGACGGAAACGCTGCTGCAGGATCTAGTCCAGTACCGCAAGAGCAAGGACAAGGGCGTCATGATGGCCGCCAAGGGCCTCCTGTCTCTCTACCGAGAAGTGGGCGCCGAGATGCTCAAGAAGAGAGACCGCGGCAAGGATGCCACCATGGGCCTGAGCTCCGGCATGATGAAGCAGCGCAAATTCGGAGAGGAGGAAATCGGCGGCATCGAAGGCCTCGACCTGCTCGCCAAGTGGAAAGAAGAGCAGCGAAAGAGGAAGCGCGCCGAAAAGGGCCTGCCGGAGGACGGCAGCGACGGCTCCGACGACGAGAAAGATGCAGACGAGGACGACGGGTGGGAGATTGATTCCGACGACAGCAGCGACTCAGGGGAGTGGATCAACGTCGAGCACTCTTCAGACGAGGAGGACGAACCGGCGCCCAAGAAGCGCAAAGGAGAAAACGCCGCCGACGACGACGAGGATGAAGACGAAGACGAAGAGGCCAATGCGGAAGACGAAGCCGCCGAGCTCGAACGCATGACCAAGCTCGCCACAACCACCATCCTCACGCCCGCCGACCTCGCCAAACTGCAAGAACTCCGCGCCGCCGCCTCCGTCCAGAAGGCAATGGGTGCCCGCACCCGCAAGCGCCAGACCAACAACGACGCCAACAATAACGGCACGACGCACCAGGACGACGGCCTCACAGCCGAGAACATCGAGGCGCCCATCCGCCTCCGCAAGCTCACAAAGGAGGAAAAAGTAGCCCTCGCAAAGGAGGGCAAGCCCGACCGCGACGAGCACAAGAGCACGCAGGCGATCCGCAAGTCCAAGAAGGACGCCGCGGGCAAGAGCACGAGCAACCGGGAGAAGCAGCGCAAGAAGAACTTTTTGATGACGCTCGGCAAGGCAAAGAGCAAGCAGAAGAGGAGCCTGGTCGAGACGAGGAAGGTCTTGAGGGGCCATGTGGAGAGGAGTACGAGGGGTGGGCGGAGGAGGAACGGTACATGAGACTTGGGGGGGGGTTTGTTTTTGTAGGTATATATACCGTTGTTTGTGCATTTCTCTACAGCAGTGATGGGAGGTGTGATTTGTCTTTTCTTTGCAAGATACAAAGGCGGTTTTGTTGCATATATAATAGGGCAATTTGACGTGCTAGAGATAGACAAGTTTCAAGACATGGAACGAATCGAGCAAGCACGATCTGAGCGTCAGGTCTATGTGTGTTTGGCATGTAATCATTATATGTATTGTGTGGCCGCCACCTCTGTAGCAAAGGCGGCGGGACAATACTGGTATCAGAAAACATTCATACAATTCCGTTTCCAGAACAAAAACAGACTCTCAACCACATCACTCCATCACCCCATCTCTACAACTACTGAACAGTAGTCACCATGGGCTTCTCATGATCAATCTTCTCCGCAATCTCCTCGTCGTGCGTGTGGCCCTGCGTGCCAACGTCTGTCTCGCTAAAGGCGTCCACGACGTCACGATACGCAGGCACAAAGTTGACGCAGAAAGCATACGACCAGGCCACGACGAAGAAGGACAGGGGCACGACCATGCTGATGCCGCTTCCTTGATGCTCCGCAGCCGCAAAGGTCAAGGGAGGCACACAGGCACCGCCGACGACGCCACCGACGATGAAGCCACTGCCGCGCTTGGTGTGTCTGCCAAGGCCTCGCATGCCGAGGGCGACAATGGTGGGGAAGCAGACGGACTCGAAGAAGAGCACGACGTAGAGCATGGCAACGCCGGTGTTGTTCCCCTGGGTGATGGCCGGGCAGATGAAGATGATGCACATGCTGATGAAGACGAGGAAGATCCATCGAGGCTTCACAAACCGCATGATGCCGCTTCCCGTGAATCGGCCAATGGCAAACGCGGCCTGGGCGCCGGCGAACAGCTTGGAGCCGAGGCTGCTCGATGTGCCGGGTCGAGTCGCTACGGCGTAGTTGATGAAGGAACTGGCGATGGCTACCTGGGCACCAGTGTAGCAGAACTGGGCGAGCGCGGCGTGGAAGAGTCTGTATTGCTTCCAGAGGGGCTTGTCGTCTGAGCTGCCGTGAGCTTCTTGAGCCTGGAATGCCATATCTATAAGTGACAAGTGCGTTAGCAAAGAGTAGTTTCAACGGCAAACACGTGTTACTCACCAGCATTGGTAATCTCGGGTATCTTGGCCAAGAAGAACAAGCTCGCCAGCAGAAGCACGAAGACGACGATGGCCAGGTACACCCATTGCACGTTCTGAAGGGCACGCTCGTCGCTAAAGTTGAAGAAGACGTAGGAGCCGAGAACAGGGGCAATGACGGTTCCAATGCCGTTGAAAGCCTGTGAAATGTTGATTCGAATCTCAGAGTACTTCGGCGGACCGCAGACTGAGAGGGAAGCACATCGTGTTAGCGGAAATCCACAACGGCGAGGGGCAGCCTTCAAGCATAACTGCGTTGGGCGACAGCACTTTACATACCGGTGATGAAAGGGTTGGCGGCCGTCTCAAGAGAGCCAAGGCCATTGCCGATGATGAAGATGGATGCGCAGAAGCCGCCAAAGGACTTGGCCTTGATGCAAGGAATGGCGATGGCAGCGCCTACCGCGTACAGGAAGAGACCCCAGATGAAGACGGCTCTGTATCCATAGTGGCGGAGGATCCAGGCTGCGTGTCCGAGAGATGCCAATGGATATGCGCTGGAGATGTCGCTGTTAGCTCACGTACAGCTAGCTGCTGGATCAGGCCACCCGGCATCACGAGATGGAGCAGGTGCCATTGGGTGTGTATCGTGCGTCTTGCATGTATATCCGCACGCTGAGATGACAGGGACTCACCCAAAGTAAGCGGCCTGCAGACCAGAAGAACGGGCCTGGTCGATATGCAGCGTGTTTTGGAAGTGCTTGTTCAGCGTGTCGAGCAGGCCGTAACTGAAGCCCCAGAGGAAGAAGAGGACGGTGACGAGGGCGAGCGGAAAGATAGACTCCCTCAACGTGAGCTCGGCAGCTTTCGTGCGGCTCTTGTCGTTGGCCTTGAGCGACCGCTCCTTGAAGAAGGACGCAACACCCATGATGGCAAGTCTCGGACTGAAGAACCGTACCACCAGGGAAGAGGAAGGGAAGAGAGGAGACAGATGGAGGAGTTGCTGAGATGCTCTCCAGCAGAGTTGCACTTTTTTCATGCTGGGAATGCGACCCTTTTGACTGACTTGGGACGACCAGCCCCTCCCAACCATCACCAGCCAGGGTTTGTTTGGACGGACTCGCAAAGAGGCATTGCCTGGATGGCCTGCATCGTATTATTGCAGCAATTGCTTCCCAGGCAGAATGTGGACATGATCATCCGGGCCATCACCGGCCTCATTCCCCTTGTTGGTACTAGCCCAGCCGCACTGCAAAATCCCGTCGGCAAAATTGGCGTTTGGCTTGTCCATGCCATTGCGTTCCTTTAGGGTGTGGCGTCGAGACTCTTCTCGCGTTGGCTGTTGAAATATCCGGTAGGCAATGGAAGAAAGGAAGAGGCGCTTCCTTGTGGCGTCGTCCGCTTCCCAGGCTCACCATCCCCCAGCAAGAATTCTCCGCGACAACTGCGGTCGAGTATCATCCGAGCTCCTCACTGCCTCGCCCTCGATACCAAGCTGCACGCAAACGCTACCCGCCAGCCCGCCTTTAGCGATTCTGGAGAAAAGACGGGGCTCGCTGCGGAGATGTCTGAGCTTGCCGGGGTCCAAGGAGGCGGGGAAAGCAGCACGGCTGGCCATTGGCCTGAGGCAAGGCCTGGCGCCTTTGGGGATGCTGGGTCTCGAGTCAATGCTGCCCCGAAATCCTGGAAATTGCGCATCGACTTGGTCTGGGGGGGCACGAGGAAGATGGGCCGATGACGGTGGTTGTTGGTCTATGTACGGCCTGCTGTGCTCCTCTCCAGGAACCCTTCTGGTATTATCCCCAGCACCCATCACCGTCGCTCGAGACCGCCCCGAGATCCAATCTGGCACTGTCCCGAACGATGATCCCATGCGGGGAAAGACGTTGATGTTGCGTCGTCACGCTCTGATCTGCTTGCGCTAGAAGCCTTGGAATCTTCTACTCTCAGCAAGACACGAGCATCTGTTCTCTCGAGACTCGTGGGGGAGTCAAAGGCCGACTCCGAATGGGCTGCATCCCCCCCTCCCACCTCGAATCCTTGGATCCTCGTGCTGGTGGCGTCCGGTAGCCGCAGTTTGGCTCCCCCATGGCGCTTACTTTTCCCCGACATCTTCGCGGCAGATTGGCTGGGCAGCATATGCCGGTTAAGCATAGCGGCGTGCGGAGAAGTTGGCAAAGCGACCGAGTCGGATCTCTGCAGTTTGTTTGAAGAGCCACGCAGTGGTTCGGACGAGTCGAAGGAACAGCATAACGCTGCAGCGTGGAGATGCCCACGGTATGCACAGTAGATGCTCGGTTGGTCAAGACAAGTGCAGATGCCAGAGGTCAGAAGAGGAGATGATACCTGATACCTCTGTCAAGTCTCATCACGTGAACCTCCTCCCTTCTCAATCTGCCTCTCTGCCTGAGGAATCTACGCCAGCTCTTGTAAGTAGGTATGCACGAGCAAAAACATGTCTGTGAATACCTAAATTCGCACCTCAATATCCTCTCCTCTGCGTTTGTTGTGACAGGCAGCGGTTGGCCAGTAACAGCGTCTCGGCTATTTGATCTGTGGCCGACCTCACCTTGTCCACCTTGTACTTGTCCACCGATGAAAGCACCCGTCGGGAAGAAAACAACGGTTCCATGCAAGCTTCACTTCCCCAGACTCTCCATCTGCATCTGCATCTCCAGCTCCAGCTCCAGCTGTTTCCAGCCCCAGAAGACCGCGGCTCTGGGGCCCCGGAATTCTGGAACCGCTTGGTTCGCTAAATCTGCTGTTGCAGTGGCGTTTTGGGGTTTGGATGCCTGAGAACTGGGATGTCAATGGCTGCATCTCTTCTCCAACGTGATCGTCATGCGGTGGTCGACCATTGAAGGCGACCGTGTCACATGTACGACAAGAACCGCATCCAATCCCAACCCATGCCCAAAAGAATGATTGGCTTCAGCTTACCTACGTAACGCAATCGACTGTGGCATTCCCAACCACGATCTTGGGCTTAGGGATGGGTTGCCTTGCGTACAGCTGAACAGCATTGAAAGTGAGGCGCAAACATCAGATGCCATCTCGAGATCGGATGGTTGAATCGCGGGGTTACACATGGCCGCTTTCATTCAATAATTTCCCGTCGGCTATCTTAAGATCAGGACTCTTCGCTCTATAGTCTACTGTGCATGTAACCCATCGTCTTTATGCTCAACCTGGCTCTAAATTACTGCGATACATCGCCTTCCGAAGCTCAAGTGCCTTTTAATTCTGTCCAACGGCTTTTCAACGAATAGGACCCTGACTAGCCGAGTACCAATATGATTGCGCCAATTCCTCAGTAACATATTCTGCGGCTGGCATGTGCATCACCTCGTCGGTTAACAGATCTGTCGTCTCAGGCTACTAGTAGTCATATTCAATTGTCATGATGATACTTATTCTTCACCCTTAACCTTTTTTTTTTTTCCCTTTTACACATTAACGAATAATCCTACGACAAGTGGTGACAAATGCTTCTGCTTGTTGCAAGGACTGCAGAATAGCGCGACGGGTTGACATGGAGCGGCAACTTGATGACAGACTTACATATCAGACACTCGTCTGATGACTGCTTGCTGCTGGAGATGTTTGGCTGCCGCACATGGAATCTCTCTGGACGATATCAAACTTTTGCAAAAAGGCTAATGACATACAGGACCTGGGCGAAGAACTGCGTCCCATCTTTCAGCTCTGCCAATTAGACTTTGCTCTCCGACTGCATTATTCAACCCAGCTGCCCTAATGAATGATGTATATTTATAATGATACCTTGTTCGATTGTTGCTCCCGTCTGACGTTCTTCCCAATGGGCTGCTGTCGTTTTGGTTACTAGGTAGGTAGCTTAAGATGAGTCCCTTGTGAACAAGATCTGATACGGCAATACATCTTGTTCTTTGGCGGCTCGTCAATCATGCCAAGCCTTGATCCCAATAACTACACTGGACACCATTACTCCAGTTACTGGGAATCATGCTGTATTGAGAGTGCTAATCAAGCACACAGACATCTATCCTAAGAGTCACATTCAGGAGGATGTTGTAGATTTATCACTGTCGCATACGATCCGATTTCTAAGGAATTGATTAATATGATGTCCTGAGGGATGAGACCTTTATCTGTATGGTGTCGAAGTGACAAAAGATTCCGTGCTCCTCATATCAGCTCTATCATTATAATGTTTCTAACGTTACGGCTCAAGCCGTTGTAGACAACGTCTGTAAGCTACTTATTGAGAGGAATTGCACTGCGTGAGTATAGCTGTGGAATTCATGAATAGAGGACCACATTCGCTAATATATTTATATCAAAAACACATCGTCAAAGTCTGATAAAATCCCAAAACATGTCACCAGAATCAAACTTTCCTTGATTGCAGGGTCTCAAAAGAGCTCCTGTGGTATATCGACAAGACCCACCTCGGTGAGCCGGCAGATGCCATGGTGGGGCGCTGGTGACGCGGGGCTCACCGAGATCAAATCCGGCGTCTTAATTAATTTTTTTTTTCCTGCCTCCAGCAAAATTCCGGCAAACATCTGATCACGGTTGCCACAATGTCCAGAAGTACGGTGCAGCCCAACGGGTGGGTTGCAATCAGGCTGCCGAGCGAAGTTACACGTGTTCTTCAGGTCATTCCCAATACGTCAGTCTCTACTTATTCCCCCTTCCTCTCTTGGCTCCCTTGTCTTGTTTGTCGGTTCTCGAAGAGACGGCTGTGCGACTGACACGCTTGCAGAACCATATCCCTGGGCAAATATGGCTCGTTTCCGAGTAACCTCATAATCGAGCGGCCCTACCACCTCACCTACGAGATCCAGGACAAGCTCGAAGGCGAAAGCTTCCCCCGGCTGCGAATCGTCCCCGGCACGGAACTCAATGCCGACAAGCTCGCCGACGTGAGCGCCGAGTCCGCCGAGGGCGACGAGGTCATCGAGCCGGCAAATGGGGAGCAGCTCACGCTCATCGACGAGGAGAGCGGCAAGGTAGTCGCACGGTCGAACCGCGAGGTCATTGACGAATCTGCGCGCCAGACGCTCACAATGGCCGAGATTGACCAGCTCAAGAAGGAGGGCGCTTCGGCGGGCAAGGAATTGATCGCCAAGCTCATGCTCTCTCACACGGCGATTGACCAAAAGACGGCCTACTCGCTGGCCAAGTACAAGCTGCTGAAGGAGAAGAAGTACATGCGACGGTTCACGGTGCTGCCGCTGGACGTGGCGCAGCTCGGGCACTGGATGCTGGTTGAGCGAGACGCGAGCAAGATCATGGAGATGCGGCAGGAAATGATTGGGCTGCTAGGGTGCTGGGCTGATGTGCACTTTGGCGGCCTGCCTATCGAGGGCGCGCAGAGTCCGCATGGCGGGCGGTGGCTGGCTGTTGACGATACGGGAGGCCTGCTGGTCGCGGCCATGGCTGAGAGAATGGGATTGTTGCACGCAGAATCTCCAGAGGAAGAAGGGACATCAAGAGATGCCGCCCAGCAGGAGCAGAACCCAGAAGTGCAGCCCGACGGCGAAGAATCGGGCACAGCGGCAGCAGAGCCATCGTCGGCTAGACCACAGCGAAACAGGCCCAAGAGGCCCCGGAAAGACGACCTGGACGACCACTACGCCCTCACAAACAGCATCACCCTCATCCACGCCAACTCGCAGCCCAACCTCTCCCTCCTCCGCCACTTCGACTACGACTTCAGCGACCCCAACCCGCCGTATCCCTACCACCCGCTCTTCACCCACCTGCTACCCATCTCGTGGCTCCAGCTGCTGGATCCCGAAGCGGACCCTACGTATGCAGAGCTGGCGCCGGCCGTCGACGCCGACGTGCTCGCGTCCTGGAAGACCAACCGCCGCGCAAACTACCACCGCAAGCGCCGGCGATGGGCTCGCACGCGCCAAATCGTCGACGCGACGCGGGCGGGCGGCTTCTCCGGCCTCGCCGTGGCGAGCACCATGGACCCCATCTCGGTGCTGCGGCACGCGCTCCCGCTGCTCGCCGGCGGCGCGCCCGTGGCCATTTACTCGCCGACGATTGAGCCGCTGTCGCAGCTGGCGGACTGCTTCAGCATCAGCCGGCGCGGCGCCTGGGTGTCGAACCCGCCGCCCGAGGCGGAGGGCAAGACGCTCAAGGAGCTCGAGACCTGGGCCGGGACGCCCGACTTCCCCATCAACCCGTCGCTGCTGATTGGGGCGCAGGTGCAGACAAGCCGGGCGAGGAGGTGGCAGGTCTTGCCGGGGCGGACGCATCCGTTCATGACGGAGAGGGGCGGGGCGAGCGGTTATGTGTTTACGGGGTGGAGGGCGATTCCTGCCGAGGGCAACATTATGGCCCGGGGCAAGTTTCAGAGAAAGAAGCCCAAGACTGAGTAATGTGTTGGATTTTTCTCTTCGATGGATATGTATGGCGGGTCAAAATAGATATAGAGGCCGATATCAGACCGTGTGCGTCGATGTTTTTCAAGTCAAATAGAACGTGTGAATACCCTCCAGGAGTTGTTGCATATGGAAGTCCCTTGACCTGGAAAGGGTAGACAAAAGATTCGAAAGCGGCTTTACAATCGATCGACCTGCGGGAATATAGAATAACATTGTCGGTCTAGATGCCACCACGTCACGCCCTCCTCGCCATCTCTTACAACGACTTGCCCATAAACTTTCTCTTTGCAAAACTCAGCCACCACTTGCTGGGCTTGGACTCGTCCTCCTCGTACACCCTAGCCAGTAGTCGTGATGCGAGCTCCTGTCGGACCTGTGCCATGTACAGCTTGAGCTGCTCTGCCTCCTGCCTGTCTTTAGGGGGTTCGTACATCTATACACACACACACACACACATACGTGTCAGCCACCTACAATTCTCAGAGAATCGAGTTGTGTGGGAAAGGCACAGAGGAGAGTGACAAACCTGGTTCAGGGGGAAACCGGGATCACCAGGGATGGCAAAGTTGAGGTCCAGCGCGAGGTTATTCACCTCCTTGCTGGCCTCGCGCAGAGTGGCATTGGGCTTGATCCTCTGCAGGCAGTCGCTGACGAACCAGATGCCGTAGACGAGCAGGCGGTCGGCGGGGCCCTTGATCTCAAAGTTGCGGAAGAAGGTGTTTGCGCGGAAGAGGCGGAGGACCTCGTCGAGGATGTCGTAGCTCTCGCTCTCGATCTCGGGGGACTCGTGCGCGGGAAGAGGCGGGTTCGGGAAGGGCAGGACGTAGGCCGGGCCGCGGGTCTTGGTGCGCAGGGGGAGGAGGGGGAAGTTGCCGATGAGGCGGGGAGGGTTGGGGTCCGAGTTGAAGTCGGAGTTGTAGGCCTTGAGGAGTCGCGGGAGATTGTTAGCGGGTTTGGGCACGGAGGAGTTGACGCTGGCTGGAGGGTGAAAAGAGTCGGGGGGATTTTGGGTCGGGGGACGCTGTCGGCGAGCTTCAGGAGAGCTTCAGGAGAGCTTCAGGCGGATCGGGCGATGACATCTCTTCCCCCGTGACGTCTGGGGATCGGGCTCTGAGGGGGTTTCTGTAGCCTCAGGTAGCAGGGCACAAAGCATCACGTACCGGCATCTTGGAACAGCAATGGCTCGAGGCGGCGATTGAGGCGTGGAAAAGCAGAGCGGCGAGATGATGGTTTGGCGGGGCTCCTCTCCAGCAGCACAGGGCCGAAGCTGTCGTCAACTGGCGGCCAGCTGTGGAGACTCCAGACTTGGGACGCTGAGAAGCAACAGTCATTCATTCCGCCCCCGTGCTTATGTCATCGCTCCTGTGACTATGTCACACCATGCCCCAGCGCGGTGTTGCCACAGCCAGGCAGCACAAGCCACAAACAAGCCCCCCCGCACCGCCACGGCGCATCCGGCTGCCTAAATCACGTGAATTCGCTCACCGGTCGCGCCGCCTGCCTGCCCGAGAGGACGCGCCTCTTGCTGACTCCCGGGCCCTGCGATTGGGAGAGACAACAAACAGAAGCGTTAAAAGCAGACGCAGGTTCGGGCTCTCCTTTGTTGGGCGGCGTGACAAACAACGTGGATTGATCACCACAGAATGGCACCTCGGCGTTTCTCCTGACATTCAGTTGCGCGTTTGCTGAAAGGCCAAGAGGAAACTTGCCGGCGGCTGTCTCACGTCTTACTGGATCCGGACTCCTCATCGTGCAAAAGAAAGCCTCTCTGCCGTTGTCCTTCTCACTCTCACTCCCCCTCTCTCCCTCGTTCACATATTCATCACTGTCGCCCTTATTTCATTGCCCTCGTCTGTTCGCGGCTTCACGCACCGCTGTCAAGTCCCCGGCTTACTCTCCCCTTCACTACCTACTTCTCCAAATTTCTCCTCATCTTGCCTTTGGTGGCTTTTATCCAACGAACCGCCTGCACATCTACCCAAGAAGGAGAGAAAAGGGCAAAGGAATTAAGCAGGGAATAACAAAGGTAGGCAGGCGTGCAGCAGCGCATCTCTCGCTCACTCATCTCGATTTTTTTTTTTTTTCTTTTCGTTTTGCTGGTCGCGTCACCGCGGGGGCGCTTCGTTATTACAGCCAGAGGCGGGCGCTCATCCAAATCGCGATTCACGCATCGAGGCACTGAGATTCTGTCGAGCTCAGCAACCGCGCCATGGCCTTGTATGCCAGCAAAGTGTCACTCCTTTACGCACACCACCTGCTAACGACTCTTTGCAGCTCCATGTTCAGCCAGGGCTCCTTCGTCGCCAAGCTGCGCGGGCTGGTCGACGACATGACCTCATCACCTCGAAGCCCCTCCAAGTCGCCCTCGTCCAGCCCCGAGACGGACAGCGACAAGGTGGTAGAGACGCCGGAGATGACACCGCCGACGACGCAGAGGCCCAGGAAGCTCAAGTCCCCGCCGTCGCAGCCTCAGCCTCGTCCGCCTCTCCCGCCTCGTCCGCCTCGCATCCGCCGCCCCAGGAAGGGCTCCCTCCGTGACATCCTCCGCCAGCACGCCGGCACCGCGCTCTTCATGCGCCCCATCTGCTGGACAGATCTTCACGCCAGCCTGCTCGGGGCGCGCTTCTGTGAGCTGCCCCCTTGCGACACGCCACAGCCTTGCGACCTGCCGGGCCCCACGCCGTCGCAGGGCCACATTCAGCCGTCGGACACAATCACCAGGCTGAGCGAGGCGCTGACGGAGATCCTGACGCCCCTTTCGCCGGTAGCAAAGCCGACTTCCACAGCCGTCAAAGTCATCCTGTCGACGCTGTGGCCGGCGGCGTTTGCCAAATCGCACACGGCACCAGAACTCAACATGTACTATGGCGATAAGGTCTACTTTGACGCCGTCCGTGCCCAGGCGCTATGGAACTTTCCTCCAAACCCTCCCACCTTGTCATCACAAAGCTCTACCGCGACAATAATAGCCCGCCCTTGCGAGTCTCATGGCTCCCTAGCATCAACCACCACAGCCCACTCGCCTGCCAACCTACCGATGCTATGTTATATCGGAAAGCAACAGCTGGCGACAATACGCCAACATCTCTTTCGCGTAGGCACTGGGCCCGATGCCAAGCCCAACATGCCTGTATTACGGCTACAGCGGCTGCGGGCGAAGCAGCTCATCCCCACAGACTCTGACGAAGATGCGCATTTCGTCGGCATTTTCCTGGCCATGGCCCAGCGCCACTTCTACACAACGCCGGTCAAAATCCCCAGAGAGGGATATTGGCCGCCGCGAGAGGGTCGTTGGTCGCCGCGGGAGGGCAAGCCTCCCAGACCCAACTTCCAGGATGTCAAGCTGAGAATCCTGACTCACGACAACGAGACGTGCGAGTTCCTGGTCTATACGGGGTACGTGACGGCCAAGTTCCTCGACCGGTTCTACGACCCCTCCTGCGCTCCGTTGGACGAAGACGGCAACGTTGAGGGGATGAAGATTGAGTTTACTCGCGTGCCCATCTGGCCCATCCTGGGGCTGCGGGAACGACTGGGAAAGGCCCTGGGCGAGGACATTGTGGGCCCGTTTGACCCGAGCAAGATGGAGACGTGGGAGTTTGACGGCCCGAGGCCTGAGCCGAGATCACAGGACTCGGATGCTACCGTTGCTACTGTTCTGACTTCTAAGCGCAAGCGTGGCAGCTCTCCATCCACATCGGGCGAGAGCTCAGAAGAGGAGTCGGATGATGATGATTCTGACTTGCCAGACAAGCGAAGATGCTTGAGTGAAGAGAGCCGTGTTGGCGTTGTGGTATAGAAAAGGGGATGAAAGAGGAAAAAGAAAGAAAGAAGAAGAACATGTTTCTGCAATTGGCGAGCGTGGACGTCGCCACTGGGCGTTGAAGGGACGATGTTATGAAGATGCACGATTCAACGGAATGCTTAGACGGAAGGGGGCCTCATATCAAGACGGACCGGCGCAGGTTCGAGCCAGGTCTTTTGAGTCGGTCGGGTGGTATCTCGTCAGGGATCTTTTTTGGTATTCTCTGGTTTTGTTCGTCAGGGCGGCTTGGCAATGCTCCAAGGCCTCAGTTGTGGCTTGGGATTCATTCATGACAGTCAGAGGGGCTCGTCTACCCGCCCCAATCGAAGTTCGTATCCGTATACTCCATAACGACAGCGAAATGAAAGCGACTTCATTATTCTTGACCATCTCTTGTATGATTCTCCAGATGCTCGCTGGTGGATGAAGAGCAGGCTTGGTATATCCCAGCCGGTGGATGAGTGTCCGGGCGAGGTAATTCAACGACACGCTGGAAGCAACATTGCTGGCAGAGCGTTCAGTGACCCAGCTTGTTCCGGAGATGGTATACAGTCAAGATATTATCGACACGATAGTCTAGTACCACCCGTGTTTCTATTCATCTCCACCTGGATAAATGATCGTGACACATTGCATGCAGGGTGCGCCAAGTGTGTGCGACGGCGGTCCTTGTGAGGCCGGGACTTGGCATCAGATGATTGCTGCATGCATTCGTTCTCAGATTTGCGTCGTTGCACGGCATGGCTGCAGTCTGAGTTTGTAATGTAATGTGTCTTGACCTGTCTTTATACATCGTGGAGAGGCTATTCATTGTCAAAGTCGAGGTGATGTAGCTTAGGTTGTTTGTATGTTCTGGATGGACTGTGCAAGTACCTAGGTAGGTACCTACATCTTGCGAGCATGTGACCTGAGGGTGAGTTAACCAGATCCAGACTTGTCGTCTTTTGCTGTCTGCATTTATGCAGCTCGACTTTGCATCAACACCATCATCGATGAATAGGTAGGTACAACGCCAATGTCAGTCACAGTTGAGACAAAGACAATGGAAGAACCAGAGACCAAGCGGCTGCAGCTCTGCACCACAGCCATAGGCGCCCGTGGCTTGCCGCAACGCAGCTGCACATCCCCAAGCTGCCCTATTCAACGACAAGCCACCATGATCATCACGTCAAAGGAAACCCCCAACCTTCGCTCTGCCAGGCAGCACTCAAGAGCCAATAGTAAGCAATACTATCCTGAAGCCGGTGCCTCCCCGCATCTTGCATCTCGTGCCTGGACTGACCTCCCGCAGCCCACTAGCTAGTCGAGCCACACACACGGATAAAAAAAGGATTGACCTCGGCTCGCAACCCTACTGAAGCTGCTTCCTTGGGCGTATTCGACTGCCTTTCATACATCTTCATCCTTCATTCTGACATGTGCTTTGGGGAGAACTCACGACATTTTGACAGCTCAGCTCGGGAACCAACGGCCCCGGTGACCTGCCCAACCCAACCACCCCCCCTGTCAACGTTACAACCACAACCGTCCACCCCGCATTCTCTTCTTCTACTACCCCACGGGGAAAATGGGACAGACACGATTCTAGAGGCCATCGTTCGCTCTTCTAGGCAGCTCGCAACATGTCCAAAGAGCGGGGTGAAGAGCAGAGAGCTCACGGAAGCAGCAACAAGGCCGAAGGGTTCAATGCATATCGCTTATTGCCCAGCATGGAGCTCCACCTGAGAAACGGGCACGAGACCGCACAAAAGAGGCGGCAACCGTTGGAAAAGAAGGCCCGTCCGTTCAAAAGGGCAGATAGTATGCAGTGTAGCCCTCCCTTCTTCTCCCGGCTTGGCTTGGCAATAGTTTGATTTCTTCTCCCCTCCCTCCCGTGTCTCGGCGGACCGCTTCTCTTTCGAATACGCAATGGCTCTGTCTCTTTTCAGCACATGAGCTGGTGCTTCCTGGGTTCAGCTGGGGAAACACAAGGCCCCAATTCGCCAAGTCGTCCGCATCTGAAGGCTGCCGGAGAGGGGTGGAGAAGGTCTATGCGCTCGTGCGCAGACTATCCGAAGAGTAGAAGGGAGGGCCGATGCTAAGGGTTGCGTGAAGGGCTCTTTTTTTTGTCTTTCTCGAGGATGCCAGATGGCTGGCTGCTGGCAACTGCCTGGCTCGCGCGAACCCATGCAGAGTTGTGCAGATGAGCGCCTCTCACTGCTATGCAGCTGGGCTATAAAAGGTTCCGGGCTCCTTGAGTTGTCTGGTTAGTTGATCACTCGAGCCTTCTTCTTCTCCATCTCTCCAGCATAGTTGAGTCTTCAACATGAAGCTGTTCAAGACTCTCCCGGCCCTCTTGGGCTTCTCGTCCTTGGCCGTGGCAGCCCCAACGCCAGAAAAGATTGAGAACATCGAGGCTCGATCCCCAGTCAGCGTCCAGCTGGCCTCTGGCACCGTGGTCGGCACCTCCCTAGCGGGCATCGACACCTTCAACGGAATCCCCTTCGCCGACCCCCCTGTGGGCAACCTGAGGCTGGCGCCTCCTCGAAAGCTGTCCAAGAACCTGGGCACTTTCACGACCCCCTTGCTTGCTCCCGCCTGCCCTCAGATGTTCCTCTCCACAGACTCGTCCAACATTCTCTTCAACCTCCTGGGCAGCTTCCTGCAGCTGCCGTTCCTGCAGACCATCACCGGTCAGGAAGACTGCCTGAACATCTCTGTCCAGCGGCCCAAGGGGACCAAGGCGGGGGACAAGTTGCCTGTCGCCTTTTGGATATACGGCGGAGGCTTCGAGCTCGGCGCCACCCTCACGTACGACGGCACCAGCCTCCTATCCTCGGCCGTCGCCCAGGGCCAGCCCTTCATCTACGTGGCCGTCAACTACCGCGTCGCCGGCTTCGGCTTCCTGGGCGGCGCCGAGATCCTGCGCAACGGCAGCGCGAACCTCGGGCTGCTGGACCAGCGCATGGGCCTGCAGTGGGTGGCGGACAACATCGCGGCCTTTGGCGGCGACCCGGACAAGGTGACCATCTGGGGCGAGTCCGCGGGCGCCATGTCCGTCTACGACCAGATGGTGCTGTACGGCGGCAACGCCACGTACAACGGCAAGCCCCTGTTCCGCGGCGCCATCATGAACTCTGGCACGGCCGTGCCCGCCGAGCGCGTCGACTCGCCCAAGGCGCAGGCCATCTACGACAACGTCGTGAAAAAGGCCGGGTGCAGCGCCTCCGCCGACTCGCTGGCGTGCCTCCGCCAGGTGCCCTACAGCAAGTTCCTCGCCGCCGTCAACGCCGCGCCGGGCATCCTGTCCTACAGCTCCCTGGGGCTGTCCTACCTGCCGCGCCCGGACGGCGTCGTCCTCCCGGACAGCCCCGAAGCGCTCCTGCAGCAGGGCAGGTACCACGCCGTGCCCATGATTGCCGGCGACCAGGAGGACGAGGGCACGCTCTTCTCCATCTTCCAAAGCGACGTCAACAGCACGCCGAGCCTCGTGACCTGGCTCTCGGAGTACATGTTTTCCCAGGCGACGCGCGCGCAGCTGACGCAGCTCGTCAACACCTACGACACGGCCATCTCCAGCGGCAGCCCCTTTCGCACGAGCATCCTCAACGAGCTCTACCCGGGCTTCAAGCGCACGGCGGCCGTCCTCGGCGACCTGGCCTTTACCCTGACCCGCCGCCTGGTCCTCACCGAAGCCGCGCGCCAGAATCCCAGCGTGCCCATCTGGTCATATCTCTCGTCGTACGACTACGGGACGCCATTCCTGGGGACCTTTCACGCGTCGGACATTTTGCAGGTGTTTTACGGCCTGTTGCCCAACAATGCCATGCGGAGCTCAAGGACATATATATTCAACTTCATCTACAATCTCGATCCGAACGTCGGCGTCAAGGGGTTCGCCAATTGGCCCAAGTGGACGGCGCAAGGTCGGCAGCTCATGTGGTTCGAGACGGGGGACGCGAATAGTTTGCTCAAGGACGACTTTCGGGATGATAGTTTTCAGTGGATTGCGAACAATTCTGCTGTCTTGAGGGTGTGAGCGGATTTTTTTTCTTTTTGGTTTGATCGGTTTGTGGAAAAAGATGGGCGTTTTGGGTTAGGAGTTTTGGTCTGAGTTGCTTTGACTCTGAGGGTTATTATGAAAGGCATCTTATGTATATCGGTACATTGTATGAAATGTTTGATGGATTGAGAAAGGATGGTAGGGTAAAAATGATATATGAACATATGTAAGTTGGAAAAGCCTGACTGCTGCGTCATCTCATCTGGATACAAGCTCGTTGGCAACAAACAAACATCGCGAGTGCTATGCGTAGACATGATGCTGCGTTTCCTTCATTTATACATTGTGACGCCTGGAGTGACCCATAAAATAGTGAGATGGTATCAGAAAAGGAGTCAACCAAGGTCATTTGAAAAGCCATTTATTTCATTTTCAAACCAACCGTGGGCCGTGCCTCACAGTTGCTTGTATATATACACTATGGTCTTGATTGCCCATACTTGAAAACTCCTCGTCACCCAAGGAAGTATTTCTCAACAACACAAGTTCAAAAGTATCCATTCTCCGACAGCCACTGCTTGAGCGCCTCGGAATCGCGCTTCTTGTACGCAGCCCGCCCCCTGATCCTGTCCTTGGCCGTCTCCAGCGTCCGGTCAAAGCTGTGAGTGTCCTTGTCCTTGAAGAACTGCTCAATGTCGTCCAGCACGGCGGCGTCGGTGAACGTCTTGAGGCTCAGGCCGATGAAGCGGTCGACGACAATGGGGTTGCCCAGCTTGGCCACGGCGAGCTCCCAGTTGCTCTTCAAAAACTCCCACTGCAGGGTGCGGCCGACGGGGTGGGCGGCTAGGTTGCCGCCGAGGACGTGCATGTCGGCGGCCGGGACGGCGTTGTGGGGGGGAGCCGTGTTGAAGTTGAAGGGGATGAGGTTGTTCTTGACAATGTCGGCGTCGTCGACGGTCGACAGGGCGGCCAGGGCAATGAGCTTGCCGTCAATGGACTTGGTGGTGAACCACTCCTTCTTGAGCACCTCGACGTTCTTGGCCGCGTTGTCGTCCAGGCCGGCGCGCCAGACGGCGCCTCGGAGAGACGGGTGGATGGCGTTGGCTTCCGGGTTCTCGACCCAAGCGTTGAATCGCTTGATGGCCTCTGCCTTGACTCTGTTTGACGGTTTAATACAAAGGCTTCTTCTATAACGATAAAGAAAAGGGGGGGGGGGGGGGGGGGGGCAAAACTTACTCGGGATGATCCGCAGCGACAGCGGCGGCAATGAGGTCCTTGCGGAGAATGCCGCCAAGGTAGTTCTCGCCCTCGGGGAACTCCCAGCCAACCTGCTTCACCTTTTCGTCCATCAGCTTGACGGCAAAGTTGTTGAGACCCTTCTTAATTTCCTTGTCCTCCCCAAAGACGGACTTGAGGTCGCCGATGCAGCCCAGGATCTGGCTCCAGACAAGAGGGTGCTCCTCCTTCTGGAAGCCCTGCAAAAAGGTCAGCAGGGCCGAGGCGGAGCTGTTGCCGGCAAAGGCGAGATCCGCCGTCGAGCCGATAATGGCAATCTTGTCCTCGGTGCTGAGCTTGTCGAGCTGGCTGCTCAGCTTGGCCAGGCGGGCCGGGGGATAGGCGACACGGTAGAAGCCGGTCGCGCCGCTGTTGAGCTTGTAGAAGTCGGTGTCGATGTCGTCAATGATGTCCTCCTTCTTGGTCAGGGACAGGGCAGAAACGCCAGGCTCGCCCTTCTTGCCAGCCAGGCCCAGGGGAACCCACCAGGTGGTGGTGTCGTCCTCGGGCTTGACGTCGCCGGTAGACAGGAATCGGGACTGCTTGATGGCCAGCTTGCCGGGCTCCTCGGAAACGGTCAGGACCGGGTGGCCAATCTTGGAGATCCAGGGGTGCATGATCTGGTTAATGTCCTTGCCGGAAGCCTCGGCCAGGGCATCCCAGAGAGCCTTGGTCTTGGCGTTGCCGTAGGCGTGGGCCTTGAGGTAGTTGGAGACGCCCTTGAGGAAGGTCTCGACGCCGAGGTGGTTGGCGAGCATGCGGATGGCAGAGCATCCCTTGAGGTAGCTGATGTGGTCGAAGATCTGGTTGACGTCGAGGGCGTCGCGGACGGGGACGTGGATGGGGTGGCTGGCGCGGATGCCGTCGAGGCGGAAAGCGTTCTCCATGCCCTCGCTGACGAACTGGGCCCAGACCTGCCAGTCAGGGTGCAGGTGGTCGACGGCGTGCCATCCAACCCAGGTAGCGAAGCCCTCGTTAAGCCACAGCTCATCCCACCAGTCCATGGTCACGAGGTTGCCGAACCACTGGTGAGCGAGCTCGTGGGCAACGACGTAGGCGACGGCGTTCTTGAACCGGGCATCCGACGTCTTCTCGTCAAAGAGCACCTGGGTGGTGCGGTAGGTGACGAGGCCCCAGTTCTCCATGGCGCCGTGCGTGAACTCGTGGACGGCGAGCAGGTCCGACTTGGGCAGGGGGTAGTCAATGTCGAAGATCTCGGAGAAGTAGTCAATGATCTTGGGGGCGTGCTCGAGAGCCCAGCGGCCCTGCTCCTTGAGGCCGCGGGTGGTGTAGACGCGGACGGGGATCTGCTTGCCGTTGTACTTGCGGTCGGTCAGCTGCTCAATGTACTCAAAGTCGCCGACAGCCCAGGCCAGGAGGTAGGAGCTCATGAGGGGCGAGGTCTCAAAGGACACGAGGTGCCAGCCCTCCTTGGTGGGCTTGGTCTCCTTGACGGGCATGTTGCTCAGGGCGACCTGGTCGACGGGGATCTCAATCTCAAAGTCGTAGGTGGCCTTGAGGTTGGGCTCGTCGAAGCAGGGGAAGGCCCGGCGGGCGTCGCACGACTCAAACTGGGTGCTGAGCATGTAGTGCCACTCGTCGTCGCGGGGGACCGAGGCGGCCGGGGTGGCGGCGGGCTTGTACTTGCTGCGGTAGAAGCCGGCCATCTCGTTGTTGATGATGCCCTCGAACTCGATGACGACCGAGGCCTTGCTGGCGACGGGGATCTCGGCGTCAAAGGCGACGGTGGCGCGCTGGGCCTTTGCGTCGTACGAGACGTTGGACGACTGCCATGACTGCTCGGACTTTGTGTGGTCGAGGGTGACCTTTGCGTTGAGCAGCTTGAGCTCGAGAGCGTTGACGACGAGTTCCTTGGTGGGCTTGACGACTTCGGACTGGATGCTGCGATGGGTCAGATGATGCTGAGCCGAGCGAGATGGTAGAGCAGAAGCTGGAGCTCCAACTTACGTCACAGTGCCCTTGTAGGTCCACGCCTTGAAGTCGAGATCGCGCAGCGACAGGACGTAGTGCGAGGGCTTGATGTTGTCGGGGAGGACGTCGCGGTCGGCCATTTTGTGCGGATTGTTTGCTCTGGCGTGTGCAGAGCAGGATCGAGAGGGTATCAAAGGGAGAAGAAAGCTGGAGAGAGGAGAGAGAGAGAGGAGAAGGAGGGGCAGGTTAGCTTTATGAACGGAGCTGCGATGATGATATGAGGCAAGGAATTGCCGGAACAGGAAAGTCGAGAGTCAATCGAACGAGGGGGAGAAGAAAAGGAAGAAGAAGAATGTGTGGTAGGATTAAGTTGCTGTTACTTGTGCCGAGCAGCAGGAATGAATTGGTTCAAGTAATGGAAACTTGCTGAAGCTTTTCGTCTGGGCACTTTTTTCGTGTCGAGTTTGCCGCTTTGAGCCGTTGGCCGCTGCGGGGCAGCCCAAGCAAAGCCTCAATGGTGGGGTTTGAGCAAAAGTGCCAGGCAAAAGGGTCGAGACAGCAACAGACGACGAACGGGCCAATTGCTCAAACGGAAAAAACAAGGCCGTTGAGGGCGTCTTTTCGAAGAAGCTGGGAGGTGGGCAATCATTGTTTGCAGCCAGCCTGCAGCTCCGGAAGACGGCGCAACGAGGCGTTTGTCGATGAATGGGCATGAATGGGATGAATGGCGGCGCGCTTGGCAATGGGATGGATGGATGGATGAATGGATGGATGGGGGGGAAAACGTTGGGAGGGTGGGAAATCAATGAAGTCTGGACATGCAATGGGATGAGATGTGGACATACCTCCGAGAGCCAGATGCCAGACCCAGAGACCGGGACCGAGATCGAGATAGTTGAGGCCAGAAGGACACCGAGGAAAAAGACCGAGAAGATGACGATGAAGCCGAGAGAATTCGAGACGAGAGAGACGGTGATCGAGTCGACGATGACAGAGGCCGAGACAAGGCTGACGCCGACCAGCAGCTATTAGTACCATGGAACCGCCACGGCTGCAGTCCCAATCCAAGTCCCAACCTTCCTCTTCTTCCTGCTCCTCCTCCTCCTGCTCCTCCCATCTTCATCTTCATCTTCATCATCATCATCACCTCGGCGCTCACCAGCCGCCTCGCCACCGAACCCTTCATCACCCCACTCATAACACACAGAAGCAAGACCTTTGTCAACTCAGGTCAGATGAAACAAAAGGCCAATATCCCAATTCCTCAACACATGGCCAAGAAAGGCCAAAGGGATCATTCAATCGATAGAATTCGCAAAGACGCCTTTTCAACGAATGACAAAAGACAAATCGTCCAGATTTCGGTTCAGACTTTAAAAAGGTGGAATATGCTCACAAAAGCGCAAACCCGCGCTCCTCCAATCGGATGTAATAACTGAAGGGGAAAGAAAAAGCAGGGTCCAGAAGTCCAGCGTTCTCGGCTCTGGTTTCCGCTCCACTTGATATTTGATGACACCTCTAGGTGGTGATACCTCTACTACCTAGTAGTAGTACCTCCCTAGGCAAGTACCTAATCTCGCCCTGCCAATTGAATTGAGCCATAGTCCTAGAGTTCCATCGGTATAGATACCTACTACCTAGGTACCTACCCAGTACTCGTAGTGTTACAGCGTTGCCATCCATCAACCAGCACTTTTGTTAGTCCGAGGTCACACAAACCAGGTACATGCACGAGGCTACAGGAACAGAAAAGCAAAAAATAACCCTCGAGTTCTCGAAAGCGCACATTGTCATTCTTAGTTGGCCAGCTACAGGAAGCTACCGCCCAAACCACACAAAGAAGAGAGAGGCCAAACCAGCTGATATGTCCCTCCACAAACCCGCCCATGACAACAACAACAACAACAACAACAACAGCCGGGCACCCCAAGGGATATATGTATATAAAATAATACACCTGGGCAATTGAATGAACCCCCAGACATGGCAAGAACGGAATTGTTTGTCCTCCAACAACAAAAAATCAAAAAGCTCGCATAAACAGATATGTATGTATGCTGCGCTGAGAAGAGATAAAAGAAAAGAACAAGACTCCTCCTCCATCAGAAACAACATGAACGCTGTTGAGCCCCCCCAGCTCATACCCAGAAATGACTCCCTCGGTTCGAATCGAATCGGTATCACGATAACAATAACCACTGGGGTTGGATAAGGAGATACAGAGGAAATGAAGAGATGTAGAGTGTCCCATAAAACGCCGGTTTGTGGATGAACTTGTTAAAAAGTCCCCGTGTCTGAAATCCACCAGAGAAAAGGACAAGTGAAATGACAAAAGAAACAAAAAGGTTGAGAAAGGGAGAAAGGACGCGAGGTCCCAAGAGCCCACCGGCATCAATGTGATATGGCTCATGTTCAGCCATCACCAAACTTGGCCTAAGCATCTCCATCTTCCTGCTGGGCCTTGGCCGCAACCATATCCCACCAGGGCGCATGTGCCGCTCGGTCGACCGCGCCCACCTTGTCCAGCAGGTCGGACATCTCGCGCACCTTCTCCACAAACTCGGACAACCCAAGGCTGGCCAGCTTCTCGCCCGCCGTGTTCGCGGCCTTGACCTTTTCGCTGGCCGAGCCCGACTGCAGGCGAGCCAAGATGTTGCCCCGTAGACGGGTGAGGAGAAGGCGCAGGACCGGATCCCGCGGCTCCGTCCTTCGCTGGGCCATCTCGCGACTCGCCGTCAACACCTTGGTCACCAGCGCCCGCAGGTGAGTCTTGGTGGGAGCGGGCATGGAGCGGCCCGCCTCCAGAGCGGCCATGGTGCCGTCGACGGCCGTTTCTACAGAGGCATGGTTGGCCTCGAGCACGGCCATGACGCGGGCCGCCTCCGTCTTCCATGCCGACCGCACATCGCGCTTGAGGAGGTTCTTGCACTGCAGCAAGACGGCGCCCACGGTGATGATGCGCTGCACCATCGTCGACACCTGGTTGATGCGGGCCTGGTCGAGGCGCAGCATCTCGGGGATCTGCTCGGGGCCAACCGGCGTGGGCTGCGTAAAGACGTCCACCAGCATCTGGGCATAAATCTTGGATGCTGTCGGCCGCGACTTGGGGTGGTTGATGCCCTCAACGTCGCGCTTGTGCACCTCGGCCATGACCTTGTCCCTGGCCGACCTCCAAGCCGCCTCGGCAACTGGCAGGTTGTCCTGTTCGTCTCCCAGCTCCTCAGCGAATCGTTTGGCCTCGTAGGGGACGGCTGATTCGATGAGCTGCGGCGCCGCAATCTTGAGCAGGTAGTTGATGTAATCGCAGAGCATGACGTCGACGAACCGGTCCAGGGCCTCGATGCGGTCAATCACGCTGCCGTCGCCCAGCTTGTTCTGAACCAGGTCCTTGACCTGGTCGTCGCGGAAAGGCGCGCACAGCTTGGGCAACAGCGACGCCATGGCGGAAAAGAACTTTTCGTACGAAAAGCTGCCCATCTCAAACTGCTTCTGCGCAATGTCTACGTCCAATATCTCCCCAATCAGGTTGTACATGGGGTTGCCCTCCTTCAACGGTCGCTGCAGCTTGTCCTTGATGTGACTCGCCCTGAGCATGAATATCCGGAAGTTTGCTTCATCCGAGGCGTCTCCCATGGCCGCCCTCATCTGGACATAGAGAGGTCGAGAAAAGGCAGCCTGCTGCTCCACGTATTCCTCGGCCGGGATCTGGTACTCCTTGTTGATGGCAAGCTCGTGCACGACGACGCGGTTGTCCGGAATGAGCCCGTGCAGGCCGGGCTTGACGGTCGTCGCCCTGGCCTGGCTCTTGCTGGCCGGCGTCGATGGCGGCGTCAGGAGCTGAGAGTCGGACGAGACGAAGTCGCTGGCCGTGGTCTGAGCGTCTCCCGACACGCTGTCGCTGTCGGCAACGCGAGGTTTGGTGTCGCCAGCCTGCTTCTTGGCCTTGCGTGCTTTCCTCGCCTCTCTGATGGCTTGCATGAAGAGCTTCTTGCCCCTTTCCGCGCCCGCCAACCTCTTGATCCGCACAATCAGCATCGTCTGGCTGTCTTCAATGCTCTTGCGATAGAGCGCCGCCGCTGCGTCGTCTGATGACTCCTTGACGGTGTGGTATATGGCGTCCAGTTCCACCATCTGCATCAGCATGACCTCGATGAGAGCATTCGAGTCCCTGGATTTCCAGGCGATGAATGCGTTATAGAAGACCGAGTAGGCCTGCTGAAGCGTCGTCTGCAATGAAGGCGGCATCGTGTACCGGTTGGCCGGCGTCAGCCAGGTCAGGATGTTCTCAAAGGATATCAACACGTCCTTTGCCTTGTCCACTAAATCTTGCAGCTGGGGGTTGTTCAGTTCGGTGGCGGGCAGTCGATGGCGGCTCAGCTGCGCTTCCACCTCCCTGTCCTCCGCCGATTCGTCCATGTTGTTGAGGACCTGGTCGGGATGACCGAGGATGAGGAAGGCACTAAGGAACGTGCGAACCGCAGCCATCTCCTCGACAGAGCCCGGTTCGCCTTCTTGGAGACCGCAGATCCGGAGAAGCCGGGCAGTTACGAGAAGCACCTTTTCCTGAGCAAGCAGCTCGACAACAGTATCAAATGAAGTATCCCTGATGCCGTCTACACTCAGGCCGAGAGCGTGGAAGTCCTGCAGAATCTTCTTCCTCATACACCCGCGCCACCACGTCTGGATCTTGGTGGCTGCCTCTTCGTCGCTCATCTTCGTTTGCGGCAGCGTTTCCGCAGACTTCTTGGCGACGACGCTCAGTCCTCTGGTACGCTTGACTGCCGTCTTGTTTCGAAGCTCCTCGCGCCGCCTCTGCGCCTCGGCCATGCGCTCCTCCATCTGCGCCTTCATCTTGGCAATCTCCTGCTCGCGCCGCTCCTTGGTCGACTCGGCGATCTGCTTGGCCTTCTTGACCTCTTCGGCGCAGCTGGCCACAATCTCGGCCAGGTTGCGCTGCCGCGCCTGCTGCGCAGCCAGCGCGCGCTCCTCGGACGTCGTCTGGCCCCGGGGCGCCGCCTTGGCCAGGGCAGCCCTCAGGCGCACCTTTTCGGCGTGCGCGGCCCTGTCGGCCAGCCGGGCTCGGCGGTCTTCTAGAAAGTTTGTGCGTCGGACGTGCTGGGCGACGTATTTGCTCTGGTCGCCATCGCGGCGGCTGGAGGGCTGGATGGAGGAGCAGCGGGAGTGGGCGGAGGAGAAGGAGTTGCGGCGGGACGAGGCGGCCGAGTCTCTGCGGCGAGCCTGCGAGGGTCGGTAGAAGCGGGCGGCGATGCGCGGCGGGGGCGTGAAGATGCGTCTGTCGCCGTCGTGCAAGTCTTCCTCGACGGACGGCATGGCGAGGTCAAAGTCCATGTCCATGTCGATGCCGAGGTTGTCGTCTGAGAATGCGCAGTCGGAGTCGTCCAAGTTGTCCACGCGCCCCGTGAAGTCGGCGGAATGGCGACGCATGGCGTCTGCCTTGCCGGTTTCGTTCATGATGAGTTGTGTGCAAAATCGTGGTTGTGATGGTGTTTGCAGTCGTAGGTTGATGGCAGGTCGATGGCCGGTTGCGGTCGACAGCACGAAACGTAAGCTGGGGAACTTATCGGCACCTCTAGCTCGTTGGTGCTGTTTTTGGGGGGGGACCCTAGAATGTAGTCGGTCTAGGGAGAAATCTGTGGAAGCGATGCGCAGCTGTGGCGTCTGATTCCGTCGGGGAAAGCAGGCAGTCGATGTGCCCAGACGAGGCTTGGTGGCATGTGGCGGCGCGGTGCCTTGCCTTTGCCTTGCGTGAGGTATGTATGCAGGTGTGCGTGAGTGTGTGTAGGGTGTCAAATCAAGGGTGTGTCGCCTTGGCCTTGATTTCGCACGTCGATCGAAGCCCTCGGGAAAAAAACTAGCCAGCCTGTCTTGCCGGGCTAGGGGGGGGGGAGAGAGGTAATGCTGGAGCACAGAAAAAAGAAGGAAAGAAAGGCAGCCTTCTGCTGACGAACAAAGAGAAGAGAAGAGAAGCGAAGATGAAAGAGCGAGAGGGGAGAACGAGAGAGAAATCCGAGGCGTCACAGCCGAGAGGGCGCGCACGTCGTTAGTTGGTCACCTTGGGTGGTATCAGAAGTGAGAGAATGGCCCCCCCGGACTTGTTTCGAAGGAGGGAAATCGACAGGCTTGGTGAGGCGGCGATGACGGATGACTGATCCGGGCGGACCAGAAGCGGAAAGGCGGTGTTGCAGCTGCTGGTTGGTAGCTGTAGCTGTAGCTGTAGCTGTACCTCTTAGGTGGTCGTGTCGTAACGACAGCGGTGTTGGGGGCTGCCTGTAGCCCCGTGTTACGCTAAAAGCGCAGCGCTGAAGATGCTACCTACATGTAACCAGGCAGCCCTCGCTGCAGAGATTCACGCTCTCCACGGGCTAGTTGGTCACCCTCCAGCGGCGTCATTTGATGCCTGCTCGTCAGTTTGACCACTGGTCGAGCTTCCCGTCGGGTCCCTTCAAGGGTTCCGGCTATTGATACGCTCCTCACACGCGCCAGGCTGATTGCAGTGACGAGCATCATGCTGCACATTCAGCTCGGTAAGCAGTCCCATCAGCAGCCAAGCTCGTGCGATGCCGTAGCACTGTGCCTATCTACCTAGGTAGGTACTCGTACAGCGCCTCTCTCTTGGTAGTAGTTGACTCGTAACCAGTCCAGCCTTTCGAAAGCGGCCTCATCTTTCACCTGCAGCCTCACCCCTGTATCGTCTGAACAGACCATCCAGATAAGGTACCGATACATCTAATGGACCCCGAAACGCCATCTGCCCACGCAAAGAGGTCATGCAGCTGCATCAATCTGCTCCCATTGAACCCATCTGGAGCATGCACCCCATCCAGTCCGACATCAATACATGTAAGGTACTTGTACAGCCACAACCATCTCATCCTCCTCCTCTTCTTCCTCCTCATTCTTCTACACAACATCACTGCTACCTCGTGAATCTCCCCGACTCAAGAACCAATACCCGCTTCTGCACGCACACACAGATGATGTATCAGCGGGGGTGTTAATATGAGACGCTCTCCAAACCCGCCTGATGATTGGCAATCACCTTTCCATACCCTTCCACGCCATCCATCCATCCATCCATCCCAGGCAGATACTAGATAGATTCCTTGAACACGTCCAACGCAACCGGCGTCAGAGAAATCATGCCACTCAATCACGAAAAAAAGAAAAACATACCTAGTAAGATCATCATCACGGAATTTGGACACAAAAAAAAAAAAAAAACAGCGCTGTAATAACCCTCAATGCTTTGTTGCAACTTTGCAACTCATGACCCAAATCTCCATTCGTCAGGCAGGACCCCTATATCGTCATACTAGTACTAGTAGTATAAGTAGCCCCGTGTGTGTGTGTGTCGTGCATAGAAGTCCACCAAAAGGCAAGTTTCTATTTATAGCAGCGCAAATGTTTCGACACCTTTTGGAACTTGACTCTGGCCTTCCTGGCTTTCTGCGTCAGTACCAAAGACCATGCGAGAGAGAGAGGAATCTACAACAGACTGGAGCCCCGGAATCAGAACATTGTAAAGGCTTTTCAACCATACGAGTAGCAGCATTGGCCCCACCAACTCCAATCCCCTATTCAACACATATCCAAGTCATCCATCACCAAACAACCACCTCACAAACAAGTAACGGCATGAAACACCGCCCCCGATTCCTGCTCAGCGTCTCCATCCCGCATTTATCCTTCACTTTTCTGCTATATAAATAGTCTGTGCCAGGTAAGGTATTCTATCTGACACAATTTTCTACAAGGCAGCACAAACCCCAGATTTTCCCCAGCAATCTAATTCACAAAGCGTAGCGTAACTTTACAAGCAAGAGGTACGCAATCTTCCCACGTGTAAGACAAGCGACGTATGGTGTAGGTAAGGTATGCATATGCACGTCTTTGTCTCAAGCTATTTCCGTCCGTCATGAGTACCTAAGGTACTACCAACAACCTAGGTAGTACTGTTAGATTATTGCTCTACTACCTACCTACCGATATGAATTCCTAGTAGTACCTAGTAGTAGGTAAGGTTAAGTAGAGAGACTGTATCCGTACCTTGCCTGTGTTGCCAAGCAGTACATTGACTTGCGATGTCATTAAAATATACACGCGCCTGCGCCCATGCCGTGCCTTTTTTTCCACTCGCTTCCCCGAGAGCCATGTCTCAAATGCATGTCATCCTCTTCTCCTCCTTGCATAAGGTATGAGCCGTTGCCTACGAGTATTACATGCCTAGTACTACCAGGCTTGCCGGGGTAACCAACCTTTTACTCTATAAATGAACCCACAGAAAAAAGACCAAAAGATAAGGTAGACATTCACTCCGTAGAGCAGCATCATAATCCTTTCATCCTTTCATCAAAGCAGCAAAATATAGATATATATGTATGTATGTATGTATTTATATACACATATACTCTGTAAGGTGTGTTTCTCGAGTCGTTTACTTATGCCATAACCATTCGTGTTCCGCATTCGGCATGTACGCTTCCTGTTGTTCCGCGCAGATGCCCATTCCTCATCGTTAGAAAAAAGACGACATAAAAAACAATATTAAGTCCAAGCACCCCCCAACGCCGATTATTCTCCTGCTGTGCCCGCTCGTCTTTTTTGCTGTGCTCCTTTGTAAAATGCCTTTGATTTCCCCCACCCCCCTCGTGTTCTTTTGGTGAGCCCAATCTTGCACACCACATATACTACGGCATGCATTCTAGCAAGTGAATTAGTGAAGAAGAAAAGATGAAGAAGAGGAAGATATAAATCTTCGTCATGAGACCTGGTAGCTCTCGCTGTGGTGTCGTCGGCCAGGCGTACTGCCTGTGCCTCTGTCGTGCAGTCGGTGTATCCATTCAAGCACCGTCTCGTAGCACAAGACGTATTGCCGCAAGCTCTGAACCATGCTGATTCTTTGCTCGCGGAAGTCTTCCACCGTCTTTTGAATCAAATCAACCGATTCATCCCGCAGCCAGGACACGTCAATCGACTGTTGCCCTTGGGTTCCGGGGGTCTCCAATCTCGGCTGTCGCTCCAGGTTGAACTTGAAGCCCATCTGCCTGTTCGTCATGGGAGAAATGGCATCGTCAGAGTCCGCCATGGGCGTATCCCCCCCTGCGTCCCGAGAAGGCTGCTGCTGGCCCCCGGGCATGTTGGCCAGTCGCTGACGCTTCAGCATGTCAATCACGCTGTCCACGGTGCAGAACGCTCCCGTCCGACCGCATCCTGCGGAGCAGTGGACGAGCATCGGCCGGCTCGCGCTGTCGGCTTCGGGCTCGTCGTACCACGAAAGAGGCGTCATGTCATGAGCAATCTTGCTAGAGCCCACGACCGAGGCTGTTTCGACCGGGAGAGCCGCGCGCTGCATCACGTTGGCAAGCTCCACCAAAGCAAGGAGGTGAGACGGCTGCGCCGGCGTGCCAAAGTCGGGCCAGGAGGAGAAATGAAGGTGAGTAATCTCGCGGATGGGAGAAAAGGGATGGGCGGAGTGAGAAAGCGCAAATTTGCGAATGGTGACAAACGCCTCGGATTGCGATTGAGGAGGAGGGGGGTTGGCCGCAGCTGTCTCGAGGGTCGTCGTTGTGTTGGCTCGCTTGCGGCTGGCCTCGTTTGATGACATGGCGGCGTTGCTTTGCGCGTTGGAGGCGCGGTGCTTGTCGAGATCGAGTGATGCCTTCTTCTCGGAAAGCTGCTTCAGCTTGATAGGGCCGTATTCGCGATCCTTCCAGTATGTGTGGCACTTCAATTGGCCTCCTTCTGACTCGGCCGTCAACATGACAATGACGCGCACATCTTGCTCCCAGATAACAGACCAAAAGTCCTATTGACAAGAGTTAGCAAAGCGACCACTGCAAAGGCAGCGCTTCGATAGCTGTTTGCTCTTAAGCTCACCTCAAAAGTGTCAGGCAAGGGGCCCTGACTCGCAATATATCGCTTGTTGCTCCCTGAGGCGGTGATGTGACTGGCGTTGACATAGTCGCAGGCGCCCTCGGGCCTGTTCTGAAGCTTCACTCGCGCGTGCTCAAAGGGAAGAATGTCCTTGTAGCGGTTCTTGCCGCCCTTCTCGACTCCCGAAAGCTGCACTCGGCCGTTCATGGCCGGGTTTTGAGCAACATTGCCCTCGTTGAACGCAGCATACGCATTCTGCATACGAGTCTTTTCCTCCAGCTCTATGCGCAGGAAGCGGTCCGACACCCGCTTGCCGTGGTCAGGCTGCGCCGCCGCGTCGCGGAGCCACATGGGGAGCACGCCCGGCTCTAGGCCGTGCGGCCAGGCAACGTCCAGCTGACCGACGCCGTCGGCCAAGTCCATGTTCTGTCGAATGTTGGAGAAGAACGGGTTCTTGGACGTGGGCAGCATGACGCCGCCAATGACGGGCGCAAGGCCTCGCGTGGCACCGGGGAACGCGCCGCCATCAGAGTCCGTGGACACGGTCGAGCTGCTGTCAACCAGTTCGGGATACGACGTCACAAACCCTTGGAAGCCTCCTCTAAGAATGGCCGTCTCTCCGGTATAACCCTCGTTTGTGAACTTCTTGATCATGTTCTGCGCCGCAACGGTGTCACGCTTGTCCGAGGAGCGAGAGTCGTATACGATGATGCGGTCCACGTCCCGCCATGTGGAAAACTTGTCTGACGCCGAACTGCTTTGGAAAGTTTGCTGCAGCTTTTCAGTGTTGTACGTTGCCCGCTTCAGAAGCGTAGTGGGTATGCAGAGGTTCAGCGCTCCCTTGATCCGGGACGAGGCATAGTTGTTGGACGACCGAATATCCAAGAGCAGGAGGCTATCCTCGTCCTCGGTCACCAGCAGGTCCTTGAGACACGCGGCAGTAATCAACGATGGCTGTCCAGGCTCCAGCTTGGTGGGCATAGTGACGGCCCTTGTCATCTCTGACAGCTTGGGCGAAGGAGGCTCCGGGCGGTGCTCCATCACCGAGAGTCGCGGATCTCGGTCTTCGGACCGAGTCAAGCTCGTCCGGCTCTGCATGGGGTCCATGGGCATGGGGGACTCGAACCTCGGGATCGCGATTCCGGGAAGCTGCAGGGGAAACAGGGAGGCTTCAGAATTCCTCTTCGAGTCGGATGACACATAGGCAGAGTCGTGGAGGCTATCCTGATCGACGTCCATTCGACTTGACGGCCGGTCTCTGGGGAGGTTCAGGGCACGGGGGAACGAGCTCTCAGACCCCGTATCGCTCGCATGGGTATGCCACCTAGGCGCCCGTGGGCGCACGATGGCCGGGTTGGACGTGGGCTGGACGTAATGGGAGGTTGGCAGCGCAAACGACTTGCCCCTGTTGATGTCGACCTGTCTCTTGAAGGCCTCAAACTCGGGGTTAGACTCGACATGCTTCGGGAGCGCAGCGGCGAAGGACTTGACCGACGACGAGGTCGGACTCCAGTTGTTGCCCAGGCCAGAGGAATCTCGAGGGTCGTGGGCAGAGTCGACCACCAGTCCAAAGTAATTGGGACTGGGCGGCCGCACTTCAGGCCGCAGCGGAGAGAGCTTGGGGGGAGGGTTTTGGCCGAGAGCGAACGAGGCGCGAGGGGAGGAGGCGGGAGTGGTAGATTTGCCCGTCTTGCCGGAGCGGGACGACTGCGAAAGGGAGTGTGAGTGAGAGGTGACGGCAGACGGCGACGGCCTCGCGTGTGTCTTCATGGTGTAGTGGACAGGCGTCCGGTCGCCAGCTCGCGAGTCGTGCATGGCCGGTGCCTGGTCAAAGGGAGGAGTCGACAGCATTGGTTGAGAGATTGGCGTTCATCAGCAGGTCGGACGGCCCATAACTAGGAGGGTATCATGAGAGTTTTGACGACCGCTGGCTGGGTGGAGGCCGGCAGCGATGGTGACGCTCGAGGGCGACGTCAGGCAAGGTATGTATGTACGGTACGGTATGGTATGGTATGGATGTGCAGGCTGCTGCGTCTTTGCTGCGCTGTTGTGTTGGCAACCGGTGGGACGAGAGCAAGCAAGCTTGGGGGAGGCTCTGCTTGATTTTTTCCTTTTTCCTTTTTGTCTCTGGCGCGTCCCAGCAAACACCGTCGCAGTGGAATCGGGTGGATAGGCAGAGAGAAGTATGAAGTAATCGAGACCCCTGGCCGCTCTCTTTTTTAACGTCAAGAACGAGGTGGCAAGAAGTCCCCCGAAACTGATGTGGCGCTGGTTGTTCTATGACAGTGTGCGCTCACGGCGGGCTCGGGCGGTGCAGGGAAGGGAAATGGTGCTGGGAATGCGGTGGGAATGACGACTTTCTGGAAGCTTGAACAACAGCCTTACTGGGGGGGTGGATTGGATGCAGCTGGCGTAGGTTGAAGCTGGCAGATGCAGATGCAGCAGCAGCAGGCCAGGATATGCCGGATATGCTGGATATGGAGTGGAAAGGGGCGGGTAGGGGGGGGAAAGGACCGACGATGGGGGAGAAGGGCGTAAGACGGTGCTTTGATATGGGATAAGAATGGCGGCCAACGAGAAAGGAACCAGAGCGAAGAAACGGGGGGGCGTCGACGGATGGCCAGACGTGAAACCGACGACGTCAAGCGGGTATTATTGGAGAGTACTGTAGACTCGTTCTGGCCGAGGCTGAAGCCGTTCCGTTGAGGCTGTTGGGTAGGGGCTCTTTTGCCTTGGGGGGGTGGCCTGGAAAGGGACAGAGTTTCTGGTGCTCTCGTGTTGCAAAAACTGCTCTTGTTGCGGAATAGGCCTAACGAGGAGACGATCCCACCCCGGCTTTTCTTTCTCGTGCTTTGCTTTTGCCTCTCGTCAAGATTAGCGCGCAAGGGGAAAAAAAGAGAAAAAAGAAGAAGGGGCGTGTGGGAGCTGAGTTGGAGCGGCGGAAAGGGGAGAAAGAGACCGGCGAAATGGTACGAAGCAACCAGAGGCAGAAAACGACAAGCTTGTGGAGAGAGAAGAAGAAGCTGGGAATGTGGGAGGGGGGACAGGGGCCTTGCAGAAATGCGAAAGTACTGCAAGGTACCGGGCCGGGGGGTGGAAGGTGGTGCGCCTGGTAGGTAAGGTAGGTACCAATACCTAGACCTAGAGCCCTGCGTAATGGCGCTGGCGGAGGGGAGCTTGAGGTTGATGGTCGCAGGAAAGGGCCTGAGCAGCGTCAAAAACAATTCATGGCACATGTCATGGTTTTTGTGCCAGAGCATCTACATATGTAGTAGTAGTGATGATAAGGTACTGTCCGATTGACTTGTCCTGTAGCTTGGAACATTCCCATCCACATGATCATGGGGGATGGATGGCGGGATGGAAGGCGAGGGCAGCCGTGGTGGTGGTCTTGTGGCGGTAATATTATTACACAGGGCAGAGAATCAGGCAATCTTTGTGCCATCGATCCCCGGTTGGATCAATCAAGCACTCCATCGATCTATCATTAGTACTCGTAGTATGTAGTAGGTATTCAACACAACGCGTGAGGCAATAAAAAGAGAGCTCAAGGGCTTTTGCGGGACAGCCATCAACAAGACAAGAACAAGACACAGGGCGTGGCAACCACAGAGCCAACAAACAATCGTACCTTGCTGTCGAGGTGCACGAGGGCACTGTACACGGTACTGTATGTAGGTACTACCTGGTAGAGAGCAGACAACATGAAGACGGAGTTGAGGAGGTACTTGGAGGTACCTGGCGGACGCTGGCTGTGGTCCGGGGGCTGGACGGACGATGAGGTCGCTGGTGATCGCGTGCGGAAGGGATCGGCGCTGGCATGACAAGCATGGTGCAGGTCGAAAGGGTCTGGGTCCCGGTCTATTGCTTCGGATTGCAGGCAAACCGGTTTGTCCTCTGATAATGTTATTGCCTAGCAATTCCTCACTTCGCACATGCCTGAACCTGCAACTGGGCGGCGCGCGGTGGGAGGAGGGATCTGCATGCCCAAGAAGGTCGCGGCCGGTTCTTTTCCTCCGTATCGCCCGGGCCACCGTACTGTATGTGCAGTGCAGATAGATGCCTTATTACGGTCGATGCTTTTGATCAAGGTGCTGTTCAAGCTCCGTTTGGTTTTGAAGCCGCGCCTTTGAACCGCCCGTTCCCCATACTAGCAGTAATAATACTCGTACGTACATACATACTCGGACGCCCTTCCGTCTCCTAGCACGGAGTTTTCGCAACGGCCTCATTCGCAAGGGCGTCACAGGGCGTCTTGGTTGCGGACTCGCTCCCCTGCCGGAGGGCTGAAATGAGGCTGCTAGTAGAGCAGACACAAACAAATAGGAAAAGAGGCTGTGACTATTACCTACTACTACTGGGCTGACAATGCCGCTTTTCTTTTCGCGTGGCCTCGGGGAGCTGTTGCCGCTGCCGCAAGGCGCCAGGAAGAATATTTAGCACATCCCCAACTCCAACTACGAGAATGATTACATGGTAAAACTGAACCGAGAAACACAAAGTCGGCGCATTCTGGCGTCACTCAAGCGGGAACTTGAGGGCTGACCGACTTGTGAGATGGATGACGATGTTGTTTGACTTTGGCACTAGGGGAACGGGGAAGCATTCACGCTGCATCCAAGCTGCGTGCTAATACTTTGCATCTACTACTAATAGTGATAACTCAATCAATAGACGGCTTTGCTGCCAATTGCGAGAAAGGGTTGGAGCTTGAGACGAGACAGAGAGGGTCAGGCAATGATGAAAAGCCATCAGTTTTAGTACCGTATTATCTGGGCTAATAATACTACCCGTATTACTTCGACATGGCATGCAAGGTGTGTCTCACGATTCCTTTGCCGGGGAGTCATCTTCACCTAGACCTCTGCCGCCAATGGTGATATACTGCACAGTATTACTGCGTACCTGCTGGCCCAGAAACCGTCCAGCCAGCAGAACAATCGAAATGCCGCGAGTCCAAGAACAGCAAAGACAAAAGCACCGAAAAGAACGCTTCACGCTTGCAGCCACCGTCTGGTCGCTGTCGCATGGCCCTCGCCGCCCCACACCTTCGTCATCGCGGCGCCAAGGGTCAAGGGTCCCCGCTAACAGCACCCAAACGGGCCATTGAGCCCCACCCAGTCCATCCAGTCCATCCAATCCCGCCTCTTCGCTTCGTTACAGCGCCCAATCGCTGTGCTTCTACTGTAGGTATCCATGACCCCCCCAAAGGCGCGCCTCCCCCGTCAGTGGCCCCCCCCCCTCGCCGTCTCCATCTCTCCCCCTCAACGGCCCTCCACTCCCTCCAACCACAGCGCGGGTGGCGCTGCCGCACAACGTCACCGCGCCCCTTTGCGTCTTGGTCGGTCGGGTCCAGACTTTGGGGGCCCCAGAAGTAAAAGCGGCTCCGCCATGCTTGATCCCTGCTCAGGTACCGTCAGGTACTCCGTGTGCTACGGAGGGCTGTTTCTGTGCTTTTTACGGGTAATATGTCGTCTTGTCAGCCCATGAACCTCTTGCTTGGGTGTAAATTTCTCACGTTTCCTCACGAGGTCTCGTCATTGAGATGGTGCTTGTCTGCTTTCAATGGTTTGCATGCCTTGATTTTCGAGAGAGAGTATGAAGAGTGCATTAAATGATGTGAGTTGGTCAGTGATTAAGTACTAGTGAATAGGTCATACTGGTACCTTAGTAGGAATTTTTCCTCATAAGCAGTTTTGAACCTAGGTACCTAGCCGTTTAAAGCCATCCAAAAGCACTGTGCAAGCCTGCTAAAACTCGTCTCCCTCTCCAGCATACCTCGACAACTGTTCGAGTTCGCACATACTGCAGTAATAACGAACGACGAATACTCGTATTACAGTTGATACCTCAAAGCCGGCGTCCATTATTGTGTACATGTGCTGATTAACTATTCGCTCCCCTCCACCAGCGGGTGCCTGCCGCGAAAGCTTGATTCTCGTCTTCCTCTTGCCAGTCTCATTGCCCCTCAACTCCCAGCTTACCAATCCCATTGGTCCATCCATCATCCAGCTGCGTCAACCCTACGCCTGCCTCTGCCAATACCAAGACGCCGATGACCAGAGAGAGAAAAACAAAGAAAAGAAAAAGAAAAAGAAAAAGAAAAAAGAAAAAAAGTCTAGAACTCTTGTGTGACGCCCATGTACGAGGTGGTACATGTTCTAAACTACGTGATAAACAGCTGTGCTTGATGAGGTGCTAAGATTACTCGACACTATTTGTTCGAGAGGTTGCCAAGGTGAGCGCGCCAGCTGAGATCAATGAGCGAAAAAACGGGGCGGTTGCAATACACAGAGTTAATAGATACACGTAGTAGTAGTACCTTATAGCGCTCTGCATACAAAGGACAATCTCTCACACAATAACAACATACTGTATGTATGTAGCACAGCAGCAGCTCCGTTTCTGCCAAAACTGCATTGTGGCGGGAGCGGGAAACAAGCCTTATGACGTAGCCGGCTCAAAGGGGCATGACGGCTATCAGCAGCTCTTGTCCGCCTTCCCGATTCGACCCGTCGAAGAAAACGCAGGGCGGACAGCGAAACTCGCCGGCTTCATGCGAGTACGAGAATTATCATCGCCAGTGGACTCATAGTAGTAATCGCACACCTACGTATACCACCACCTCATTACATACCTACCTGCCCCTTGGAATATTCCAGCACACAGCAATCCGACAGTGATTGACAGGTACCGAACCTCTTCGCTGCGGGACTACCTTAGACTGTCCCATGCCCGTGCCAAATCAGGCCACTCGACGCAAACCATGTCATTATCCTACCCATAGCATTACCGTCTGCCCTACCTCCCACCTCCAATACTCTGTCCGTACTTGTACTAGAGCTGTACACTCCATCCCCTCCCTCTTCTTGTTACTACTGTACTAGCGCCAGACAGACCTCAGGATGGTGTGGTGTCGTCCTCGAGAGCTGCGGAGTTGTGTAGTACTGTAGTAGTAGCAACGGAGGAGTCGGGGTTGGCAGGGAGTCGGCCTGGTCAAGACTCGAATCATCTTGACGCTGTCCGAACGAACCCCGGAAGGAATGATATTACACAGGACATGGGGATTCTAGTCAACCTCAGATCGCATGCTTTAGACTTTTTCGTGTCTTTCTTACTTCCGTCACAGCTCCGATGATCGCCCAAGTCATACCATGGCCGTAGACAAGACAGATAGGTAGTATGTACCGCACGTAGAGCTGCCAGTCTCATCGCTTCGTGCCCCCCTGGTCATGGTCTCGGCCACCCCTCGCTCGCCCTGCCTGCCATCCACCATTCGCTCTCGCGTGCATCCTGCGACGGCATCGCCTATTGATGCTGTAGCCGACGAGGCAAATTGCGATGGTCATGGGCCGGGCGAGAGTCCGTATACGCCTTCACAGGCAATGCCAGGCAATGGAACCCATTGTGTTGTGTTTAGTGTACTGATCTGAGGAGATGCTGCCCGGAGTCCCAGCCAGCCCATATGTCTTTTAAGACTGCTAATACTATGTATTGCCACTTGAATTATTATAAGAGAAGACTCTTACCTCCCGCTACTATCGAGCTGTATTATGTACTTCTAGCCTTGCCGTTTATCATCATGACTTCTATCAGATATATATCTAGAGTAGCTTCCTCACCTTTTAGCCTAACTAGAAATAGAGGGAGACCTTTTCCGGCGATTTCTTTCCACCGCATGGATATGCCTACAAAACTTTGTACTACAGCGATAGCCGTCCGTTACTCGCACAGCAGTTAAAAGTCTCCGGGTTACGAGGACGATCTGCAAGACAAAGATGGCCGCGAGCCGCCTCTCCAGCACGCATTGCTCACTCGCTCGAGTCTCATAACGGGCTGAGGCTCTGTTCCGACATGGCAGTTCCGTCAAGCAGTTCCGTCTTAAACAGGGTACGCGTTCCAAAAACGATACATATCATTGAAGCAACAAAAAAGCAGGATAGACTCCTATAGTAGTGTCTGTGAAAGGGCCATATCATCATCAGTGTCTACTGTAGAAGCATTCTCTGCCCTCTCAGGGCCCGATCGCCGGAGTCGCGCAATCTCTGTCGGGTCACGCAATCGCCAGACCCTTTTTTTTCCCTCCTTCCCCACAAACGTTCCTCGTGAGACCATTGTAGTATGCGAGTAGGTAGGGAAACAGGGAGGGTTTGAACAAGGGGAGGGGTCCTTTTGGATGATAAGCTGCCAGGCTTCTTTTGGTAGAAGAAATTTGGTTGTAGTAATACAAAGGACGCACTCCTACAAAAGCGTCTTGGCCTTGCTTTCGTGTCTCAGTGATGGGACGCGATATTATACTACTACTACCAATCAAGGGATGCCTTCTGCCGACTGGGCGACAGGAGAATCTGGCTGGGTGAGTTATCACCTCATTACTCCATAGGGCTCCAAAGAAGTATCTGCAATCGTTATTGTTGCTGACGGCACATTGTCCCTCAATAACTCGGCCACGGAATGTCCATCGATTTGTCTCTGCACACGTTTCCATCGCAAGCCAGGTCCCTCGGAGCTTTCCTGACGCAAGAAACTTCTTTGCTGGACTAACAACACGCAACCACGTATGCCGGCTACGCAATATTACTATTACTCGCTGCATGAAAGACTGGAGACTTGCACCATGACAAAAACACCTGGCTTGCTACTATTGCCTCTGGAATGTTCGCGTCTGCCGTCATCGAGCTTTGACACGGACGGCTTTTCCCCCCTCCCCCTCCCCTTGCTATCATGCGAGTCAAGTCAAGGTGAGATGATGAAGACGAAAGGTCGGACAGGGATTGTGCAGCAATAGTTGACTTGACGGCTTCTTACGGTGAGCTTGTATCAAGGACACTTCACCTAGTACATCTCGTCAAAATTGGTGGGTTCAAGATTATACAGATCTCACAGGCTAGATTCATCCTCTACAACGACTGCAGTTGAGCCTTTACTGTTTGTTCAACAACACTGGAGGAGATTAGAGTGGAAAACCTCCCGGAGAACAGAGGAAGTGGGGTTGATTCGGGTGCTGATGACCCGAGGCTATTATGATATCGTGAACTCAAGTCCAGTACACATGTTCTTCCCATGATTGTCTGTAAAGAAATTTGCCCATCTCACGATGGCTTCGACAGGCCTTCGGGTTATCCGCTGGCGGTACTGCCCAACGAAGAGATATAGAACAGAAAAAAAAGGATCAACAACGCCAAGCCTTGTCTAAGCCGTGAGCGTCTCCAGATACCGAGCATCGGACCGAACCCTATTCCTTTTCGTCAATGTTCTTAATCCAACTTCTGATAGAGGAGATACCAATTGACACGGATCTCGGTGACTCTGTTAATCATTGCATCTCTATTAGAACAGTCATTCATTCATTCATTCAATCAATCAATCAATCAACATTCCCAGCTGCTGCAGCGTGGAGAGAGGGAAGACACACTCCCGTCCCCTTTAAGCCGTCAGAACCCGCCAGGCGCGCCTTTTCTCACTACAATTACTATCTGTATCAACCACGGGCCACAGCTTGCCATGTTCTCCGTTCAAGAGTTCAAGAGCGGAGAGAAAGCTACTCGATCCGACTCAAACTATTACAGGAGAAGACCCATATCTAAACAAGTGACGAAGCGTAGGATATGATCCAAACTATGCCGTTTGGCGCAAGTTTCCGCGAATGCGCCCTCTCTCCCCGCAAGTACAACAAGTCATAGTTTAGGTATTCTTAGTCATCTTATACCGCGGGCCTATATCGAGCATCATCAAGTCGCCATGAAGCCATTTCGCGAAATAACAAAAAAAAGGCGCATGATACATGAAAGCCCAGTAACAAAGACTGCCAAATTGCTCAGACCCGATTCAACTCCTCTAGGTTCAGATTCGTAGAACCACAGAGTTGCTCGAAGCAGAGCATCATCCCGCCTTCAAGTCCAAAAGCCCAGTCAGTCCACCATCTCTCACCCTCAAAACCACAGATACTAACGCCCTCTCACAGAAACAAAGAAATATCGTTGGTAACAAAAGAGGTCTCAAATAGACAAAAAAGGCATCATCACAATGTCCCAGCCAGCAACCAGCCTCTCCCCGGAGGACCGCCTCAAGGCCCGCAAGCCCGTGCCCAAGCCCGTCCCAGCCTACCTCCCCACCGCCGGCTCCCCCCTGAGCGTCGACAAGGACCTGTACGAAACCATCCAAAAGGCCCCTCGCGTTCTCGTCGAAGAGTTTACCCTGCCCATTCGCTCTGGAAGGGCGTGGGAAGCTCCGGCTGGCTCAATCATCCACATTAGCACCCCCGAGGGGCCTCAAGTCGGTATGTACATACCTATCTCCAACTTAAAAAAAGAAACATCTTCCCATCTCAAGGCCGCACCCTTCCCAAGTCCTGTCTACACCATTCCAAAAAACCGAATATAACTGACTTGATCATACGAAAAAAAGGCGACCTCAACATCTGGAACCGCCACAACCCCCGCGAACGCTTCTGGGCCAGCCGCACCCGCCAGCTGCACTCCACCCACGTCTCGACCCACGACCGCCTCTGGTCCAACCTGCCCTACATGCGGCCCCTCGTCACCATCCTCGCCGACAGCCTCGCCTGGTACGGCCACGACGACAACGGCGGCCGCGTCCACGACCTGCTGGGCACCCGCTGCGACCCGTACATCAACACCGTGCTGTCCGGCGGGCAGTACGACTTCCACTGCCACTCGAACCTCAGCCGCGCCGTGGCCCGGTGGGGGCTGAGGGAGGACGACGTACATGATGTGCTCAACTTGTTCCAGGTCACGGGGCTGGACGACAAGGGGAGGTATTTCATGAGTCCGTGTCCGGCGGACAAGGGCGATTATATCGAGTTTCTTGCCGAGCAGGATGTTCTCATGGCCTTGAGTAAGTTCTTTGATACGCCCGTACATTCCTTAATGCTCCCATGAATGATTCCACCATAGCCTTCTGATAAACAGTTGAAGAGGGGGTTCGAGAGACCACGAGGACGGCTGACGTTGATAGGTACCTGTCCCGGCGGCGATCTCTCCCTCTGGGGCTTCGGCAGCGACAGCGAAAAGGAAATGATCAAGGTATGCCGCCCCTTGCACGTCAAGGTCTACCAGCTCGAGGACAAGGAGCTCCTCCAGAAGAGCGGCTGGAAGCCCGCAGAGACGTCCGGGTACAAGGGCATGCATGGCGTCTTTTCGCCAGAAGGGGAGCCAAGTCAGCGAAAGTAAATCACAACTCTGGCTCGGGCCATATTTCAAGGCAACGTAGAACAGGGGTATCAGCACTCGTGGCAACTCTTGAATATTGGCACTAGGGAATGGGGCGATGTTTGCCTCACACGAGTACTCTCATGTATGTAGTACATACAATGTCATTGTCATGTATCATTCATCTGTAAGTTGATGCGAAAGGACAGGAGGCAGCTAGGTATTGGTACCCGCATAATGGTATGGTTGAATTATCCTTACAACTCCATGTCCGTGGCTGCCGTGGTGCACCTAGGAAGCGCCCGAGAATGTAGGATACAAATGGTTTCCCTTCCTTTTCATTACGCATGTATGTTTTTGAATCGTGAATTTGTCGATGTACAGGCCCGTTTACTTCCACAGCTTGCCAAGAGAAACCTCCTTATCATCGTGCTTGTTGAGAATCTTGGCAGTTGCCAGTTCAAAGTCCTCCTGTGTAACGTGTACTCTCCTCTCTCGCAGAGCGTACATGCCTGCTTCTGTGCACACACCCTTGAGCTCGGCCCCGGAGCAGCCGTTCATCTTTTCGGCAATCTTGGTCAGGTTGATGCCTCTTGTCAGGTTCATCTTGCGGCTGTGGATTCGGAGAATGTCGGCTCGCGCTTCGATGCTTGGCGGGGGGAACTCGATTTTGCGGTCGATACGCCCGGGCCGCAGCAAGGCGGGGTCGAGGATGTCGAGACGGTTCGTGGCCATGATGACCTTGATGTTCTTGGTGGGCTCGAATCCGTCCAGCTGGTTCAGCAGCTCCAGCATGGTTCGCTGCACTTCCGAGTCACCACCTGATGAGCCCTCCACTCGAGAGGAACCAATACTGTCGATTTCGTCCATGAAAATGATTGACGGGGCGTGCTCTCGGGCCATGATGAACAGCTCTCTGACCATGCGGCTACCTTCACCAATGTACTTTTGCACCAACTCCGAACCAGAGACCCTGATGAACTTGCAAGCCGTGTGATGGGCCACAGCTCGGGCCAGCAGTGTCTTTCCGGTACCGGGGGGTCCATATAGCAAGACGCCCTTGGGTTGGGCGATGCCCAGAGACTCAAAGAGCTCGGGATGCTTCAGACCCAGCTCAATCACCTCCTTGATCTCCTTGATCTGCTGATCCAGTCCACCAATCATGTCGTATGTGCTGTCGGGGACCTTTTCTACCATCATGAGCGATACCAGGGGGTCGACCGATGACGGCAGCATCTTCTCGAGCTTGTAGCTGTCTGACAAGAGTGTGACTCTCTTTCCGGGGGTGAGCTTTGAGATTTCGACATTATCGGACACATCGACGACTGGCACACAGACGATGAGCACGCTGAGAGCGGACGCTGGGGATGGTTCATTCAGGACCTACCGTATTTGCCCTCGGGATGTACTTTGACGAGGACCTTCTTGGTGCTCATCACCTTGACAACCTCTCCGACGTATGATCCGGGCTGCTGCAGCAGGCCCAGCTCTTCCCTCAGTAACCGGACCCGGGAGTTGTAGTCGTTGCGCTGGGCTTCGAGACGGCGGAGGGCAGCCTGACCCTTGAGGATCTCGAGCTTCATCGCCTCGATCTTGTTGCGGTAGTACTCGTCGAGCGCCATCTTGGGCGGGCTCCGGGCTGGAGAGGATGGGCTGTGAAGGAAGAGTATGGAGACGGCAAGCTGGAGGCTGTTGATTCAGTGGTGTGCGTCGTCGAGATGCGGGAATGCAGAAGGAGGCGAATTTGGTTGGTCAGTGTAAGAGGTGCTCGTGATGGATGGCGATTGGGGCCAAGTTGAAGCTGCGCAAGGCTACAGCTGGTGCTCGTAAGCGCTGGGCGTGCTTCCGGATTATGGGTTGTGCCGGGCTCCGCGTTAACCGTTTGCGCTGCCGTCTGTGAAGCTTCAGGTCTTGTCACAGTGCCTAGGTACCTGGTACCTTGGGTACTTACCATGTTAGCAGTAATTTCTCTGTGCTTCAGCAAAACCAGGTCGAAAAACGGAAATGACGCCAGAAACGGAAAGATACTGCCTTCTAGCCTTGGCTGACGTCTTGTTGCAACAGAAGAGCAGCGAGATGCGGCTTGAATGCCACCGTCGGCTGTGCTTTTGCCGGTACCTGTGCTAGCACGGCATCGCGGCGCAGACATCAAGTACCGCGCCTCAGTCGCGGACTCTCACCACCACCACCAGCTCCCGAGCTCCTGCGCCCAGAGCCCGCAACTCTTTACTCGAGGCTGCACCACACCGCATCAGTAGGTAGAGTAAACGGCGGCCTGTTTCTTTTCTTCCGTCTCTTTTCTCTTTGGTAGCTGCTCTGCTCGTCTACCTCGTCATCATCATCATCACCATCATGCCATGCAACACACAAGTTTCCATCCCCAGCACCCTGTACATAATGCTGTATTTGACAACGCAAAATGACGTTGCATCCTGGCTGCAAAATCCGGGTCACGGACTGGCGGGATCACAAGGACCAAAAGCGATAAGGTAGGTCACGCCGAGTGAGCGGCCGCAGACGGTGAGGAGGCTGTGGATGCCTTGTGCCCGTTGACCGTTTCGTAAATAATATCCATCATTATTCTCTCGCCTCTTTCCTGCGTCTTCTTCAGTGGGAACGAGGCCAAGGGATATATAATCTGTAGCTCTTTATTGCGCTGCATGCCATACAAAAGCGGGCTGGCCAGTGCTAGTGGGTGTCATCTGCAAGCTCCGCGAAAGGGCAGCTGGACATTCGATTGGCATTCTTTGCATGGCCTGCTATTGACTCGTACGAGTGCTCTTGTGCACCATTCGCTGCTGCCAGGTGCTTGTCTGCCGCTTATCCTGCGCCTCATCGACGATTCGGACCCAGCTCCAGCTTCGGCGCAGCTTTAGTTTGCATTTCGTTAACTGACTCTCGAGATACCCGAGCGAGTGGCTTCAAAAGGTTCTGAGCCTTCTGCCTGCCAAGGGTACCTGCTAAACCTTGGCTGACCTCACCTAGAACCCTTGTATTAGTTAGCATTGGAGCCCTGGAGCTCGCTTGCTGGGCGGGCAGGAAGCCAACAGCTGGAGCTCTTCCTCTTTGTTCTTCCTTCTTCTTCCTTTCCTCTCCCTATCCTTCTCCTTCTGCTGCTGCTGCTGCTCCTCTTCTTCTTCTCTCTGCAGCTCCGCCGTCTCCATCACTTCCGTCAACATCCACAGCTTCTTCATTCTCTTCTTCTTCTTATTTGTTTCCCCTCCCCCATCCCTCTTCTTTCCATGTCTGTGATGCCACATTTGCAAGCCCGCCATCACGACACGCTACAGACTCCCTGATCCCGTGTTCACAGCCCCTCCACTCAGCTACTACCTACTACTACTACTAAGTAAGGTAGAGCTCGCTAGCCCGATCTATCCACAGCCGCCGGGCGACAGGGATAACCTCTGAAAGTCGGACGTTATCTCAGCCCTTTTTTTTTTTATTAGACCTGCCAAGTCCTCGTTCAGCAGGCCTGCGAGGATCATCATCACCTCTGTCGCGGCATCGTCGCCGTCTTGACACCGCCATCGACAGCCATGGATCCCTCGCAGCAGGACAGCGCGCCTCCCGCGCAACGCGCCAGCGTCTCCTCGGGCATGATGTCACCGACAGACACTCGGAATCCTCCTCTGTCCAGGCATTCATCTGTCGTGGACGAGGGCACGCCGTCGACGGACACCGTCCGGCGGCGCCCCGAGGGATACGGTAGGACAACGCGACACTGTCATACCCACGCCGGCTCTTTGCAATGTGCTTGCTAACGCAGCCCGTCCACAGGCACCATCCCGAACATGAGAAGCAGCCAGACGCTCAGCGACCACCAGCCAGGGCGGAGCAGTCAGGCGGGCCGCTCCACGTCTGCGGCAGGGCCCGAGAGGAGTCAGTCTTATTCGCGCCTGCGGAAACCGCCTCTCTCGCGACGCACGTCGGCCACGACTCCACACAAGGGAGAGGTCTTCTCCGTCGACGACGACACACACGAGGTAGAGGCGGACGCTGCCGAACGGCGCGCAGGCTTGTCGACGCGCCGCCGCCTACCACCTCCATCGGGACTCGCCCGTATCCAGTCCTTCCGTAGCGCCGAAGACGAAGCAGACACCGAACGCAACGACGAGGCCAGCACGGCCGAAGAGGAGCGCGACGAGGCGGAGGAGGAGCTGCCCTTGGACGAGCACGTCGACTGCGATTCCGATGGCGAAATCAGCGAGGCCGAGAGCTTCACGCTCAAGGACAGGCAGCAGGCCATCAACCAGACACACCCCTTTGGTATCCGAGTCTGGAAGCCCGCGCTGTACAAGAAAGACCGCTCCATCCAAAAATTTGCCCAGGCAGACATCCACTCTTCGCCCGGCGGTAGGGTAAGCAGTTGGCTGCTCCTCTTCAACCTGCTCTGGACGCTCTTTTTTGGGTGGTGGATTGCCTGCTTCGCAGCCTTTGGCGCAATCATATGCCTCTTGTTCTCCGCCGCGCCCAGCGGGAGAGAGTACGGAAGAATCCTTTGGGGCCTGGCCGGCTACTTGTTCTACCCCTTTGGCAAGTTCATCCGGCTCGAGAAGGATGAGGCCTACTTGGATGAAGATCAAGACGAGGGCAGGAGCATCTCCGAGTATGAGCAGTGGCAGAACGGCGACCTCGAGTACGGCCGGCTGTTCTTTGGACCCGATCGGCACCGCTCCATCATCGGCCGCTCCCGGAGGAGCATCGACTCGGAGCCCAGCGAGACGGAGAGCCTGTTGGGACGGGGTCGTCGCGGCGACGCTGGTGATCTTCACCCCCGGCTGAAGCGTCGCCTGTTTGGTCGCGGAGAATGGAACATTGGCCGCATCATCTTCTTCGTCTTCTTCTACTGTCTCATTTCGCCTTCTTTGATCATCATATCCGGCATTTGCTGGTTCCTCGTCTTCTGGATCCCCATGGGCAAGGTTACCATGCTGCTCTTTGACCACCTCAGGAGACACCCTCTCGCCCTGTCGTTTGAATCCCACATCAGCTATGCGCGAGTCGATGACGCCCCGGACTCATCCATTCTGGTCTGCACCTATCGAGCAGTCGGCTCAAAGTACTGGAAGTACACCGTTGACGGCACCAACATCTTCTTGATCAACCTCATGGTGGTCGTCGTCTTTGTCATTGCCGACTGGCTCATTCTGGACCGGATCCTACACGTGGAGATGCTCCTCACCTCGCCTGCCTTTCTGTTTGTTGCTGGCTTGCTCTCCATCATCCCGCTGGCGTACTTTATCGGCCAGGCTGTGGCCTCCATCTCGGCTCAGTCCTCGATGGGATTGGGCGCCGCCATCAATGCCTTCTTCGCCACCGTCGTCGAGGTCTTCCTCTACTGCGTCGCACTGAGCCAGGGCAAAGGTCAGCTCGTCGAAGGAAGCATCGTGGGTAGCATATTCGCCGGTATCCTGTTCTTGCCCGGCATCTCCATGTGCTTCGGCGCGCTCAAACGAAAGACGCAACGGTTCAACGCCAAGTCGGCCGGCGTGACGTCCACCATGCTGCTCTTTGCCGTTGTTGGTGCCTTTGGTCCGACGCTGTTCTACCAGATCTACGGTACGCATGAACTCAACTGCATGGACTGCGAAGACTACGTCTACGGCGGCATCATCGGGGGCGGCGCCGCACGCGATTGCCGGCGATGCTACTTCTCGCAGGCACCTGCTCTCGACGACCGCTTCTACCTCGAGGCCGTGCGGCCGTACTGCTACTCCGCCGCCATCCTGCTCTTCTGCTCGTACCTCATCGGCCTGTGGTTCACGCTGCGCACGCACGCAGCCGTCATCTGGAACGCCGAGGTGGAGGAGAAGCGTCACGAAGAGGCCATGCACGCTTCGGCAACGCTTCGAGCGCCGCACCAGCCGTCGACGGCCGAGGGCGCCGGGGCTGATATACGCGATTCGAACCTGTACAAGCGCATTCTGGGCCAGTCCCTCAAGCAGGTTGGCCTGCCGGACGCCTCCCGGCCGAGCTCCACGACTGCCCAGGATGCCGGTGGTGCCAACGGATCAAGCAGCACCCCTCATGTGGTACCGCCCAGGGTCGGTGCCGAGGAAGATCAGCAGCAGCCGCCCTTGCGACCGACGACCAAGGTGCCCGCCCTGAGCCAGGTCGACAACAACCTGGTGCGCGAGGTTGCCGAGATCGCTGCCACGGCCGCCACGATTGCCTCCCGTGACCGGTACGCGCACAAGCAGTCCACGGCCGGCCCAGCAACGCCACGACCGCACGGCGCCAGCCGAGCCAGCCACGCTCCCGACGTTGAGGAGGACGCTGCCACTGCGGGAGCGGCCACTGCGCACGCTGGCGGTCACGGCCACGATGCGCCCAACTGGAGCCGCACCAAGAGCACCGTGATCCTGCTGGGGGCCACCATCCTGTACGCCATCATTGCCGAAATCCTGGTCGACACCGTCGACGTTGTGCTCGAGAGCTTCTCCATCGACCAAAAGTTTCTGGGGCTGACCCTATTCGCCCTGGTCCCCAACACTACTGAATTTCTGGTAAGCACCGCGCATTATCCCCATCCAATCCCCTGAGCCCGTGCCTGCCCCTCTCCCCGTGCCCACGATTTGCTGACGCTATTGGACTCTTTGTCTTGTCTCTTTGCTACTAGAACGCCATCTCTTTTGCCATGAACGGCAACATTGCACTCTCGATGGAAATCGGCTCCGCATACGCCCTCCAGGTGTGCCTGCTCCAGATCCCGTGTCTCGTGTTCTTCTCAGCCGTCTACCCCAACATCCCTGCTGGCGGTGACGCGGCCATGTATACCTTTTCGCTGCTCTTCCCGCAATGGGACCTGGTGACGGTCGTTTTGTGTGTGTTTCTGCTCAGCTACGTGTACGGCGAGGGCAAGAGCAACTACTTCAAGGGCAGCATCCTGATGTTGACCTATCTTGTCGTTGTGATTGGTTATTATTTCAGCGGCTACACCGAGGCTGCCATGGGGCTGCAGCGCTTCGACGTGATGGGGTCTGATGGCAAGTACCAGACCTTCAAGACCATTGGCAGGTCGACAAACGGGAGAGCTTTTGAAGTGATCTAAGCGGCTCAAAGCCGAAGCTGTGGAGAGGCTGCAGCGGCGGCGGCAGCTTCATCCTGTTACTACTGATACCACCACCCTTGATCGTTTGTTAAATGCCCGCGAGGTCCGAACAAGCTACATACGTCGATGGCCTTGTTGTCTCATCTTTCTGTTTGTCTTTGCCATCCGGTTTATTGGTTTGGAGTGGGTGCTGCACGTCTTGCAGCATGAATATCTGCATCTCTTGTCTCTTATTATATTGCTCTCTCGGAAGGGCAACACGCCCAAGGTCTTTCTCTTGATTTGCAGAGCCGGCATTTCTTTTTGCTTGTTTTTTTTTTTTTTTTTTTTTTTTTCTATTCTTTTCCTTGACATTCATGGCATTGTTCGACATGACGGCAGGCTGCCTGGCAGCGGCCTGAATCGGTGTACTTTATTTTGCTTGGTCCATATCGCTTGTTTGGTCGACGAGATTGTGGTGTGGCATGGAGTCGACGAAGCGTCTCTTGAACGAAAAGCATATGTTTTATTGACATTTCACCTCTTTTCCACGTTGCTGTTGCGTACAGGATACTACCATGACCCTGACGCCTTGTGTGAAATGCATTGGAGGAATGATGCCATTGCCAACCACCCGTCTCCTTACCAGTCTCTGCAAGCCGCGTGATCACATGCATCTCTAGTCTTCTTTCCTCCATTTTCCTCTCCATCTCGGACACACGCGGGGCTTGCCGGCTGTGAGATTCATGAACCAGCAGGAAGAGAGACGAGACGAGAGGAGATTGGTCGACGAGGTCCAAAAACGTCAAGGGGGGGGATGTTCTAGATCTCTCTTCACTGCCAGTGTGTGTGGGGGGGAATAACCAGTTGCAAAGTGCCGGGGGTAGTATCGTCAACGCTTGCCTGAATAGGCAGAGCTTTGCAAATCGTGCATACGGCTTGTCTTGTCCGAAGAGGAAAAGAAAGGGTATAATACTACTTAAGACTATCAGGGGTCCTACTACTTGCTGTAGACTTTGCACTTCGATTGCAGGATAGGAGGGGGGCGTGTATTGATTGGAGTGGATGGAGAGAGAGAGAGAGAGAGAGAGAGAAACTCGTCGGATGCTGCCCGTGATGCATAGGGAGCTTTTTTCTTGCATGAGAGCTTGGGAAGCTTCTTGAGCTGTTGTTACATTACTCGCTTTGGTGGTGGGGGAAGGCAAGGTTTTTTAGAGTGATACTTCGTTTGCAGGAGGCTGTTTAATTGTATGATTTCTAGTTTAACGAGGGAGATAAGTTGTTGCATGGTACACACGTTTGGGAGTCGGTATAAAGCGCAGTGTGGGAGAAAAACGTCCGACTGCCTTCAGATAGAGCTCAGTCTTGAGAACAAAGAAGAAAGACATGACTGGACAAGATGAACAGAAGAGTCTTACCGCAACATGCCAGTCAGGCCCATTATTCGTGCGTCCGGCATCGCGATGCAATAATCAGCACCTTGTCAAACCCTCCTATGTACAGTACTAGCACAAAGATCATGAAAAGAACCAGGGGTATAGGTATTACTACCACGTGGGAAAAAGGTGATCCTAACAGGAGGGCTCAGCTGACACTTGCAAGTTTTTCCTCTCTCTATCTTCTTCGACTTGCTCGGTTTGGGTCTGGGCCTGGGCCATTGCTCGTTTGTTCGTGGGGCAAAAGGGGGAAAGGATCCATAAGCCAGGAGGAGGAGGAGGAGGGCTGCGTTTGCCCTCTCGGGTCCTGCCCCCCCCTGGTTCAAAGTAGTGGTCCGTATACCTACATACATAGCAATAGCAAACACGTCAAACTCGAGCTGCATCCGCGGTCCGTCTTTTATCGGCACGACGGGGTCGACACATGGCTTGTCGTTGCTCCATAACTGCCAGTTAGTAAAGTGCCGGGGAGGAAAGGCAGCAGAGCCGATACGGAGAGAAGACGACCCCTGCATGTTCGATATCTACACGTCTCGTCAAGACCACCACCACCACCACCACCACACCGCAAACCACAAGGACTGACAGGCAAACTATTACCAAGAGGAAACTGAATCAAAGTTTTCTCTTTTTCTTTCCTAATTATTTCCCCTCGGCTTCCCGCGGTTCCACCTTTTGGCTCGTGGAACGCCCGAGAGCCATTGCTGGGATGGCCGTGTCGTGAGTGGCGCGGAGAGGGGGTGAAGATGGAGGCTGGGACATATAAAAAACAGCGAAAAGCCGCCGAATGTGTGAGTTGAGGGGGAAAGAGAGCGTGTCCGTGTGCTTCTACTTCTGCTTCTGCTTCATACCCGGGCGTTTTTCTGGTCGATACGAACGTTACAACAAGCTGTTTGAAAGCGATCTGGGCCTTGACACAACTTCAGTTGGCAGCGTCGAGACATTCACAAGCCACGCGTGTGATTCTTCGACTTTCTTGTGTGCTGGCGCTCGTCCGAGAATTTGTTATTATCATCTCGTGGGCAAGATATAATCCAAGGGCATAGTCGTCAATCAGCTGAGCCAGGTATTCGATGCCTGCGGCCGAGCCCACAGCTGTCGAAAAGCCTTCAACGTCAGCTACAGTGACGACGACACCGTCATCACCAACATCCACAACCACGCCCTCCCGCGACCACAATGCCAGCTCCCCAGCGGCTGATAGTAGCGAGAACGAAAAGGGCGGAAGCAGTTCCCCCACGGTAGTGGAAGTCGGACGGGATGATGTCGAAGCACAGCAAGAGAACCCGGACCAGGGCTGCCCTCTGCCACCCGCCGACACAGGCAAAGACGCATGGCTGTTCCTGGCTGCCTGCTTCGTGATGGAGGCCATGGTATGGGGTGAGTAGTCGAAGTCCACCACGTTGCGTAGCATACCAAAAAGGCCAAGAGAGCATGGAGTCCTGATGGTGCACGCAGGCTTTCCCTTTGCATTCGGCATCTTCCAGGAGTACTACCGCACCCACGAGCCCTTTGCCGGCTCGTCCAAGACGGCCATCATCGGAACCTGCGCCATGGTAGGTAAAACCCTCAACGGCAGTTGCACCGGAAAGCCCTTCTGCTGACGACACTTGTCCACACAGGGCATCATGTATCTCGATGCCCCTCTCGTCTTTGCGTTTGCGCGCATCTTCCCCAGGGCTGGGCGCTGGAATCCCACCGTCGGCCTGCTCATGATGTGCGCCGCCCTCGCCCTCTCGTCCTTTTCCGAAACGACGACGCACCTCATCCTCACACAAGGCGCCCTGTACGGCATTGGTGGCTCCATCGCCTACAACCCCTGCCTGATGTACGTGGACGAGTGGTTTGACCGCCGCAAGGGACTGGCCTTTGGCCTCATGTGGTCCGGGACCGGGCTCGGAGGCTTCACCATCCCGCTGGTGCTCGAGGCGTTGCTGCAGCGGTACGGCTTCCGAGTCACGTTGCGCATATGGGCCGTTGCCCTCTTCGCCTTCACCATGCCGCTGGTGTACTTTGTCAAGCCCCGTCTGCCGCCTGCCATGACGGCTCACATCAAGCCGCTGGACTGGAGCTTCATGAAGAACCGCGTCTTTGCCCTGTACCAGCTGGGCAACGTCCTCGAGGGCCTGGGCTTCTTCCTGCCGGGCATCTTCCTACCCACGTACGCGCGAGACGTGCTTGGGGCCAGCTCGTTTGCCTCGGCAGCGACGCTGTTGGTGCTCAACGCGGGATCGGTCGTGGGACCCATCACGATGGGAACTCTGGTCGACAGGCTGCATGTCACGACGTGCATCTTGATCTCCACCGTGGGAGCAGTTTGCGGCGTCTTGCTGCTGTGGGGGCTGGGCTCCAACATTGGGATCCTGTACGTCTTCAGCCTCGTCTACGGCATCTTTGCCGGGTCTTTCACGACGTCGTGGCCGGGCATCATGAGGCACGTCCTCAAGGCTGCGACAGCCGCCGACATGGGAGCGTCCAGCGCCGAGGACCGGTCTGGCAGCGTCGGCACCAGCAAGTATGACCCTCTCATGGTGATTGGGTTCCTGTCCATCGGCAGAGGCGTTGGGAACATTGCATCGGGCCCGCTGAGCGAGGCTCTGGTGAGGGGGATGCCATGGCAGGACCAGGCAATCGGAGGGTACGGCAGCGGATATGGCGTCTTGATTGTCTTTACGGGTGCGACGGCGTTGCTGGGATGCGTGAGTTATGTTGGGAGGAGGTTTGGCTGGATGGGTTAGATGGGCTGCATAAAATAAACTACAAGGTACCTAGGTAGTATATCTGTATCACAGAAGGTACGATAGATGACTAATAAGATGAAGGAGGTTTTCAAAGTCTTCGTCTTCCAGAGTAAGGTGCAAATGGCCACTAGCTGCTGTTGACTTGCTGTGCCTGTCTAGCCGATCATGATGCTCGTGATGCTGGCAGTCGTTTCTCTCCACCATTTCCGTGAAGCTTCACAGGAGCTCGATCTTATCCACAGTGATGCTCTTGTACTACTTCATTCCTTCATGCCAGTCGTTGAAAACTCTTCTCCAGACGGGGCTCAAGGCGGATATCAACGCCAGAGCCGTACAAAGTCCACACCACCACTAGGACTAACAAACATACGACCGCAACCCCCAATAAGCAGCAAAATCTCTTCTTCGCTTTCAGGGCAAGCCCCGAAATAAAAAGCAACGAAAAGATAGTAGAAAAGAACACGCCTGTCAGACGTCCATCGACACCCACCCTACCAGCATGCCCGAAGACAAAAGAACCGGCAGGGTCGAGATCATCAAGAGAAACAACTCTCTATACAGCGGAAGCCACAAAGAGCAACCGCCGCCGTCCTTGCGGACAGAGCGAGAGGACCAAAAAAGTATTCACTCTTGGGTATCGAGGATGTACAATCATCAACCAGGGTGGATTCGATGGCTCTTTTGGGAACCAAAGCGAGAGACGAATACTATAGAAATGATTCTCCTGCAAAAGGTTGTTAGCAAATGATTCTCGTGCTGCTGCTGCTGCTGCTGCTGGCAAGGCAGAGGGGGGAGAGGAAAGCCAGCAGTTAGGGGTGCACATACTGAAGTATTGTCGACGTAAAGAAGAAAAGAAAAAAAAAAAAAAAACCAAAAGGACGGCGGACGAGACGAGTTTATATAGGTGCTCTGGTGGGGCGGGTTGACCGCCTAAAAGTTTTTTGGTGGCAGAAAAAAAAAATCTCGACGGACGCGTTCCGCGTTTGGTGGTAATAGCGGAGCTTGTCTTTCTGGTGCTGAGACGAAAGGCTGAGCTGTGAATGGACAATGGTGGGATTTCTCTGCTTGTTCTTCTTTTTTGCATGAATCATGAAGAAATAAAGTGGCCAGCGATACTTTTGATTGGCCTCTCTGGCAATCCTGATGACTCGCGAGTCTTTACTAATTTGTAGTATGTATCCTGACTTTGTGCTGCTGGGTCTGTCGAGCGGGAGCTTCCGCAGTGGCTTCACAGTTGACAGCTTCCACAGAGAAAGCAAGCCAGCTCTCCCACGGTCCATCAACGACCTGATTTCCCCATTGCGAACTTCATACAAGCTCTGAATGCAGTGTTGTGAAATTGAATGAGAACGAAGAGATATGTTCATCAAGGAGTCATTTCAAACATCAACGGCAATATCTATGAAGATCAACAACTCTCCGCTTCCCTCCAGGGTAGCCTCTATCAACACCATCCGCCAGCATCGCCAGCATCACCACCTCATCCTCTCACTCTCTATACAGGCCCATCCCCTCAATCCACCCCAGAACCTCATCATCAACCATCTCCCCCAACGCCTCCCTCTGCCCCCTCCTCACCATCTCCCTCACCCTCGAACTACTCACCCCGTTCCCCGTCCCTCCCCCCTGCACCAAGTCAACCCTCCCAGCCCACGCCGCATCCCCCCCAACCTCATCCAGCACGCCCTCCCCAAGCCCCCTCACATACGCTCGCTGCTCCTCTTCCCCTCCCCACTCATCGTCCGTCCTCATCGTGACCCTCAGCCTCGCTCTCTCGAAAAAAGGTCCCAGCGCAGCCTTCATCCCTTCTCCTCCTCCGTAGTACTTTGGATTGAATATCCGTATCACCGTGTCAAAGCCCGCCAGAAACACTTGCTCCGGCTCATGTGCCCCTCCTTCTCCCAAAGCAGAAGAAGAAGAAGAAGAAGAAGAAGGCCCATACACGCCGCTCTCCCCAATGACCCTCGCCTTGTCGTGAAAATACGGCATCTTGGTAACCGCGACATCAATCTCAGGCCTGATCCCCTCATCCTCAAGGCTCCTCAAGAGACCATGCCCAAACGCATCCATCATACCCAGCCGTACCGGGAAACTCGCCGGCTTGGGCGCTTTATCCGCATTGTTTACAGAAAGCAACAGCATCAACCGCACACTTGTTGTTGTCGTTCTTCCTCCTCCTCCTCCTCCTCCCGCGTCATCATCAGCATCCTTCCCACCCCCCAAAAAGGGCGTGTCAGTAGTAGCAGCAGTAGTAGTAGACGAAGCCCACCGCAGCGCAGACCGCGCCATCTCCCCATGCGCCCTCGTCGGCGGATTGAAGCTCGAGTCGAGAACCACCAGGCGCCTCACCACCTGCGAAGACGCGCGTCGCGGACCGGGTTCTCGGCCGCCGCCGACGACGTGCGGCAGTGTGCACAGGACGCGGAAGACGTCGGGCGACGACTGGAAGGATGTGAGCGAGCGGGCGAAGAAGTCGACCAGCTGCTTGGGATTCGGACGCATGACTGCTGCTGCTGCTGCTGATGGTGATGGTGATGATGATGATGATGATGGTGATAATGATGATGATGATGATGACGTTGTTGCGTCTGAAGATGCAGTCGCCATGATGGCTGTGAGAAGAACGGGGGGAAAGGATGGAAGAGATGAATGAAGTAGTAGACGGGATTTCCAAGTTGCGTGATGGCTGCATCTGCTAGTAACTTCTTTTACAACATCATCCGATGGCAACTTGAGACGCGGGGCATCTCCGGCACTTCCACCAGACGGCTCCTCACTAATAACACGACGAAGGGAAACCCAAATCAGACAGATCCTGACATTCTGACCGTCGCAACATTACTTTCAAAAAAAGTCTAGATAAACATGAGGAGAGAAAAGGAAGCAATACTGCAAAGGTTCAAAATGTAAAATATACCGCCTCATCGCCTGGCGCCCCGCCCGTAAGAAAAAAGAATCAAGAAACCTGCTCCGAGCCCTGCGCATCCATCACCCCTCGCGAAAACCACTCGGCAATCGTCGCAAACCGATCAGAGCTGTTCTCCAGGTCCGCCTTGAACAGGTCGTGCCGTCCTGCCCGCTCCCTCTGGCCCTCCCTCATCTTGCGAATCACCTCGTTCTCGCCGGCGCACTTGGGACACTCAATCTCGGCATCCTCGCCGCCGCCGCGAAGGCATCGCTGGTGGAAGCTGTGCTTGCACATGAAGTGCACCGCGGGCAGATCCAGTCCCTGTCCGCAGTCGGAGCATCGCGTGGCCTGGAAGACGGCGGGTTTCGAAGCCAGATCCTCTAGGTCGCTGCGCCTCTTTTCGGTATCGGTGCGAAGAGTGGTGATCCGATGCCGGTTCTGGGCAATCTCCTTGCGCTCGCGCGTGATCGTGTCGCGGAGGTACGGCTTGATCATCCCCATGGTGGCCACGCCGCCGCCAGAGTTCTGCCCGACGAGCGTTTGAACAACCTGCAGCGGCGCCATGAGCCCGTCCTTGTCAATCTTGGCCAATATGGCCGCCAACTCATCCGGCCCGGCTTCTTCCAACACCCGGGGATCTGACGTGAGGTATGCCAGCGCGGCCGGATACAGCTCCGGCTCTTCGGGCCCGTACTTTCGCAGCGCCTTCAAGGCCCCACGGGTATCCTTTGCCGATGTATACGATCTGAATATGTCCGACAGCAGCCCAGCTTGCTCCTTGACCAAAACAGTGCCGTCTTGGAAATTGGACAGATGTGAAAGCAGCAACACATTCGAGCTCTCCATTGGCACGTGTTCTCCCTCAATGAGCTTCTTTGCCTTGGCCTCCCACTCCTCCTTGTGTAAGCTGCCCTTTTTCTCATTCGCCTTGTGTAGGTACATCTCAAATAGTGTAGTGTACAGGTCGGTGCTGTGAACTGCCCTCAGCTTTTCTTCTTCCAAACAAGCCTCTAAGAATGTGATGAACTCATCGGGATGGTCGATGAAAGACGAAAATGCTGTCCTGGGCGGCGGGGGAGTGTATTTGGGTATCGGAATGTCGTCTTCGTCAGGCACCACAACGGCCTCGTTTGGCTTTGCGCCCCCTGGCGTTCCGGTCGTGGGGCTGATGTATGAGGGTAGGACGAGGAGGTTCGTCAGGTTTTGCACCGCGCTCGCTGCTCCGGCAGTGAATCCTGTACTGCTTGCAGCCGCCCCAGGGGCTTCAACCGGCAGCACCACCGTCCGCCGCGGCCGATAGTTGCTGGTGTAGTAATCCACAAAGAGCTTTGTAGCGTCTTTGGGGCAATGCTCTATGAGGACCCTGGCGTACTTCTGCATACACGGATATGCCTAAGAAGGTCAGTATCAGGCGCGATTGAGAGGGGTGAAGGAAGCGGAAACGAACAATTGCGGGATCTTGATGCCAGATATAGTCCAGCGCCTCATCATAGCTCTTCGAGTCCTCGATCAGGATGTCCACGACAAGCTCGGTCTCGCCATGCTTTTTCGCGAGATACGCCGCTTGCTGGTAGTAGCCACCTTGTCGGCACATGGTAATGGCCGTGTCTAAATCAAACTTTAGGTCCCCTGGAGCCATGATGAACTCCTCCAGCTTCTTGATGTCTTTGAGTTTGGCGTAGCAGTTGAGCAGCAGTGTGGTGTGGTCAGACGTCGCCTTGCCGTGGTGATGCAGTTTTTCCAGATATAATATCAGATTGTGTATCCTTTGTGTGTCCAGAAACTGCAGCTCTTCGTCAGTCGCTGAACTCATGGCGTGACAGGGCAAGCTGGGTGTTCTTTTACCTTTCTGATGACCTGAGAGGGCTCAGTGGCATCGATTGCTTTGATATACTGGTTCATTGCTCCATCGTAATCGGACTTTTGGTAGAGGTGATCTCCGAACCGGCGATAGATGAGACTCTGTTGTTCAGCATCCATCCCAGAGTTCTGAGCCAGCTCAATGGCAAGGGGGTACATGTTTCGCTGGTAAAGCATCTCCAGACGTTGCTGCAGTGGTTTCTCATGGTATCGATAAATCTGAGAACATCGTCAGCGCTCAGACACCGTCATCAACAAGACTCTAATCCGCACCTTTCCTTCCTCTGTGACTGTGAATAGATCCCCCCATACTTCAACGATGAATCGGACCGGTGAGATGAGCGTCTCCGTATGGCCAATCACCCGGAGATCCGGCTCCAAGAGGACAAAGGTCCATGCGTTAAACAGACCATCTGCCGTCGCGGAGCCAAATCTCCTCCGCAAAGCCTCGGGATCCCGGCTGCTACTGACGGACGACGGACCCGCGACAGCAATGTAGTCGCCATGCATGGCGACGAGGCGTTTGGGAGACTCGTAGGCTCGGGGAGGTCCGCGCCCATCCAGCCTATACGTGTAGATGGCATCGTCTCTGGCGACAACAACGTCCTCTGTCCGGGGATCAATCGTCATGCACCCAGCTGCGCAGCCAGAGTCCTCGATCGTCTTCGGTGGTGAGCCCTGCCCCCGCTTGGACAATGCGAGCTGCAGTATCCTCGAGGTCGTCGAGATGAAGAGGGTTGTCGAGGTATCCTGGGTCGTCAACTGGACGCCCGTCACCGGCTCCTCCGACTCGTAGACGATGCGTTGCTTCGTTCCTAGGTCGTGTACAAGGTCTCCTCTGATGACTGTTACCGCACCGTTGGCAAAGCCCACAGCGATCTGGGTAAGGTCGTCGAGCGCAGCAAAGGCTGATATCTTTCCATTGGCACACACACGTCAACACACACTATCAAACAGAGTACTCGAATCGCCGACTCACCGGAAACTGCCGCCTTCCGTTGTTGATGGTCAAGGTACTGAGGCAAGTCGGCATATTCGTCTTCTTCACCAGCTTATCCAACGCCCAAGCCTTGAGGGTCGGCTCGCTGCTCATATCCTCCTAATCAAGAAATTCTGTCATCAGCACATTTCCCCCCTCGCAGGCCCAATCGCCTCAAAAGGCTCCAGTCGTCGTGGGAGACGCCTCACCGCAACCGTCACCAGCAGGCTCGTCCCCTCAACCTGCCGCATGTGCGTGATGCGCGCCTCGTGCGCCTGGAAGCGCCTGATGACCTTCCATCCCTTGCCCACAATGCTGACGTATCCATCGCTCGAGCCGAGGAACAGGCTGTCGGAGCCCGCGCAGATGCTGGAGACGTCGTTGCTCTCGAAGAGCTGGCGGGTGTCGTCGTCGGGCAGCGCCACCTGCGAGACGTCGAAGAAGTCAAACGACTTCCACTGCGGGCTGGGTTAGCCGCAAAGACCATGTAACATGTTTGGAGGGGGGGGTTCGAGCGCCGTGAGAGTCGACAAGGCAAAGGGTTTACGTACCGAGATGGCCATCTTGTCGCCTGGAGTCGAGAGTCGCGGAAGCGCTGCTCAGCGCACGATGACGATGGTGGGACTGAGGCTGGAGCTGTGGGAGAGCTTCAGGTCGGGTGCCATTGGACTGGATCTGAAGTGACCTACCCGACCGCTAGAGGCCGTTTGATAGCGGGCGCCACAGTGGCTCAAACCCGCCAACACCACTAACACCTGGACGCCCAATGCAACAACTCGACCATTGCCCAACTCGGGCTGGTTACCATCATTGGAACATTATTATTCACCATTTTGTTGACTCAATCTCACTGTGTAGATCCAAGTAGAGTAAGGTAAAAGCTGTAGACAATGACTGTTGCCATCATTGGGTGGGATACGTCCTCTTCATTCACGTCATCTGCTTATTGGGTGCCGCATCACTTGTACCATATAGTCCGACCTCCATCACCACAAACGCACATCATCAAGCCCCAACGTGAAAAGAAGAAGGAGATAATTGCAATTTGTCATAGGCTAAAGGGTATCACGTTTGTAGCATCTTCAGGTCTCTACCCCTCCGGTTCGAAATAGAAAGAGATAATAGAGCCAAAAAAAAAAGAGAAAAAAGGAGAGAAACAAGGAAAGAAAGTGTAGCAAAGGTAAGGGGCCAAAGAAAAGGAAGCCAAACAGAAGGCAAAAGAAACCGTCCCTAATCCAGCCACATTTATGAGCCCGCTCTAATCAAACACAAACACACAAGGCCTTCTCCCCCCCAAAAAACGCCTGTCACTGCAAAGAGTAACAAAAGATGGCCGCTCGTGGCGGATGTTGTAGGTTTAGTCCTCCTTGAAAGCGGATGTTAGCTGGCTCTCCTCTGTACTTTGCCCAAGGCTTTGCTCATCAGGTACCTCTCGAGGGCTGGCGAGTGCAACGCTGCCGCTGATAGAATCGGGACGTCCGTGCCCCAGGCGGCCACTCCTAACGCTTGCACCGTCGCCCTGCTTAGCATAGAGACTGTTGCGCTCGCTAGGAATCGCCGGGGCCACGCCGGTTGCCGAGTATATGCTGTTCCGCTCTGCGCCAATCCTGGAGGCGTTGTGAAGACTGGACGTAGGCCCAATGCTGGACGGGTCGATGTTGGCGCTGAGGACACTCAGGGGTAGACTCTCGCGGCTGCCGCCCCAGAGCGACGACGGCGCGAGGGCACGGACAGATGCATCGGTATCCATCGACCGACGCCGCCCTCTCTTGCTCGACGACGCCAAAGTCAGAATGGATGCATTGTCCGTGAGCAGGTTGTTGGCGGTGGCCGAAGCATATGTCGTCAGATGGTTTGACGGCATGAGATGCGCCGGTATGGCCGACGCTGGCGAAGCCGTCGGGAATGGCTGGCTGAACTGGATCGACTGGGTGATGCTGTGAGTAGGCGCCACCGGGGCCTGCCCATGGGGCGCAAGAGATTGGATCGTAGTCAGCGTCGTTGCGAGCGACCTAACCGATGGAGAAGGGCTGGAGAATGTGCTATCGCCGCCTCGTCTGGATTCGTGACCTTCGCCAATCGTCCTGCTTGTTCTCGTCACGGAGCTGGGCGCGCGACTGGGTGCAATGACGGATCGAGGGGGGTCGGTTTCGGTTTCGGTCTCGGTTGAGATGGTCGTGGTCAAGCTCCTCCCGTCGGAGGCCTGTGGTGCATAGCCATCGGCCGAGAAGCGGGTTGGCGGATCTATCGTCGAGAGGCTGCAGTCGGTACGGCCGGTAGCGAAGGAGTAGGAGCTCTGCTGGCCGTTGGGGTGGCTTTGGCTGACGTGGCCGGACTGCGGATACGGGTTATTGAGCTTGGGACCGCGCCTTATCCGTATGTGTCGCTTCTGGCGCTCGCCGTCGGAGGACGACTTGAAGTTGGTGAGCTTCTTGACCCACGTTGAGAACGGCCTGCGCCGATGTTGGACTGGGCCATCTACGCTGCTGTCAGCTCTGAAATGCAGCGGAGAGTCGTGAGGAACGCTGATTGGGCTGGAAACGCATCCTGACACGAAGGGGCATCTTCAGGCGAGGATAGGGAGGCGAGGAGCAAGGAGACGGTATTACCGTGAGGCGCTGCAATCAGGTCGGTGGTCGCCATCAAGGGCGAGAGTAGGTGGAATGCCGCGGGTGCGGCTCCAGGGGACGGCGGGTGTGTTGGTTGTCGGCGCGAGAGTCAACAGAGAAGGGGAACGGCAACGGCGTCGGGCAGAGATGGAAGACAAGAGACGGAAATGGAGATGCGGATGCGGATGCAGATGCGGATGCAGATGCGGATGGAATCAAAGAGATGGGAGTTGCACGGGCGAAAGACGAGGGTCGACGAGGCTACGGCACGCGGGAGGCGGTGGTCCAGCTGATTTGGGGGCTCAGGAGCGAGGCTGCACAGAGAGAAGATAGATGCGACGAGCAGGACGGCATGCGGGAGACAAGAGGCACAAGACGGATCGCGACAGAATTCGATACCCAGAATGGGCATCCAAGCATTCAATGTTCTGATGGTGCAACGCTAAGAGGCAATAGCGTCGGATCACGGTTGGAGCATCAATTTCGGCATCCCATTGCCCGTCACGTGATGGGCCCAGCAATCACATGAAGGAGGCCGGACAGGAAAGGAGAGCAGCTGACGATGACGAAATGCCGCTGCCAAATCGGGCCAAACGAGGGTCTCGACGCCATTCTCGTCTAGGTACCTATACAAAGGTAACTGCTGGCTCGCTGTGGCTTGGCCCTTGAGCCTCTCGCTGCTGCAGCTTGCCGCCATCGACAACGGCTTCTCCGTTCGAACCCTCTTCCAGATCGTGCAGAACTTTGGTTTGACAACTCGCATCCCCGCGTTTCAGCTGCTCTTCTCGGCACGTCTTTGGTTGATCCTGACTCAGCCCGGCGATCGATGCCCGGAATGGTGGCGCCTCATCTTACTTGAACCCTCCCCCGGCCCTGCGTCACGATACTCGAAGGGGGATCAGCTCCCAGTTCGTCGCCGCCGGTCGTTTCTCCAGATTTGCTGCTGCTGCTGCTGCTGCTGCTGCTGCTGCGCCGGCCAGTTTCAGGCTTCGTCTCGACTACGTGTCATGAAGCATCATGTGCCATGTCCATCAGGGCGCTGCCAGAGGATGTCGTTGGCAAAATCAGGTCCTCGTCGACCATCACTTCGCTCAACGGCGTCGTCTGCGGCCTTGTCAAGAACTCGCTTGATGCTGGCGCCACCAAAGTCAACATTGTGGTCGAGTATGGCCGAGGCAACTGTGTCGTAGAAGACAACGGGCTGGGGATCGTGCCTGGTGATTTCTCAGAAGATGGAGGGCTTGGGAAACCCTACTGTACGGTGTAAAACCCCCTGTCTTTGCGTGACCGGTGATACTGACTTGAGTCCGTCTCGTGTCAAAGATACATCCAAATTCCCACCGCAGCATGGGCTCCATGGCCAGCAGGGAAAATTTCTCGCTTCACTGGCCTCTTTGTGTCTCCTGACAGTCACGTCCCATCATTACCGCCACAACTCGCACAACTCCATCTCGATTCACCACGGCAAGCTGCTGAAGAGGCAGACGCCATCTTTGGCCGGAGATCGGTTCCATGTTTTTGACCACGGCACACGAATCACTGTCAACGACTTGTTCGGTTCGCTTCCCGTACGTGTCAAGCATCGTGCCACGCTCTTTGCGGACCGGCCTGGGCTTGACAAGGAATGGGGGCGCCTCGTCCACGATGTGGTCGGCCTGCTCGTATCATGGCCCTCTGGGGTCTCCGTGTCCTTGCGTGAAGCCAAGGGACAGCGCGAGCTACGCCTGAAGCCGCCGGATAATGCAAACATGGTCTCCCGGGCGTTGCGGCTCTTTACCCAAGCATCGCTGGCGGACTCGGGTGACGTGGAATCGTGGGTGCCGGTGTCAGCAACCGCCGGCCACGTCACGATCAAGGGGTGCATCTCGCTACAGCCTGTTGCCACGCGCCGATCTCAGTTTATGAGCGTGGGGATACTGCCAGTCTCGAACGAGTATGGAAGCAATGTGTTGTATGAAGAAGTGAACAAGATGTTTAAAGCTTCACGTTTTGGTCTTGAGCAACACGAGAGCATCCTCGGTGACGAGTCGGATACGATTCCCCAAAAGAAGAGCAGAGGTGTTGAGCGATGGCCCATGTTCTATCTTCGAATCACTCTAAAAGGGGCCGAGGATGTCTTCGACGTGGATGACATGTCACCTCAATCGCAGGGAGACCTCGAGAGAATCACGAGCGTATTGAGAGCAGTCATCTACAGCTTCTTAAAGAAATACCACCTGCACCCGCAAAGGATTCAATCATCATCAGACAAGTCGTTGTTTTCGACCGCGCCGCGTCGGAGCACACCTCGGGCTCCCAAGGGGTCGCAGCCCGCACCGACTGCGTCTCCGGCAGCTTCGTCCTCGCAGGTTCTACCACTTGACTCCGCATCGTCTCTGCTTGACAGTCCTCTTGACGGCTGGGGTAGGGTCAAGGTTGGCCCTCGAACTCAGCGAAAGCCGACCAAGGAGCAGCAGCATGAAGCGGGATCAAGTAGCTCAGAAAGCATTGTGACTGCCAGGCTGATTGGCGAGGGAGGGAAGCTGCTCCGCAAACCTTTCGACCTTTCCGACTCCTTTAGTCCAAGCATCAAGGGTGGGAAACTTGACGAGGCCGGTACGCAGAGCGAGCCTGAGATGGCCTCCCTGACACTGGCCGAGCGTCCAAAAAGAGCGGCAGAAGACTGGACAGGGGCGGAGAAGAAGCGTCCGAGGGTGGGCGGCTCACATCTCCAGGGCGGGAGACTGAGTGCGAGGCATGAGGCGGTTGAGAAGAAGCCGCCCAGCGAATGGCTGCAAAACATCCTCAAGTCGTGGAACAACCCCGTCTTTGAGCCGACTCAGCCCTGCGTGCCGCGTATCAACGACGACGCGCCGGCGCCAGTGCGTGATGCGGTGACCACTCTCGGCTCGCATCGATGCTGCGTCGACGACGGCGGAGCAGTTCGCTTCGAGGCTGCGTCCATCGGCTTGCAGGGCCGGGTGTCGCGATCGGCGCTGGCAGCGGCGGAAGTCGTCGCACAGGTTGACAAGAAGTTCATCCTGCTGAAACTTCCCCTGCGCAACGTGACGGACGGACGAGAGCCGAGCAGCTCGTGCGCCCTTGTGATGCTCGATCAGCACGCCGCGGATGAGCGGTGTCGTCTGGAGGACCTCATGGCGGGCTACTTTACGCACGACAGTTCTATCGGAGCCATCAGAGCAGTCGTCGAGGCTCTTGAAAAGCCACTGATCTTTGAGGTCTCGGAGCGGGAGCAGGAGCTGCTGCTGCGATACCAAGAGCATCTCGAAGCATGGGGCATTCAGTGCAGGATCCAGCGACGAACAAGGCTTTCGAGGGACGCGCAGGATGGGTGTTTGGTGACGGTGACGGCTCTCCCCCCGAGCATATCGGAGCGCTGCCGTACCGAGCCACGGCTGCTGGTGGAACTCTTGCGCAAGGAGGTTTGGAGGCTCAATGACGAGGGGATCATTCCTGCGCGGCCACGCAGCGGCGGTGATGCGCAACCTATGGCGGATTTCCACGGGTGTCCGAGGGGGATTCTGGAGCTGTTGCATTCGAGGGCTTGTCGAAGTATGTTTTGATTCCTCACTCCCCTATTGACTGATCTCCTGTGACCCCTTTTCTCCTCGTATCAGAACGTGCTGACGATGGTGATTTGTGCAGGTGCCATCATGTTCAACGATGCTCTTTCGGCGGAGGAGTGCGAGGGGCTCGTGAGGCGGCTCGCGAGGTGTGCGTTTCCTTTCCAGTGCGCGCATGGGAGGCCGAGTCTGGTGCCGCTGGTTGATTTGGGGGCGCGTCGTGGGAGAGGGTGGGTTGGGGATGGGCATGGGCGTGTTGATGCGAGGAGGTGGAAGAGGTGGATGGAGGAATCGAGTTGAGCGTATATGATGGTAAGCGTTGGGGCATATATTAAGCATATTCCAGTAGGATTTGCCGCATGTTTTCATTGCTATGGAGAGATGTGATGGATGGTCATGAAAGGGGACTGCCAGGTCGTATAATGAATGAAACGCATAAAGTGGCTGCTTGCTTTGAATGCGACATGTGAGTTTCCTCAAGTCCATGGTATTGACATGAACACTCAAGATGAAGCCAATTTCTTCATAACACCATGGACGTGACTCATTAAACAACTTGGTATCCAACTATATATACAGCCCAAAGGCAACCTTTCCCCAAGCGTCATCATCCAAACGACGCAGGATATAGACATTATGATGCCCCCCCGACGACGACAAATAAACGCCCGCAATGCACTGTATGTGTAGCTCCCATCCCTTTTGAACCAAGATTCGAACAAGGCAAGAAATATGGTATAGGGGGATACAATGGGTAAATCATACCGGAATAGAAAGAAAGAAAAAAAAAAAGATGTAGGGGGGGTATTATATCATAAGAGGAGTAGATATAAGGTAAGGTAGTATGGGTAAGGGGAAAAGGGTATAAGCGTTTTTGTGTGTTTTTTAGTCGTGCTTTTCTTGCTTTGCGGCCTCTTCTTCCTTTTTGCGCTGCTCGGCGGCTTCCTTGCTCTTTTTGATTTCCTCGGGCGTCATCTTGACCCATTCGTTGATGTCGCGATTCCAGCGGTGTCTGTTTAGAGTGTCATGCGTTAGCGAGGATTCATTTTCGATTCCAGTGTTTCTTGAATTACGTCTTGGGTAATGTGAGAAAGGGAGAAGGAGGGGCTGCAAGTCAAAACGCAAGGGAGGCGTTTTCGCGGGGGGGCTGAGCTTATGCCAAGCCATCCAGCCTTGCATATCGATGACAGCCACCTTTTTCCCTTTCTTTTTGTTCTTCCTCTCCACCATCCTCCTCTCATCATCACCATTACCATCGCCAAGACGGAACAGACGGCAGCAAAAAACGACTTACCCCTGAAACTCCTCCACGACGAGGCTCTTGTCGCCGTACTCGGCGCGCAAAATCTCCTCAAAGTTGTAGGGGATGCGGGCCTTGACGCCCTCGAACTCGGTGACGCGCATGGGCCAGAGGTCCTGGCTGGCGTAGCGGTGCTTGTTCTTGCAGCTCCAGATGCCCGGGCGGTCGGCCTCGCGCTCGCGCACGCCGGTGATGTCGATGAACATGCCGTTGGAGGTGTCGATCCAGCGGGCGTCGATGATGTTCATGCCGTCGCCGCGGTCAATGTCGACGTGGTGCGGGTTGACGTCGAGCAGGTACGTGCGGGAGGCGCCCGTGTCGGCGTCGACGACGTGCGTGTGCTCGGTGCGGTTGAGGTTGTCGCCCAGCCAGGTCATGGTGGCGTTGGAGACCTGAACGTCGAGGTCGTAGTCCCACGGCATGATCTGGCCGTTCCACCACCAGCCCAGCAGGGTGCCGTGGGCCAGCCACGTCTCGACGCCGTGCTCGTGCAGCGTCGTCAGGTAGCTGCGGATCAGCTGGCGCAGCACGTCGCGGTGCTCGCCGTAGGGGATCTCGGCCTTGAAGTAGCGCTTGTCGTAGTGGCCCAGCGCGAGGCTGCCGCCGGGCTCGTTGAAGTACTTTGGCGTCTTGGGCTTGTCGGCGCGGGGGAAGCGCGACGTGGGCGAGGCGACGACGGCGGCGGGAGCCGAGAGGGCGCTGGCGGCCAGGAGGAGGAGCGACGTCCAGGAGGAGGCTATCATGGTGGCGGACGGGCGAGCTGTGAGAGTGTAGGAAACCAAGATGTGGGAGGTGGGCGAGAGAGCCGCGATCCCACAGGGACGAGGAGGGACGAAGTGGTGAGCTCGTGAGATCTGTGAACCCCCTGATCGGTGGAATCGCCAGATGGACACAGTCCCGGAGAGATGGACAAGGCGTCGATGGAGCTTATCGGCCCCGTCGAGCAGATCCAAGGGGTCCCTGTGTCCAGAAAATAGCAGTACTAGTAGTGCTAGGTATTCTTTGTATGTAGATCGCCCAGGCTCGTTTCGAAGAGTAGCAGCTCAGCTCCAAGCGAGTGTATGGAGTCCGAGACAACAAACGAATGGAGTAACCAACCAGGCGAAACCAAAGGTAGGTAGGTAGGTAGGAAGAGGAACGAGAGGTACAAGCGACACAGAAAGGAGGGGAGTCCTAGGAAATGAAATGGAAGAGGTATTAAGAAGCAGGCAGATGCTATGTATGATTAGGAAGACAAAAAAAAAAGGGGACAGGGGAGAGACGAGGAGGAGGAGGAGGAGCCAAGGTTGAGAATGAGAATATGGGGGAAAAGGAGCAAGGATGCGAGGGTGGGTAGCCGTGGGCTCTTTTTTTGGGGGGGGTGGTGGTGCGTGCGTGCGTGTTCCTCCCAGGTCGACAAGGAACGGAACTGTATGCCGATAGTATTAGCAGGAAAGGTAAGGCAAGTACTTTTCCACCAGACCGTTTGCGCGTTGATTGCAGTCGGAGGCTCCCGGAGCTGCTGCAAGTTGTAGTTGCAGGTGCAGTTGCAGTTGCAGTTGCGGGTGCGGGTGCGGTTTGCAGGTGGTGCTGTTTGCGGATTTGCGGGTTCGCTGCTGTTGGGCGGGCTGCAGCAAGGCAAATGACGCTCTGACGGAGGGGCCTCAAGCTGGGATGAAACGAAGCAGGATTCACAAACAGGCGAGAGGGAGAAAAAAAATAGAGGACGATGAGAAAGACGAGTGGTGGTGCTACCGGGTCTTTGGGTCTCTGACAGATGCTCTCTCTCTCTCTCTCTCTCTCCCCCCAGTGCTTGGAGCGGGCAACTGTCTGGATATGTACGGTATAGATAGGTAAGGTAGGTAGGATAACCCAAGATTGATAAACCGCTTTTGAAACTTGTCTACTTTTCCATCGCCTCGTCTTATTTGATCAACATCTCCAGTCATCCCGACATTCGCCTCGTTACGTGGCTGACAGCAGTATGACGGCGGCCAAGCGGCTACAGCGAGCTTCGTCCCTGTCCCACACCCTCTCTTTTGCTCCGTTCAATTTCATTGCAGAATCCTACCCACCTATAGTACCTTGCCTACCTACATGTACGAGTACAGTAACATGACACTACTGCGGCAGACAAGGCAACACAGATTGGCCGCAACCGACTGTAGCGAACCACCAACTACGGAGTACCGCTACCACCACCAACAACTGATCCGTCAAACAGGTATGTACCATCTTCTCGTGCCTATTATTCGCCCTTGTTCTGCGTGTCTATGGGCAGAGTGGAATCAGCACGCTAATGATGCGCGGACGGGCCAGATTAGTAGTATCGTTGAAACCCGGACAGCCTGGACGAGGGTCAATGCGGTGGAGCTGGAGATGCGTCAAAAAAAGAACAGTAAAATCCGGAGAGACGACCAGATTCAGCGTCGATGCTCAATCCCCTTGCTCCCTATCTTTTACCTACTCGGATACGCAAAAACACCCGTTTCCTCTCAGCATCGGCCTCCATATAATAATACTGTATTCAGCTACTCCTTCCAGCGCAATGATAATCCTCAAGTATCATTATTTTCTCCTATTTCCGTCCTCTGTATTACTAGTATAATATTATCATCTCCCGTCTCAGCGCAATTTCCCAGAAACGCCCAAGACCAAGCCAAGCCAAGCCCATCCCCGCGCTAATCCCCTCCCGGCAACCAGTCGTGTGCGTTTTCCTTTTCCCTCTCTGCAAATGATTTCCTCGCCATCAATGCAACAACCCCCTGCGTCATCGCCTGCAAAGCCACACACACACAAAAGCCGCTATACCTGATTCCCCCCCCCCCCCCCCAAATCCTCCAGCCGCTTGTCTGCCGTCCAATCAATTGGCCGTCGTAGCCTCTACCTGGCACCACTTGACACATCCCGCGACAACTCAAGTAGCAGAGACAATCTATCATCTTTCGGTCGCATTTTGTCTGTCTTCCAGGTTCTTCAAACCTCCCCGACGTTTGCCTCTACAGGTAGGTACATTTACCCGTAATATGTACATGCCTTAACCCCCCTTGCCCCCCCCCTTGACCCAAAGCTCATTCGTTGAAAAGCCTCTCGAAGGATGACCGACAAAAGGAACAAGGCTCTGGGCATATTAGGCACATCATTTCCCCTTTTGTCCTCTAAATCCTCGTCTGGCGCCTTGAACAAAGAGAAACGGGCACACGAGACACACATATCCGTACGCGAAAAGACATGCTGCGAGTAGTAGTCTAATACCTTTCCTTACTTTTTGCCTGTAGGACAAGTGCCAACTGGTTGAGGCGATCCCGATCCCGTCACACTACCTAGGTACTTACACCTTGACTTGCGTTACAACAACAACACGAGAACAAAAAGCAACAGCAACAGGGGAGCTCCCTGGTCTGCTCTGCCGTCTCGGCTCTCCAGATGACGAATCCATGCAGCCAACTCGCCATGAAAGCAAATCTTCAACCAACGCACGTACAAGTACTACTAGGTAGTAGTAGTATCGTTATGGATTTCGCTGCCCATGTCACACAGGGACACAACCCCCCCTCCCAAGGCATCTCCATACCAGTTCTCCTCCATATCTGATATCTACTATAGTTGCCTCCTCCGACAAGCATCATAACGATATCAACCCATTCCCATTATCCAAAACCCACAAAGGGCCCTGTCGAGAATACTCCGTAGAGATTCTAGAACTTGCCTCCTCCACCAGACCTGGACGTTGGACGCGCAATTACCATCTCTAACCCGGCACGCGGCCGCCTCTTAGACGCCCTTTAGCCATGCCGTATTTCCCGGAAAAAGCATCCACGCATCCACCCGACCTTTTCACTATGTACTACCCCCCAAGCCGCAGCGCCTACGCCAGCACGTCGGAACAAAATTGCCGATCAGCCCGGCAATTCATTCGTACCCCGATGCGGCTTGGTGTTGCTTTCAGCAGCACGAGGAGACGAAACAACGGGGGCAGTGAATAGCATTCTTCCATCGCCCTATAAGAGAACGATGAAGATCAAAAAAGAAAGAAAAAAAAAGAGAAAAAAGGGAGAGAGATTTCATTCGCAGGATGCAAGTATCTGGTAATTAACATGACGGAGAAAAAAGTGCAAAAAAATCAACCTCTTGGAGGCTTGGCGGATCTCTCCCGCCGGGAATTGAACCCGGGTCTCAAGCGTGACAAGCTTGCATACTGACCACTATACTACGGAAGATTTCAGGCGTTGCGCGCCTGTTGTAGCGGATCTTGTTGAAGAGCAGTCACCTATTTCTATTCATAAGGCTAGATGCGTACCTCTTTTGCTCCACCGCCATCTTTTATCTTTCCCCTTCCTCACATTGTTTCCTTCACGCAATCATCTGTAGGTGGCTTCGCAAGCCGCCAGACATGCATCAATAGCAAAAGATTCCATCAACGTCAACACAACACCTCACCATGAAACCCGAATGACAGATTCACAGGAAAGACACACGAATCATGTTGTCGGGTATCGACGAGTAGCCATTCTCTTCAACACATGTACACGCTACAATTTATACACTGTCAGAAAAAAGAGAACAGAAACCAAGAAATGAACAAAAAAGCCACATGCTTCTCCCAGAAACATATCTCATTCCGCCAGCCAAAGTTCCATCATTCTATTCATCGTCCACATCACCACCCGCTCATGACGATTAGAAATGACGAGCTCTCAACAAGAGACCCATTGTATATGAACCATCACTATCGCGCAAACACCTTGACAATGCCGTCGCCGCCTCCGCTCACCACCCACTTGCCGTCCTGACTCCATACGCATGTGCAGATGCCCTCGCCACGCATCACCCGGTGGCTCGTAATCTCTTGGATACAGGTCCTCTTCTCCAGGCTCCAGAACCTGAGGGACGCGTCGTGGCCGGCGCTCACCAGCTCGCGCCCATCTGGGCTGAGCGACAGGCTAGAAATGGCGTCGGGGTGAGCCAGCATGTTGTATGTACATTGGCCTGGGAGATGTCAGTTTTCTTCCTTGTTTGTGTGCTTTGATATCAACATACCGCTGTTGGCATCAAAGAATCGTACAAAGCGATCCTCGTGGCCAGTGATGATCGTGCCCTCAACGCCGGAGCCAGCCATTGACCGTCCGCCCGTCGGTCCTCCCATGGCGGGATCCTCCTCTCCGCCGATATTGATGCCGTGATGCTGGTTGCCCTGGTCCAGGCCGATTGTAGTCGCCACGACCGCGTTGACGCTCGTCTTGATCGTGCCGTCGTACGTCTCTAAGCTGTCCATGCTGCCAATCTGCTCACCCGTCTTTGTATCGTACACTAGCACGGCCGCATCCGAGTAGGAGACCACAAACGTCTCTCCTGAGCTTCCGAGGGGCGTGATGCATGTGGGGCTGGCCTTGGAGCCATCTTGCCTAGATATCACATGCACAAGCGTGTGGTTAAAGGGCGAGTTGGAAGCCACGGTAGGCTGGGGGGTGTTGGAGAAGCCGCTGCCGGAGCTCATGGAGTTACCGCGTGTCCGCCCTCCACGTCCCGAGGGGGGCTGAGGTCTGGGCTGCGGTGAGGTCAGCTGGGGAGGTGCGCTGACGGACCAGAGCCGAACGGTGCCATCTGCCGCGCCAGAGACGAGCAGTATCCGGTCAGGGGTTCCGTAGTTGCTAGAGCTGCCGAAGACCGATCCCAGTGTCGTGGGCAGGACGCAGAGCGCCCACACAGCATCCGTATGTCCCTCCAGCGTCCCCTTGGGGTCGACCCTGCCGCGTTCCCAGACTCGAACAGTGGAGTCCTGGCCGCCAGAAAAGATCCAGCCGTCGCCCTGAGCGCGGCCTCCGGTGGAAAAGTTCGGGGCCGGAGACCACGCCGCAAGCGACAAGACAGCCCCGTTGTGGCCGCGGTGGGTAAAGTTTGCGGTAACGTCCAAGTCGGAGGCCGCGTTGTTGGAAGCGGCAACGTTGCCGTCCAACCGTGGAATATGGAATCGCTTGATCATGCCGTCATCGCCGGCTGTGCAAATCTCAGGCTCGCCAGGGCTGCCGCCACCCGAGAAAATGACGGTTCGGATGGTGTCGAGGTGTCCCCTCAGCCCGAATCGTAGCTTGAAGCTGGCGCTGTCAACCTTCTGAACCGCGCCCAAGTCGTGGTCACTGCCGCGCCTCTTGGACATGGAACTCTTCCGTCGATGAGTCCCCGGACCCCGGCTGGGGGACTTTGATAGGTAGTCGGCGTTGGGAAAGGCGTCGGTGTCGGATCGGTAGGATGTAGACTGAGACTGCGGTTGGCCAGATGTTTCCGGGAACGAGCCGTCTGGAAACTCCCAGCCCTCGGGATCGGGAGCAGCAGGCGGCTTCTCTCCCAGCTCGACAGACTCTTCCAACCCGCCCATCGTGTCGTTTGAGTGATTGGGTCGCGGCATACCGTCTTCCACAGGGCGCGTTGTGACTGAGATAGGCTGCTGCTGTTGCTGTTGCTGTTGTTGTTGCTGCTGCTGCCACTCGTTTGAGCTGTGAAACAGAGACGACTGCTGATGGTCATTCACGGAGCGTCCCATTTGGGACTGCATTTCGGAAGCGTTTGGGGCAAACTTGTGCTGCTGTTGCTGCTGCTGCTGCTGCATCGGTGGTAGAGAGTTTGGGCCTTGGTGCTGTCTTGAGTTCATATCCTGCATGTGATTGGGTCCCTGTCGCATGGGAAGCTGGTACTGCCGTTCCATGAGCGGCGCGCCCGGCATGCCAAAGGCCTCGGCGTCTCGTAGGTCTTCCAGCATCGGCAGAGGTGGTGACTCGCGCGGCGGCAGAGGATTCGCAGGGGTGATCATGAGATACATGAACTCAGACTGGCACTGGTCCAGGAACGTCTTGAGCTCCGTTCGCTGCGTCTCGTCGTCGGTCCTCTCGACTTGGACGCCCTCGACGCCCGGCACTGCTTGGCTCTCGGACGAGGCTGGTACTGCGTGTCAGCAACTACTAGATTCCGAACCTCATATCGCCATGAGGGAAAGGGGCATAGAAGGGGCATCCTACATCGCAGCTTCTCCTGAATCCTCGCGGCGCGATCATTCTTGGCAGCCTCCTCAGCCTCTGCCGCATCGGCGCCCTTGAGCTGCGCGGCCTGGTCCTTGATCTTGCGCTCGAGGATCGATACGTATTTCTTCAGCGCCTTCTGCGTGGCGTCTGCCCTCCTCGCCTGGCCCTCAAGGTTGGCTATCCTGCCCTTCATCTCCTGCTTCTCAATCTCCCAGGCATTTCGGTCGCGCTCATGTCGGTGCCACTCGGTCTGCAGGAAGCGCATCACACCCTGCAGCGTATATTCCGTGGCCTGGGGCTGGTTGGGGCCATTGCCCTGCAGCGCGCTGTTGAGATCCATTCCGCCAATGCCGTTGCCAATGTTCGAGCCCATTACGGCACGCGAGGTTCAGCTGCGAGGGTGCATCGAAGAGTCGAGGGCTGCTGTTCGGTTGCGCGCGAGGAAGAGCTTCCCCCAAGCTGGGCCTCAGAGGGGCGGCAATCCAGAGGCAAAGATGAGACGCAGAGAGCTCCCACGCGCCCAGAGCACTCTCGAGAGAGGAAAAGCCGCCGACTTTGTCTCGTGTTTGGCGTTCTGTGTCCGCAACTGGCGTCGTCCAGGCGCGTGAATCGGCCGCTGCGGTGAAGTCGCCTTTGTTGAGGTGATGCGTCTCAACATTCAGGTTCGCCTCGAGTTCTCGTGCACAAGCTCTGGCGAATAGGTGGCCGTATGCCGTCCCTGTTGCTGTGTCTAGCGCTGCTAGGCCGGGGAGCTGGCCAATCAGGGCGCGCGGCTGCCCGTGAGGCCGCAAGGCATCAACCTCTATCGGACCCCCTGAGGCTGCAGCAACTGCAGCTTGATGGCGGGGTGCTTTTGGGGTGCTTTTGGGGTGCCTTGGGGGTCCAGTGCTTCTTTGGGGGAGCTGTCCACTGTAACGAAACGGCTGCACGATGTTAGCGCTGCGTTGGCGAGAGCAGCATCAATGACGCCGTTGGGCGGATATGCTTACATCAGCTTGAGGATGGCGCATGTTGCATCCAATCTGGATTTCACTTCAACTTGCATCTGCATCTCTTCATCATTCATTATTTTCGACATCCAGGGAGTGCAGCAATAGGCACGGGAGCTTCCACAGGATACAACTATATACTTAATGATGATATATATCAGACTACTATAACTGCCGACATAAATCTCACACCAGCTCCAGAGTCTTGATATCAGCATCTTCCCACCACTTCGACCCATACGTCTTCCCAACTCCTATTCTGTAACAACTGCCATCGCTCCTTTGCCGCACCAGTAGCACCCAATAGTGTCGGAGTTTCTTTGAGACAGTCGTTCCAAGACGTCTCTCTGCTTGCTCGTCTCGTCGGCTGATGGTGCCCATCAAAGCGAGGGCCAGAACCACTCCTGAGGCGGCATCTTCTGAGGCGAGGTCGAATACGGTCCACCCGATAGGAGCACCATCCGTGTCTAGGATATACTGAGCCATGGAACTGGTCAACTTGGCATGAGATGATGCGATATCCGTGAGGATGGCTGCAGTGACGGGGTTCCCTTCGCCCTGAGAGTCCGTCACTGTTGACACCATGGACACGCGCTTTGCCCAGGTCTGCATGCTCAGTCGTCTCATGTCGCCGTCTTCGAAAGCAATCGCGTCACACTGGTTCTTGGCTCTGTCAATGGTCAGATATCGCACACCGCACGGAACATGAGCCCACGTCCAAGTTGGGAGCTTCAAAGGATCCAAGATGGCCGTCCCCTCTATCCTTTTGGTGACCTGCCAGAGCAGTTGGTTAGGAAGAGACTCTTTCCAGACGCCAAAGGCATATTCGCAGGCAATCTTCTTCCCCAGCTCCATGCGCAGGCCCTCGAGCGCAATCAGCCTGTCCGTTGCAAAGGTCAGCTGGCGGTCGCTGTACTGCTCCACGACATTCTTCCAGCGTGTGTTCCGTGAGACGCTGTAGCATCGCTCGCCTGTCTCGCGCTGCGTGATGGCCTTACACGACCAAATGAGAGCTCCCTTGGTGAAGAAGACGATTCGTCTGGATAGGAGCCACTCCTGAGTAGCCCATGCCCGACTATTGAGTGCACCGAACTCGGGAAACGTGTTGGCAGCAGTCTCCCGTCGAATGGTTGCAAAGACCTGTATCTCGGACGTGTCGCATACTTTTGCGTCCGTCGCACACTGAGAGAAAAAGTTTGGAATCTCTACGGAAGGAGGCGGTGGGCAACGAGGGAAGAGGAATCCCTCCCAGCAGCCGGGGGTATGAGAAGCGGCTATGGTGGTTTCGGCCTGCTCGTATATTGAGCCCATACGCTTGGATTCCTTCAACCACTCCTGGTGGTCATCTTGCACAATGCAGAGCGAGTCGATCCAGACGTAGTCGAGGCCTATCCTGCGAGTAATGGTTATGGCATCCTGAAATGTCTTGGGGATCGAAGCCCAAGGGATATGCTGAAGATGGTTCTGGAGGTTTGCTTGAGTCGTCTTGAGCGGCTGCCTCCCAGCAGAGCCCCAGCAATGGCTCAAGGCAGCATACCTTCCACGTCTGCCTCCAGACGGCAACAGTCTCACGGTGCTTCCAGAAACATGAATGACTCTGCTCGGCAGCTCTGGAAGCTCAGAATCGTCAATGACGCTCCCTGATAAGGTTTCCCAGCACGACGCATGATCTCTTTTACACGCAGCCAACCATCTCTTGAGCAACGAGACCGCCTCGTCACAATCCGGACTCTGCAGTGCTGGCCTGCCTACGATATCATGACGGTCATGAGGGCCTTTGCCTATCTATAGATGTAAGTAAGTCATGCCATGGTTTTCTCGCCCAGGTTTGTCCTTAATCCCACATACGCTGCCCCTGGGTATAGAGCCGGATCTTGGCCTGTATCAGCTGTCCCGTGGTCGCTTCGGTGGCAGTGACAGTGAACCCCGTCAAGTGCGAGCCCCCGGTTGGCGGCTCAGGGAACGTCGATCCCTGGGAATCTGATTTTGGCTCGAGAACGACGGCATTGGGCGCTAACGAAAGCCTCGCCGGCGGATCGTGAACCCGATGACACGATGAGCGAAGCAGGGCCTCGTGGATGAGGGCGCACAATCGGCACACCGATGCCGATAGAGCCAGAGCAGAGCCGTCGTCCAGCAGCACCATGCCCTGCCTGGCCCCCAGACGAGCCGCCAGGCTGGTGGGCAGGTCTCGCCTCAGAGCGCCGAGGGAGATGCAGCGGCAGCGCTCGCACAGCTCCATGATCCGCGGTGGCCCAGGTAGCTGCTGGCGAACTCAAGCCACCATGCTTCTATCGGGGACAGTGGCTGTCTGTCTGTACTATCTCCCGTCGTTGCGGATCGGCTGATGGTGGTTTGGGAGGGAGGAGGTTGTTGACTTGACTAATGGACTGCCTAGTAGTACTAATGAGATGAGGGATTGGGAGCTACCCGTTGTGGCATGGCGCCCCCAGACAACCTTGGCGGTTAGCCAAGCTCCAAAGCCTGCGAGCGAAGCTCTTGATGGCTGTTCCGGATGTGGCATGAAGCGCATCATGTGATGGCTCCCCAAGGTAGTGCTTGGATAGGGTGGACTATGGAGGACTTCCGACGCGACAAGTGCAGAGAACGGCATGTTCGGTGAGCTAGAGAGCTGTTGAAGCTGGCCACATGTTCGGCGCCATCGAAGAAAGACTCGATTCTAGCGTTGGCATCGAGGCCAGAGAGATTCAGAAACAAACAAAAAAGCGCTGCCATCGATCACCCTTTTTGATTTCCTCCAAACCACGTTCTTGTCGAACTCGCCTTGCCGAGAGTCCAAATGAGCCATATGTGAGTAGGTAGAATATTTGACTCTCGACTCAATGTTCTAATCAATATTCTTCCCAATCTGCCGAGAATAAAGAACCGAATAAACCTACCTAGTAGCTCTAGAGAAGCTGAGATGAGGTGACGGGGTCAAAATAACGTCAATGGCGCAGAGCATCAGCTCAGACAAGCCCGGCACTTTCGGGAGGAGGCGCATCACCGAGAGCCGCACAGAGGGCTGAACGGTTCACCACGGCTACTGCCTGATGGCTTGTTGACTTGTGGTATGCAGCTCCTTGTTCTCACTGTGTCCGTGGAGAGAAAACGCTGGAGCTGAGAGCTTCCGGGTGCCGTCGGTTGGCACATGTCAAAAAAGTGACAGCACTCTGACATGAGCATACCCTGCCGCCACTTACACGACCGCAAGTAATGTGTCACATCCTCACTCAAAAGCCAACATATGAAGAATCTTGTAAGTTACAAGCATCGAATAGATTATGGTACATTGATTTTCTTCAAGCAGATCAATCAATAGTTGTTGAAGTAGCTTGACGAGATACTACGGTCCAGGTGCTCTCGTCAAAGCGGTTACCAAGCTCCAAGCTTGAGCAGCCAATCTCTGTCTTCATGGTATCTCTCCTACAAAGAACCAAACAATCGTGCCTCTCACGCACTGGGTATCACAACTATAGAGGCGCCTCCATCCTCCGATTTCAAGCCTGTCAATGTCTTAGACAGCAGTGCCGGAGTTGACTGCAGGGTGCGCCGTCGCGGCCGGAGCTGCCGGGGCTGCCGGCGGCGGTGCGGTGGTGCCGGTATCTCCAGACACGCCGGAAACACCAGAGGCCGGTCGCTCCTTGGTATGGTGAGTGGGCTCATTGACATAAGTCCGGCGGTGAGCCCTGAAGAGCAGGCCTTCGACGATGAGATTGCACAGAATGAAGAAGCTAGGGCAGGATGTGTGAGCACGCTGCAGAACAAAAAGAAGACAAACTAGACGGGGACGATGTATGTTGAGAACCGGGGGACAAAGAAAAAGCGTGTCAACTTACAAGGCCAGAAAGGTAAATGCTTCAACAGCGTGCTTCTTGCCACATTGTCCACCCACGGGGATGCCAGCTCTGCACCTATGATGGCTCCATCTCTGAGCGGTGAAGATAAAGGCCGTGAGCCAGAGATAGCTGAAGATGAGATGCAGAGGGGCCAGATGGCCTCCATACTTGGGCAGGCATGGGGCGAGCATTCCAACGAGGTATACCACCATTGTTATGACAGCCTGGCGTCACATGTCAGTTTGGCTGTAACCCCACGGGATCGGTGAAGGGTAGGCTGTAAATCGAGGAAAGACGAACAATGACTTCGATGTAGACGATATCAACACCGCGGTTTGAGAAGCGTTCCAGGAAGTTGCCGACGATACCAACGACAATGATGGAGGAGATCCAGGTCATCAGGTAGCAGAAGAAGGACCCTGCCCGAAGGGCAGTGTTTTCGAGATCATTGGCGAACCGTGCCATGTTGAAGAGCTTCAATATTTGTTCTCTCTGGCAGAATAGCGAACTGGTGTAGTTTATCCTGAGTTGAACCAAAAAGAAGAAGAAGGAGAAGAGGAAAAGATGGACAAAGCTGAATGAACTGAAAGATCTGTGGCAGCTCTATATAAATGAATGTCAATGACAACATCTCCCAAGCTGATTCCCATGGCACCCCCATTAGCCTCACACCACCACCTCATGGCACAGTGCCCATGAACATGTAGCCGTCACACATTCACGGCCAGAAATGCTTGGCTTCAACAAACTTTTGGCCATCTATGAAGATAAGAGAAGAACATTCTACCTAGGGAATGCAGAAGCTCGGCTATGTGGCTTGCTGGCCGGATAGCTACCATTTCTGTAACAGAGCAGCCGCCCAGCTTTAGGGCGTGGGTGTCATGCTTACAATGGGGAGCGTCAAAGCCACATCATGCCAACGGTGTCGAGTACGTCCCCCCAAAGCCGGTAGTTACCAGAAACAGTTTCCCGGTCAAATTTGCTGTTTTGTAGCTTATTGAAGATCCGGATTTCCACGGGAAGTCGTTTCTTTGGTCTCAAGTGCTTTTGGGACCCATTAGTCTACCTAGGAGCTGGGTCAGATGGGGGCAAGCTCTGCCGTTCGCTCCGAGGCGAGCGAGCTTGGCCATGGAGCTTATCACGCGATGGTGGGTGAGATTGTGTCAATGTTGCTTTCATGGCTGTCTAGTTGTTTGTGATGGGCAAAAAGAAAAAAAAAGCTTGGTAGTGGCTAGAGCTCACGCGATTCGATGCCGTGAAGCCGTCTTGTTTGCGAGATTGGCTTGCGGCTCGGTAAGGCGTCTGGAGATGTAGATCGAGAACCGAGCTTGCGTTGCTAATGGCTGTTTTGTAAACATTCCATGTCAGAGAAGAGTGGCAAAAAGAATATGAAGCTAGGGCTGAGCTTTTGACGTTATAGAGTCCCATAGACTTGAGGCGAGATGGGGCTGTTTGTAAGAGGAGATTGATAATCGCTTGTTGTTGATGTCTTTCATACGTGATCTTCTGTTTCCATTCGGTTCTAATATATTTCCGCAGTCTTTTATTTACTGCGACTTTTGTCATAGCTGGCATTGATGATATATGTACGAAGTCACCGGCTCGAGTGCCTTGTGATTACCTAGTAGTGAGCAGTGAGCATCTACAAGTACATGCATCCACCCATTTCACGACCACCAGTGAAGACGGGGACACAACCGCAGTATAAGTGGTCATGATGCTTGAAAACAGGCCTCGAAGAATGCATGTATGTGATGCTTGGTAGAACTATTCTCCAAAGATAGCCATTTATCCATGCCAAACAATTACTGTGCAAGTGAATCGAGGCGACATCATGGAGGCAAATAGCCCTTCGAGGCAAAGTACAAGTGAGGCTGTAACTCGGTGATATTCCATTCTAAAGTGAACCAACTGTGTCAAAAATGGATGGACGAGTGAGTGAAATGCCTTTGTAAGTGAAGGAACAAAGAACGCTGCACCTAAATGACTTTATGTTAACGACTAGCTATCTAGACATGTAGCATGAGAAGGAAGGAGGCGGCCGGCTGTCGTTCCACGATCAAGCGAGGAGTAGCGATGAGAACCTGGACATATCCCTTCATCAGATAAAACATATGCGAATGATATAAAGGATTACGGAATACCTTTTTGGCACAGAAGATCGTTGACACAGTCCACGTGTAGTGCTGGCATGCTCGAGATGCTACCTTCAGGGTCCATCTGTCTGTACGGACTCCGATCTCCTAAATTTTATATGATGCACAGATGGATGGATATTCCAAGTGGTGAATAAAGTCGAAGTCAGATCGAACCGCGACAGAGAATGAGCAAATCAATGCGCATGGGTCGACATGGAGAGCAAAATAAATAAATAAATAAACAATAATACAAAATAAGAGACTGCTTTTCCTCCTTTTTTATGGACAAACATATGTGAGTCTAGGGTAGATGGTAAAGACTTGCGCACACTGGTGGCTTACACCGGTTGGTGCTTTTGTAGGTCAGTTATCAATCAGATGGGCTGGGATCTCATGCCCGCTTCATGCAAGATTGAGGCAGCTGAACATGAAGAAGCAGGTTCCTGACCCAGATTCCAGAACATGCATGTGCCTCCCGTTAGTACTGATAGTGGAAGGTAGCCAATGCCGAACAAAAATGCCTGGCTGTCTGGGCTGATTGCCTTATGGTGCAGGGCAACTCTGTGATTCGGCACTCTTTGTGTGTCATCTTCGGCATCGGTACCTACCTGTCTCGTCCATGTATCTTCGCGTGAGAATCCCCTCAATAACCGCCTCTGTCCTGGTCCTACGAGAACCTGCAACAACCACGACTAATACCTACTTACTGTTACTTGATCCCCTCTTCATCTGTGTAACTCGAGAACTGGGCAGTGCCAGTTGTGTTTCTTCAGGTTGCCTTGCGGCAAATTGTTTACCCCGCCGCCTATCAATCGCAGCCAGCTTTGAGGCCCTATAAAGTCGTCCCGCAAGAACACTGGACATCCACGCTAGGCCCTGACTTGGCAGTACTACTAGTAGGTAGTAGCTGTACGGAGACCCGACCGCCTTGGACCTTATCGTGGCTGATTGACTCCATCCATCTGACCGAGATCACGGCGAGAGACGATCGTGTTTGGGGCCGCTCTGCATCTTCCTCTTCCATATACAGCAGGACTACTACCATACCCGAGCACACCCTCTTTTGCTTCATCGCTCACGCACCGCTGCATCCACTGGAGCCTCTCCTGCTTCTTGCTCTCTCCAGTATTACGAGCACGGCCACTATCCGGTAGCCTGAGCGGATCCGACCACTTTAATCTCAGCAGCACCAGCACCAGCATCGGCATCGGCATCAGCATCAGCCAGACCCAGACCCAGACCCAGCCCCGGCTGTTTTTGTTAGCCTCCCGCTGCTTAGCTCGCCAGCATGGCCTCAGCGTCCCAGCGGCGGCGGCGGCGAGATGAAGACGACTACATCCCCTTCGGACCGCCCTCGCTGCCCAGCACCCAGACTCACCTCGACACCATGGCGTCGGCCGACCTTGGCTGGCCTCCGCCCGTCACAATGTCCGACTCGAGCGACGACGAGCTGGCCGACCACCGCGCGGCCGCACGGCACTTTGCCCGCCGGAGCCAGCTGCCGCCCGGCCTCAACGAGGGCTTCATGACACGGCCCGCCGACCGATACTCGCCCGACATCTACTCGGTCACGTCCGACAACCCGAGCCAGACGGCGATGCTGTCCGCGCTCGACGCCGGCATGCAGTCGCAGTACGCGGGCAGGCACTCGCAGTACTACGCCGCCAGAACCCCCAACCCGGGACCCCAGATCAAGCCCCATCTGTCGTCCCTCGACATCCCACGCCGCTACGGCAGCAACGCCATCCTCGACATGTACGCCCTCACCTACGTCAGCGATCCGGACCCCAACCTGCTGTGCCCCATCTGCCACGATCCCCTCGTCGACCCCGTCACGACGCCATGCGATCACACGTTTTGCTACCGATGCTTGCGCAGAAGCATGGCGTCGAGCCCCGCGGGCGGTGCCTGTCCCATTGACAGAGAGCCGCTGCTGTGGACAGACTGCTCTAGCTCTATACGGCCGATCCGCACGCAGCTCAACAGCCTGATCGTCAAGTGCCCTCACCACGGCAGAGGCTGTGAGGAGGAGATGAGGCGTGAGGTGGTGGAGCGGCATGCCACCGTCGAGTGCAGCTTTCGAGAGTTTCCCTGTCCGGATGCCGAATGCGACAAGACGATTCGCTACAAGCCGACGGACGACAAGTGTCACCATCAAGAAGCCAGCTGCATGTTCTGCGACGCCATCATCGAGGACGCCGACCGCGACATACATCTGCTCCAATGCCCCAAGAGCAAAACCCGATGTGCGGCCTGTTGGTCGCTGGTTCTCCGCGAGCAGGAAGACAGCCATCGAAACCTGGACTGCGACGCCATCGAGGTGGGATGCCGCTTCCAGAGCGCCGGCTGTCCGGTGAGGGTCGCGCGCGCACATCAGGAGCTCCACGCCCTGTCCTGCCCGTTCCATCCGGACTCGCCATCAGGTGCCATCATACGCAGCCAGCGTGAGCTCATAGAAACGTACAACAGCTTGGGTAGCCAGCTCCGCCACCTGCGGGCCAGGCAGGAGGAGACAAGCCGGCGGCTCGACCACGTAGCTGGGCCGGCCGCTCGCCCCGGTGAGCCGGGTTTCAGGGATCCCAGGCCGATGCCAGACCTGGATGCCGGGTTTGAAGAGGTGCATCACAACCTGAGCAATCTCGAGGCCCGGCAGAGCATGTGGATGGTCACCCAGCTCATGCCCGTCCGGGAAGAGATTGTTGAGCTGCGGAATACCAACAACATGCTTCGTATGCAAGTCAATTACCTCCTGAGCCGCGTCCGCGATGAAGGACAGCCACGACCGACATCCAGCGGCACGACAAGGCCCACGTCGATGGGCTCCGACACGGCGGCGCGGGAGCCGATGCCTCCCATGATGCGCCAGAGACGGCGATCCTCCAGCGCAGACGTCGACCTTCCCCGATTATAGATAGCGATTCTTTGGTCTTCTTTTTGAACGTAATGAACCCATCTGGAGCGATGCTGAGATTATGAGCAAGGGGCTTTCGCCGAGCAGTTACATTTTACACGGCGTCCAAAACTAGGAATCAATTTGCTGGGCTTTGTTTGTGCCTTTTTTCCTTTGTCTTGCGAGAGAGCATGGGGGCCATCCGCCTCGCTATGATTGCGCAGTGGCATTTCAGACGAATCATGCCCAACTCCCTATTAGTCTTTCCCATTCCATGGCGGAAACGAAGGAAGAGAGGTGGACAGAGGAGAGTCTTTACTACTCAGCGTCTGGTGCTACTTGGTCTTTGCTCTCGACAAGTCCGCCACCCCATGCAGATTGAGGAGGGCGGCGTCGGGGTTATGGGCGGGATATGAGACGAGACAAATCCGCAGCTGGAAGATGAAGGCTGACTCCATACTCTAATCCCGTCTTTTGCAGAGACCGGGCCTGGAAAAGCCTCCGACGACTGGGGAATTCCCCGCCCGGCCCGGGGACTTTTGAAGGATTTGCTATACCTTGTCACCTTATATAGAGTATGTAGCTCTTGAATGAATAAATGAGACCGTGTACTTAGTATGTACTATGCGTGCTCTGTGGTGTCGGCGGACTTGTGATGCAGCTGCAGACAGTGCCAGTACAAGTACATAGGAGCAGCTGATGGATGGCTGTGAGGCTGCTCATATCTGAGATACATGAACAAAGGTATGATGAGTATGGTAGTTTCTTTTCTTTGTTCTCAATGCCTTCGCCCTGCGTCTTCTTAACCTCGTAATTTCAACCCGTTCCCAACTAAGCAGAAGCGGATGGTGATGCCTCACTCTAACGTCGCTGCTTACTCCAGCTGCTTGACGAATAGGACCACAGCCGCCGCTTACCAAAGCATGATTGGCTGCTCCCATTGAACGGCGCATCCAATCATCCAGGAAGCAATCAGTATTAACAGAACAATACAAGGCCAGAAGCGAAAAGCACTGTATGGACTACCTATGGACTCCAGCCTCTCTGCTCACCTCGCCTCACCTCGAACTCCTAGGATATCCGTAGAGCGCGCCTTTCACCATCAAGTCTTCCCGTAGCCGCTGGCGAGGCTCAGCTACCCGACAGCAAACACTAGCGCGACCAATTACAGGGGGGCAGCCCGCTGAAGCCGTCTGCTAGCACCAGGTGGCAGCGGCCCCGCACAGCGCTCAAGCTGGCCGCAGGCAGACGACATCACATCAACCAACCTACTCCACCAAGGCGGCCATCTTTGTCAGCCTCGCCATTCCACCTTCTTCTACTTCTCAGCAACTTGTCACCGCAATCCTTCGTTCCGGTTTGCCTTTGTTCACTATCTCTGTGTCATTGGGACCTTCTGGTGTCTCTCCAAAGCTTCGACTTTTGTTTTTTCTCCTCCTCATATTCTCCTGGTCGGCCCATCTTTCACCATGGATCCCAACGACCAACCGCCCGCGGGGCCTGACGCACCTGATAAGGAAACGATGGAGCAGGTAAGGCGTCTTGTGCTCTCCTCCCAGTCGCCGGTGACGCGGCTGATGCTGTGCTTGTGCGAACGCTCACGACGTTGTAGATCCGGGCACGACGCCTGGCCAAGCTGGGCAAGCCCGCAACGCCGAAGCCGGCGGAGAGCAAACCCCCCGAGGCTGCCAGCTCAACATCATCACCAGCTCCCGAGGCAGGCGAGGCGAACAAGACCAAGATCAACATCACACCCGCGGCGGCCTCGCCGGCTCCCAACCCATTCGAGCAGCTTGCCGTCGGGTCGAGCAGGCCGGCCGAGGCCGCGAGCCCTACAGGTACTACCTTTCGTATTGCTCGCAAGAGGTCCGCCTCTCAAGTTGACGACATCCTTTCAGCGCCGCCGCCCCCGCGCAAGCCTACGCCCGCACAGGTCGAGTCGGACGAGGACTATGCCGACAGAGTGCTCAGCCAGATCTTCCGCATCACGGCCGACCCCCACCGGATGACGAGCAACCAGGGGAGCCACCGTCTGACGTTTCTCCCGAACCTAAACCAAGAGCTGGTCGATTCCGGGGAGCCCCTGAAGCTGTCCGTCAACAACCTGGACCAGGCCATCATAGAGGCTTGCAGCAGCTGGCCCCATGACAAGCCCCTGATGCAGTATCTGCTGCCGTGCTGGAAGAGGGCCGTAAAGGCGGCTGCGGGGAACAAACACACAAGTGGCGTCAGGTTCGAACTACATGAGGAGTCAAAGCGGCTTTGCATGAGCAACTGTCTGTTTGCCGTTACCATGCCGGTGCTATATGGGTTAGTTGCAGCTTGAAGTCTTTCGGAAATTGCTCCTTTCACATGTTTGCCATGACTGATGCTTTCTCTCTTTAGTCGCGAACCAAATCCGGAGCATGACACCATTGCTCCTTATCTTCTGAGGAGTCCTATTGACGAAGAGGGAATATGCTTGGACTTTATCAAAGAAGCAATCAAGCGGTTTGATGATGACGAAGCCTTTCCTGCCATCTTCAACGATGCCATGGTCAAGATCAGCACCCAGCTTGCGAGCATGTCCATGGGTGACGATTACAAGCCACATGTCCAGGTTAGTCTTTTCCCCCTTCTTCTATCTGCTGGGAGCTACACATCTTCCGTTTCATCCCTAAGATAGATCTTCGACGAGCTAACGCGCGACGCTTACAGGCACTGGTGACATATGCGCGATTCCCTGTCCTAATATCAAACCTTGCAAAGCACGCTTGCTTCAAGCTCGCCGTGTCCGCCCACAATATCGAGAGAAACACGATTCTCGGACCCTTCTTTCGTCTCTCTCCCTTGCAGCCAGAAGTGATCAAAAGTTATTTCCCGGGGTCGCGAACTCTAGACAAGGCCCGCATTACAAATGCGCAAGACGCTTTGCGAATGGTGCTGAGAACACACCAAGACGACTTGTTTGTCATTACGAATGCTTTCATTCGGGCTGGGCCCGACACAAGGAACCGCACACTAGACTGGTTCGCCTACATCCTAAACACGAACCACAAGCGGAGAGCAATCCAGGTGGACCCTAGAGAAGTTGCCTCGGATGGCTTCATGATGAACGTGACGACTATTCTGGATCGATTCTGTGAACCCTTCATGGACAACGACTTCAGCAAAGTAGACAAGATTGACGTACGATACTTCAGGAGACAGCCACGAATCGACATCAGCGACGAGACCAAGCTCAACGCCGATCAAGCTGCCGCCGAAAAGTACTATGCGCAAAAGGAAGAAGGGGAATCAAACTTCATCACCGAAGCCTTCTTCTTGACGCTGGCTGCTCATCACTACGGAAGTGAGGCGCTCAACTCTCAGCTGAAAAACCTCGACCGCGAAATCAAATACCTGGAGAAGCATATCAAGGCCATGGAGGCGGAGCGCCCCAAGCTGGCGAATTCTCCTCATCAGCTCAGGTTATTTGAGGAGACGCTCAAGCGCCACACCAACGTCTTGGAGAAGACGATAGCGCTCAAGTACTCGATTGAGGGCGTCCTCCTTGACGAGAGGATGCAGAGCACCTCCTTGCGGTTCATGCGTTATGTCACTGTGTGGCTGCTTCGCATTGCGACGGGGTCCGACTATAAGCCTGGACTTGAATCCGAGACTATCAAGTAAGTTCCGTTCCAAAAACTAACACTTCAAAACGACAGACTCTAATTCTTCCGCCAGGTTGCCTATAGAGTTGGGCCACTCTGATGCCTTTGCGTATCTTCCCGAGTACACTCTCCAAAACATCGTCGACAACTTCAAGTTTGTGTTCCGGTAAGAAGATTATCCCTTCGACTCAGGGCCTGCTTTTCACTTGCACATGGGAACCATCTGAAACCCTTTCACTAACCGTCCTTGACAGATGGTTGCCTACCATTCTTCCCAGCGCGGTAGGCGAGGAAATGATTGCCTTGTGCATTACATTCCTCCGATCCTCGGAACACATCAAGAATCCCTACCTCAAGTCTTCGCTGGTGTCTCTTCTCTTCTCCGGAACCTGGCCCTTTATGCATCTTAAGAGAGGTGTGTTGGGCGACCAGCTCATCTCCATCAAATTCGCCAACGACTATCTCCTTCACGCCCTCATCAAATTCTACATTGAGTGTGAGTCAACGGGAGCCAACTCGCAATTCTACGACAAGTTCAACATTCGATATGAGATCTTTCAGGTCATCAAATGCGTGTGGGTCAACGACGTCTACAGACAGCAGCTCATTAAGGAGAGCAAGTGAGTAGAACCGAGGGTATCTTGTTCAGGCACAGCGTCTAACACAGCTTCTAGGGTCAACAGGGGCTTCTTTGTCCAGTTTGTCAACATGCTTCTGAACGATACCACCTACGTCCTCGATGAAGCTTTCACGAAATTCCCCAAGATCCGCACCCTCGAGAAGGAACTCGAGGATCGCAGCATCTCTACAGAAGACCGACAGAAGAAGGAGGAAGAGCTGCAGACCCTGGGGACCCAGGCGACGTCGTACATGCAGCTGGCCAACGAGACACTCGAGATGATGAAGCTGTTTACGAAGACGCTGAGCGAGGCTTTCACCATGCCCGAGATTGTCTCGCGTCTGGCGAGCATGTTGAACTACAACCTCGAGACGTTGGCCGGTAAGAAGGCTGCCGCCGAGTTGAGTGTTTCGAACAGGGAGAAGTACCACTTCCGGCCGATTCAGCTGCTGTCCGACTTTGTCGACATCTACCTCAACCTTGGATCATCCCAGGTCTTTATCGAAGCCGTCGCTGCCGACGGCCGCTCCTACAAGCCAGAGGTTCTCGACCGTGTCTCCCGAATTCTCTCGACAAAGCACCAGAAAGACACGGCAGACATTGCCCGGTGGGACAAGCTCAAGCTCAAGTTCATCGAGGCAAAGGAGCTGCTGGACCAGGCCGAGCTCGATCTCGGAGACATCCCGCCCGAGTTTGAGGATCCCATCATGGGAGAGCTGATGAAGGATCCCGTGCTGCTGCCGAGCAGGCACATTGTCGACCGGTCGACGATTGTGCAGCATCTTCTGAGTGATCCAAAGGATCCGTTTACGCGGCAGCCCATGACGATTGAGGACGCGATTCCGCAGACGGAGCTCAAGGAGAAGATTGAGGCGTGGCGGCAGGAGAGGATCCAGGCTGCCAAGGAGAAGATGGCAGGAGAGGCCATGGATACTGCTGAGGGTTGAGGGGTGAGTGGATGGTGGAACGTTGGGTTCATGATTTGCGATGAGACCATTGAACGTTTCCACTCACCCCCTCGTTCTTTTGTCTTTCTTCAAAGGAAGAAAAAGTATAGTGGATATAGAGCAGAGCAGATGATTCTGCTGGCACCTATCTTCTTTCCCACTCTCATGATCATAGTGCCCCCCTTTGCCGGTTCTTTTTGCTCTTCGTTGATGTTTGGTGCGGCGACAATGAGCGGGACACATCATGTCAATGGGGAATAGCAAACAGGACGGCTTCCCATTCTCTTTTTTTCTTCACTCTTCTTCTTCGAATAAACGATACACTTGAGTGGGTAGGGCTGAGAATGATGACAATAGACTTTATGATGAAATGATGAATCCCCCCTTTTTGACTTTCAAGTCGTATGCCTCTTATGTTCAAGCTCTTCGAATTCTTATTCCGTATTGTACCGAGTTCTCTCAAAGTATTCCACACGAGATCGTTACACTCGCTCGAGTTGGCCCTGCACTTCTTCATTTCCCTCTTTATAACCTGCCTACCACAATCTTACTCGAGTCTAATGGTTTTTATTTTTTGCTCTGCATCGAGGATCGGTCAGTCCAGCCCTACCTATTGATCCCCCTATTTCTGTCTCCCGCCAGGAGAAGAATAAAAAAGACGGGTTTTGCATATAACAGTTCCCTATTTGAGATTTGTCTAATGGAAACGTATGATGTCCGTTTGAAATTACAATTAGTATACAATGCAAGTGTACCTACCTTATGCTTGTGGCCGGACTTCAATGCCCAAGAGCCAAAGCCGTATACGATGGCTGGCATCTGGCAACAAGTAGACCAGCAAGGCCGCCCCTTCTTTCTGCCTCCTTCATCCCGAGGAAAGGTTGCCGAAAGGTGAGCAGGTGTGTCAGCAGGTACCATCTCATTTTTTTTTACGTTTAGCAAAGGGAAACAGGTCATGGTCGCTATCTCGCTAGAACATGCCATTTAAACGAACTACAACGCAACGGACCATATTCTGCAACAGAATCCTAAAACCAAGTAAGCATAAGTAAGCGGTGAGAAAGGCTCATTCGTCAGGAGTGACGGAGAAACAGAAAGGAATGAGATCCATCCACCGCCCGCCACGTGCCAAGACACAGCTGCCTTCAGAGCAGGGCCATGGAAGGCAAGAAAAGGGCAACATAAGGATGTAAGCACGCAGCCGTAAGCTAAGTTATCCCAATGATTGAGAATTTATCCTCCCCCTTTTGTGCCTAAGATGAAAAGGAAACAAAGCCAGTGGCAGATAGCTTCCTCCGAGAGCTCATAGAGGGAGAGACATGAAGTTGGCGAGGTGATGTCTTCTTATTCAGCCGTGGCAACGGCATTCTGGATGCGGTTCACACGACCAACTAACCGTCCGGCATTCTCGCCAGATGTTCGCTGATAACCAGGTCGGCACGACGCACCGCAGGGTCAGGGGGAAGAATCGAGGCACATGTCCGGCGGACTTTCTCAGGGGGCTCGGCTTAGAGCGTGAAAGCCTAGCTCATCAATTACTGACAGGAATGTAGCCCGATGTTCCGAGACATGCCTAGAGGAACGAGCCGACGTCGTGCGCGTCGATTTCCGTCTTAGGGGCCTCGGGATCGGTAGACCAGCCGGGTGACCGCGCGACACTCGGCAGCCACAGCCGGTGACGGCCTGTGCAAGAGGGCTGCGCGTGTCTGGCCAGGCACGAGCAAGCGCGAGAAATTTGACCACGCGCCTCCGTACGAGCATATGCTCCGTATTCCACGTTCGGTCCCTTATCCGCCGCTGCCAACACTTACATATGCACGCACCAGTGTGTCCTCGCACACACTTGTCGGTACATGCAGGCTTGCTGGAGTGTTGCGACAAGCACAGAACAGTCCCGACCATGAATGCATAAGCACGACTCCTGCAAGCTTGCGTCATCTCGCTCCATTGTGCTAGGCCTGGCAGTGGATCGAGCCGACAAGGCATCGACTTTCGTCTCCGCGATCAAGAGTAGCCCCGAGATCCAGTATATTGCAACATGAGGCGAGACCCGCCGACGACGTTGGAAAGGCGCTTGTGAGTAATAAGGAGCGGATAATGGCATGAATGAGGGTGCTTGAGCAGCGATTGTGATTTGGGGTCACGCTGAAGAGAGAACTTGGAAAGACTTTGCAGGATCGATCCCGGCCACCTGGATCGTGTCAGATGGGCCAACTCCCACTTACCATGGCATGCCTCAGCACAGAGACACTCCACACGCAATGATACCCGCAATACTGTATGCAGCAAGCAAACAAGAGCTCGCTTGCTTCGCACGCCAGCATCGTGGGGGCCATGAGTCTTAACCAAACGTGGTTGGAAGCACCGAAACTCCGCACTTGGTCGCTGTGCCCGTTGGAGCCCCGTGCCAAGGCAGGTGAAACATGTCGTCCGCAGTCCCAACAAACGGCTTGGGTCCCGTATAAGTCGATGCCTGTGCTGTACTTCGTATCGCCTGTATACCATGCGCATGCTCGGGCAGTAGCATTATCTCGGCAAAGCCGCCGTGCTTTGCCGCACCACTCGCCGACGATCGACGTATAGTGCCGTCCTGGCCCTCGTGGGCGTCCAGAGTCCAGGTCCAGGGAGTCAAAGCTGGCTAGTATGGATGCAGTCAGCAGCTTTTGGCGTCGAGGCGGACGGTCACCCGTGTAGGCAACACTCCGTACGGAAAGGACACGACGGAAGCTTTCTCCGAAAACATCGGGACAGGCGCTCGAAGCATCGGTGAGCATACGTAGTCCGGACAAGGGCCTCTGTTTAGCCCTGGACCGACGACGGCACGTAGAAAGCTTGGCCTTAGAAGGCGTCCATTGCGACGTGAGGAATTGGCAAACCAGAGGTGCCCCGTCCGTCCGCCCGGGGAAAGCCACGCACCCCCCCTCCCATACAAGTACTTCGTACGAATACTTGGACACCTAGGCAACTCAGATGTTTGGCTTATTTCATGTGATACGCAACTGCTTCAGACCTGCAACTCTGCCTGCACGTGCGAAGTGCTTCAGACTCGTAACGGACAGATCGTTGACCTCTTTCCAAACCTGTACCGGTATTCGTCGTAGCCGTTGGCATATTCCTGCTGGGCGAGGACGTGTGTATACATGGCAGATACTCGTAGGTGTGCCGTGGTCGTGCTCGAGAGTGTGTGAGTCCCATCCTGCGGACGCTTCCTCGCCTGGACACTTGTGCTTAGCCACCCTCCCCGGACATGTCAGACGACTGCAGCCCTCCAACTTCGGTTGCTACCACGGGAGCTTATGTCTTTCAGCTAGAGCTGTGAGACCCAAAGAGGCGGCCTCCATTCAACGAGCTAGCCTCCGTGACAGCCTATTTCGGATATCTGCCGCCAAGTGATAATTTCCAAAGAGCGTTCATCTTCGGGTCGAGCTGGCGCTGCAACCGAGTCGCACATGTGGCATCAGTGTCCCCAGTATAGCGAGAGCAGGCCCCTCAAGCCCGCACAGAGGATGCTGGAAGTGTCCTTATCCCCAGAACCGCCGGCGTCCGCGAGCCTGCAAGACCACTTGCAGCTCGCTAGCCGCCGGTGTCGACCAGGATGACCATCAGAAGCAGGGAATCCATGAGCTTCCCCCACAGCATACCACGCCTCCGACGCTAAGAGGCATATTCCACCCCAATCCAACTCGTGCATCTCCCGAAGGCACGTACGAGTATTACTCTGTACGACCAGGGAAGCAAAATTTTGGTATTTCCGATAGAATGCCGGCATGTGTTCCCGCCGCCATTGTCGTGAAGCTGGCAGTCCGCCGGCAAAGAAGAGCTCATCGGGTCTGTTAAGCTCAAGGCCGATCAAATCGTGAGTACCAACTACTCGTAAATCGTCGACCCGCCGACTCCTTTTGATTATACTTGTCGGCCGTTGTGGTACTCGTATGAATGGATTCATGCCGTGGGCTGCGACTGGCGAATCCTGCACCAGAAACACTCTTGATATGAGCCATGGCCCGGTATTCGCTCCCGCGGCACCTTTTCGCCCCAGAGGCAGTCTTGCATGCTACGTTCCGCACGATGCAGCTCTAGGCAGCGATGCTCGTTGCAGAATTTTGCCGCCTTTGGTCGCTAACACTTCGTGCGTGTGACTAACCAACGCAGGGCGTGTAAATCGCTCAAGGCCTGCACCTCGCCAACTTGCCCAGGGATCTTGGAGGGTCAGTGAAAACATCGCGCGAGTCTTCTTTGTCTGCCGGAATGTGGGCAGAAAACTTGATACATACGAATGGCGCTGCAGCTCAATCACCCCGGTTCGGACGCACTGGAGACGCATTCGAGCAACACTTATCCGTCCTTCAAGCATGCGCAAATAGACCCCGAGACCCTACAAGGATGAAGACGACGCACGCATACTTGAAAGTACTGTAGCAGCACTGCTGCTAGTAGTAGTAGTAGTGCCAGCAGCGCGGAGCACTCCGTGTTAGCTCGCCAGATAGCCGTATGGCCTAATCTGACTCTCCCAACATCATGTTCCAGTAAGGCAGACCTGTCCCAACTGCGTGGCAGACAGACGTCACCACGACTCTTATCCTCCCAAAGGGCTTCAGCCACCTAAAGTTTTGGCTGGCGCTGCAACTGGCAGTTCCATCTTGGTCTCGACGATCATTTTCTTTCCTGTGAGATGCTGGGGTCAGCTCCGCTCTGAACTAGTCTAGGGAAAAAGCAGGAAACACGAGCTCTCGAGTCTCCTGTTTCCCAGCAAAATCTGATTAAGACTGGTTTCCTGTTGTAATGACTTGCATACACTTTCTGACAGAACATCAGGAGGATTGTACTGTAGTGGGAGGTAAGAAGAGGCTGACATTGAGGTGTACTTACTATCGTCAAAGCAACAGCACTTGCCAAGCAAGAGACAATCATGAGAATGATAATCTCAAGCGGGCACATGAGGACACAATAACCTGAGACGGACGATGTCAGGCTGTTTGCAAGCCAAAGCTGCCCAAGCA